ATCCATTTATAATACGTGGTGCTCACTAACAGGGGCTTTTTATCGAAAATGAATCATACAAGCGAAACTACTCCTATTCTTGATGATTCCACTGTGTTGGCGTGCGTCACCTGAAGCTTTAACATTAATAATTATCTCATTCCGTGGCTACGAAGGTGAAGATTATTCTGGCTTTCAAAGCTAATCTCGAAGACTACTTTTCTCTTAAAATATCACTGATTACACTTACAAAAATTACTATCTTCCGTACCTTACTTTCTGGAAAAGCAAGAGCTGATCTTGATAAGTAGTTATGGTTACCCCTCCCAGATAACATAAGGACCTAAAGTATGCTGAAGTCGTACGTCTCGTTGATAATATTTACAACACTGAAGAAAATGAAAGAAGCAAAGAGGAGTCTTTCAATTGGTATCAACCATTAGACAGGATCTCCTACCAATTTTGGAACCGTATTTCGGAAGCTGCTCATGTTGCTGGTATTACCTCTGTGGCTACTATTAGAGCAAGATTTAAGTATGGTCTGCTCAAAGCTGTCAGAGAACATTGTATTTGTACTGGTGCCAAATCTCATGAAGATTATATGCGTTTAGCCCAAGGATATTGGATAGGATATCATTTACATCTTGAAGGCAGTCAAGAAGAACCCTCTCACTATTGCAGTGGAATTAATAATTTACAACATCAAAATTTATTCCAAAGACGATCCAGTCCCACTTCCTCAAAGAAAGTTACTCCAGTTGCTGAACCTGCTAAGAACAATGTATTACAACCCATGATTACTACAGCCGAATCTCCTATCACCTTAACCCAGTTGACGGAACTTATTCGAACGGAAACAAATAAAGCAATTCAGGAAAATTATGAGCAACGTCAACAAAGATATAAGAATAATGCATCCAAATCCAATTATAACAATAATGGCAATCAGTATTCTAATAACTATCACAATAACAACGGAAATAATGACAACTATAACAATCAAAATTATGGAAGAAATAACAATTATCGATCCAATAATTACCATAATCAAGATAATAACCATTCCAATGGACGTTCTAATGGACCAAATAGTGAACAAGGCAACTCATACAACAATAATAATCAAGGTCCCCACAATAATCAAGGTCACCACAATAATCAAGGTCAAAATAACAATCAAGGTTACTATAACCAACGTAACTACAATAACTATAATAATGGTCAACGCCAAGGAAATTATTCGGGTCAAAATAATAATCAATCCTCTGGTGATAATTCCAAGCCCAACAATACAAGTTTACAAGCATTCAACACTATGGGACAAGTCGCGAATTTAGCCGAATATGATAATTCTCAAATGGTTAATCCCCAGAATGGAATGATTCCTAATCCTTATATGGTGATGACTCCCAATCAAATGACACCTGCTCAAATGATGTATTATAATCAAGCCATGCTGATGAATCCTAATCAACAGATGTTCATGCCTATGCAAAACACTCAAGATCAGTCAAAAAACTATTAAAGTCGATGGAATATAGGCCATCGACTCAAGCTACTTATCTAAATCCTATATCACAACATCATTTAATGCCTGCCGAAAAATCAAAAGTCTCTCGACTTCCTCAAACTGCCCCTTATGGAATATCAAAAGACAACATCATTAAACATAGTAGAACTCGTTCCAGTAGAAAACCTCAAGCTACTGAATCTAACAATAATAACAATACAATCACACCAATGCCAACAAACATTCCCACAGTACAACCTGTACCCACTGTTCAAGCCATTCAACCTGTACAATCAATTCAACCAGTCATGCCAACGCCTATGATTCCTGTCGTACCCATGACACAAGAAGCTCATAATGTACCAATGATACCGGTACCTGATGCTGAAGCTATGGACGTCACAACCGTGCCAGTAAGAAAGGTGAACAAGCGAACTATTAAACAACGTATTGCTGAATCAGGTTATGATGTTACGGAAGATATATTAAACCAACAAGCTGGGATCAAATTTAAACAGTTACTGCATATAATTCCTTCTCTACAAACTCAATATAACAAAGGAAGAAAAAGAATTATCAAACAATTTATCATCTCAAACACGGCGCATTCCTTATCCGCATTCAATAATTTAAACAATGAAGATGAGAGCGTTACCGCCTTGAGATGTACTATGAAAATTGCTGACGTATCGGTGATCACCTTAATCGATTGTGGCGCCTCTAAAACAATAATCACCAAGGATCTTGCCGCTAAATTAGGTTATGCCATTGATGGAGCCTCTACAACCAAGTTTGTTCTGGGAAATAATCAAGAATATGCATCCTTAGGAGTTATATACGATGTGCCTATAAACGTTAATGGATTAATTGTACCCTTAACAGTAGAAGTGTTACCTAACATGCCATATCCCTTGATCATTGGAAATAATTGGCTACAACGAACAAAAGCTATTATTAATTATGACCTCACACAAATGACTGTAACCTATAAAAATCAACAAACCAAGATCAATATATTTTTTAACAAGGAAACACAAGAACCTGTAATCAATATGATGAACAAGAAAAATTCGGCTTTGGATTTTCTCTTACCGGAATATGAAGAATCTGAATCAGATGAAGAAACTGAAGATGAATCAGAAGAGGAAAGTGAATCCGACGATGATGCTGAATTCATGACTATAACCAATGATTTTCACTGTATGACAACCAAGGATGACAGCCAAGTCCATTACCAGGATAATCAAGTACGAATCAAGAAGGAGGGAAAACTCATTATCCCAGCTAAATCCTCAGTCCCTTAAATTTAAATTTACCCCAGAAAAACAACTTACAATATGTTGAAATAAATCCTTTGTATGAACCCTATTTAATTCTGTCTAAACCCATTCTGGATCCACATGAATATAAATTTCGCGCTCAATTACAAAACATGACCGAAGAACCTATAGTGTTGGAGAAAGGAACTATGATTGCTACCGTTGAAGAAGCTGAAGTCTTATCTACGTATGAAATGAACCCTATACAAGGAAATGAACCTGAACAATTTAATACCATGGAAGAAACCACCTTGTCAGAAGAACAGTTAGAACAAATTCAGATAGGTGAAACTTCAGACGAATTAAAGTCAAAGTTTTTAAACCTTATATCAAATTTCAAGGATATCTTTGACTGGGATGGTAAAACGTTAGGCCAAACTGATTTAGTATATCACAAGATAATTACAGAAGATGAAATTCCAATTCGAACAAGACCATATAGGATATCGCCTGAAGAATCAGTTGCTCTTAAAGAAGAACTGGATAAACACTGTGCGTTAGGTATTATACGACCGTCGACTAGTCCTTATGCTGCCCCTATTATTCTTGTGAAGAAAAAGGACACGAAAAGTTATCGAGTAGTAATTAACTACAAGAAATTGAATGACAAGACCAAGAAAGATGCATTTCCCTTACCAAGAATTGATGATCTACTTGACCAATTAGGAACTGCGACAGTGTTTTCTGCTCTGGATATGAGAACAGCATTTCATCAAATTCCAATGGATCCTGCTAGCAAAGAAAAGACAGCATTTGTCACCAAATTCGGAACCTATGAATATAACTCAATGCCAATGGGATTATCCAATAGTCCTTCCAGTTTTAGTCGATTAATGATGCTTACCTTTCGAGACCTCCTTAACCAGTGCGTCATATCGTATCTCGATGATCAAAATATTTATTCAAAATCTCATGACCAACATCTACTGGATATTGAAAAAGTATTCCGGTGCATTCGAAGAGCAAAACTAGTGTTGAATCCCTCCAAATGTAATTTTTTTAAGGACTCTCTTGAATTCTTGGGTTACGTGGTATCAAAAGAAGGTGTATCGACCAATCCCGCCAAAGTAGAAAAGCTTCTCAATTACAAACAACCTACTACCGTAACGGAAATCAAAAGTTTTGTTGCTTTGGCTTCATATTACCGAAGATATGTCCCAGCATTTGCCAGTATAGCTAGACCTTTGCATGATTTAACAAAAACCAAGAAAGGATTACCCAACGTATGGAATGAAAAAGCTACCAAAGCTTTCGAAACACTAAAAAAGGCCCTGACTGAAGCTCCCATACTCATGCGACCTAATTTTGATAAGCCTTTTACTCTAATGACGGATGCTTCCCGAACAGGTATTGGTGGTGTTCTCAGCCAATACGACGAAGACGGAAAGGAGCGTGTAATTCTATACCTTAGTAGAGGATTAAAACAATCGGAAGAAAACTACGGTGTATCGAAGTTAGAATTACTAGCTGTGAAATGGTGTGTTGAAAAATTGCGTCCTTATCTTTTAGGATCGAAATTTACAGTCTTAACCGATCACTCAAGTCTTCGAGGAATATTGAATAGTACAACTGAACATACTGGAATTCTTGCTAGATGGGTTGCTATTTTAAATGAATATGAATTCGATATTGTATACCGACCTGGTCGTGTAAACGAAAATGCGGATTTCTTCTCCCGTCTCGGATACTAGTATCTCCTGACCCAGAAAGTCATAAAACTTGACTAACGGACTTACTCACTCAAAACAATTTCAAAACACTGGATTACCGGCCCTCACCAAATATTGCAGAGAATATAGATCTCAGCAAAAATTATGTATATAAACACCTTATTCAAAATTCTGTATATATTTCTTTTTCTTTTTCTTTCCAACATTTCACTTTATTTTAACTTCAAGTTACACAAATAATCCAAGAATCAACTCAATATGGATAACCTCAAATATCAACAACTGGTCTATTATTTGGAAACTTTAGAATATCCACATAATACATCTAGTCAACAACGAAAATATCTCAGATTACAATCTAAACATTATTACACCCAGTCACATCAATTATATCGGAAATCACCTACTCGATTAGTACTTCTTCATCAAGATGCTAAAAATGCTTTCCAGATGTATCATAATCACCCGCTTGGAGGTCACTATGCTTATCAAAATACCTATCTCAAGATATCAGAAAAATACTATTGGGATGGAATGATTAAGGACATCAAAGAATGGATTTCAACCTGTCTACGTTGTCAACAAAAAGGAAAAGAAGTAGAACTCGAAAAACCTCATGTGGTTCCCGTTCCGATTAGCCCTTTTCAACAAGTTGCTATGGATATCAAACATGTGGAGACCTCTCGGGGTGGACATCGATACATCATTGTAGCTATTGATTATTTCAGTAAATGGGTAGAAGCTCGAGCTCTAGTGCACGCGAATTCAGTTGAAGTATTCAACTTCTATGTGGATGAAATTATTACACGACACTCTATTTCGAGGATAATAATCACAGACAACGGTAGCCCCTTTAGTAACTTATTAATCAATACTCTCTGTGATCAATTCGGCATCAAACATAAATATAGTTCAGCGTACCATCCTCAAGGAAATGGACTAGTGGAGAGATTTAATCGGACTCTTGGATCTTGCTTAAGAAAATTATCTCCGGAAGAAAAACCTGATTGGCACTTATATCTGACTTCCATTTTATTCTCATATCGGTGTATAACTCAAGCCAGTACTAAATTATCTCCCTTCCAAACACTATATGGTCGTATTCCGCATACTCCGTTTGATAATTTTATGAATCAACAAAATGACACGGAAGACGTATGGAACGAAGAAGAAGTCAACAGTAACTTTGAAGTATTCACATCTCATATCAACACTATTCAACATATAGCTCGAGAAAATATTCGTAAAGCCCAAGAATCACAATTAAAGATGGTTAATAAACGGATCCTATCCCGAAACAAATCCGACAAACCCGGTTACTGTGTAGGAGATCTGGTTTTAAAGTACAAAGATATTATTGCCAATAATCTATCAGCCAAATTAGATGATCGATTCGAGGGACCATTTATTATCCAAGAATGTCACAGAAATTCAACCTATATCTTAAAATCGTTAGATGGAGATATTGCACAGCGACATATCCATGGCAACAAACTAAAAATATATAAAGCACCAAAAGTATCCTTCAATCCCAATTATTTCAATCCAATTGACAATCCTGATGGACTTATTAACAACAACAACAATCAATCCTTCTTTTGATGTGGACCGACTCCTCAACGTTCCTTTAAGTAAAGATGAAAACTTAGGATTAATTCTTGGCCTTGTAGAAGTCCCCTTAAAGACAGAAATTCAAAAATTACCTTCACACCAACAAGAGATTATTTTAAAACTCGAAAAAATAGTCAAACTACAAGAAATTCTTAAAAGAGCCACAAGAAAATATGTCAAAACTTTTGTCGATTCTTCCACTCCAAACAATCAACCTTTAACTCTCAAATATCATAACATTTACACAAAAAAATATCATCATTATTTCAAAAATCAAAATTTATTCAAGTATATTAGAAAAGTCGCCGTCAAACAACATTACCAACGTAGGAGTCCTACTTCTTCTAGTGGGGAGGATGTGTAAGAAACCATTTTAACCAAACATAGACATTAATTAAGAGCTTTCAAAGTACGATGGTTACACCATTCTCAAAAACAACTATAAATAACCCCTTCCATTTTTTTAATAAACTTTAGACATATTTTACTCTCACAAAACTTACTATAACCGAGCCATATTTGCTCTTACTTCCTTTTCTTTTTCTTTCTTTCTTTATTTTCTTTCTTTCTTTTTTTCTTTTCTTCTTTTTTTATAAAGACTTACTTGAAAACATCTTAATTTATAAGAACCATTCAGTAAATCTCGAGATCCTGTACAGTAAACAACTTTCTTTTGAATAGTAACATACGTACTTTAAACAGTCTCAATAAAACCTCTTCTATCTCTACTTTCTCTTTTGTATAAATATATAAGAAAACATCCTTATCTGGAACCATTCTATATATTTCTGACCTTGTGTGAACACCTTCTATTATTTTCTATAATCAGAAACAGTACACACTTTACTCCGTCAAACAAAATCATTTACTTTTATTAAAATTCGTTAAGAAACATCCTTAAACGGAACCATCATAACGTAATTAAGACCCTGTATAGTAAAACAACTCTCTTTTGAAGTACCATTACATACTTAAATCAGTCTTGATAAAAGCTTATCGTTAACCTAATAACTCATACAATATAACCATTGATTCTTTTACGAACTCTTGATTGTTCCTTTCTCTTTCCCTTAATAACAATACGATAACAAAGGTCTAATCAAAACCTATTAATTGATTTGGTGCTCACTTTAAATTCAATCAACCCACGTCTTTTTTAAACTCTACGGAACATCCATTTTATAATATAGGTCAATTTGATCTACCGAGGATTTAAGAGGAAGCCTACGGTTGGAACTGATTGATCAATTGTTACGGTTTTGTTATAGGATGTAGTTATTTAAAGAGCTAACATCCATGCGTCTTATACCTTTGTGTGGGCTGAACCAAATGTCGTACAGAATCGATACACATGCTTCGTATAAGAATACATTGCTTGTAGTACCGATTCACACAATTCCTAAAATATGAATTTTCACAGTACATACTACATATAATTCCCCAATTCATGTATTTTATTGATCCAATTTGTAAAATAAATAAAATACATGTTATTTATCAAGACTTATCTTTATAAATCAAAAGTGTAAAACTCGATTACTGACTTTGGCTATTATCATTAAATTTAGTACAGCAAACTGTTATATCCTAAGAATTGTTTAATATGACCCAACTCGGGGTAGAATGCAGGAAGAAATCAATCGCTGTAGCTTGTACCTGTCAGTAATTCATTAAAGTCAATCCTATTATAAATATCTGGAGCATCTTAAATTTTTATAAAATGTAAACCTCCTTCAGTTCTAATATCATATCTATTTTATCAAGAGTTCTTAAAGTCTATCTGAGAAGATGGTCTTTATTTCTGGAAGCCATAATTTTAAAACCAATTGGTCTATTTGTTTAAGAAATGTATCTTCACTGCACGATTATGGGTCAATTATCTTAGGGGAGCATTGTTCATAATGATGAAGTATCCCTTCGTTTCTGAAAACCTATCCATGATATATATGGTGTTACTGAAGAACTGAAGATAAAACTTATCTGCAGTACTCTTATGTACAAATAATTTACTCTCAGTCGTCGTTCCTCTTCTAGCACCCACCAGCTTCATTTTCACAACACCAACTGGCCAAACTGCATCAAGAACAATATGTGAAGCACTTTCATGGACAGAGTCTCAGTGATTGATTTTAACCCGAGCAGTGACTGACCTTGGCTACGGCGCATGCTGATATCATCAACAATTATACTGTTCTCCCATTGCATGCACAAATATTACTCTAACTATCAAGTTCAAAAGAGGAAAAACAAAAAAAGGGGCATGTGATGCTGATACAAGTGACTTTTTTTTTAAAGGTTCTGTTAAGGTCCGAGCAAGAACGAACACATCTCTTTCTGCAACCACAATCCGCAAGAGAATCATAATCCAATGGAGATTGTTGAAGAATTCTTGAAGAGTAATCTACAATGAAGGGAGATAAAACTTAGTGGGTATCACGATACAATTGTCCTGTACAGTCCTGCATTAATTAGAAATCATGCGCCTTTTTTCTTTAAACATTTTGATCGGTTTGCTGGAGTAGTCTACGTCACTGATGACAAATTATTTGCATTCAAATATATATAAAAAAAAAAAACGATCCTCAACATTTATTATAGTATATGATAAAGAAAATCATGTAGAAAACCCGTTTTAATATGCTTAATTTATGAAAAAATGTGATAGACATTGCAAAAACGTTGAGTTGTGATTGTTTTTCATCAATTTTCAAGAAGAAATTAGAAATTAGAAAGGATAACTCAGAAAAGAGCCGAAGTGGTCAAACACATGGCATACGTTTCATCTTATGATTATACTGAAAAGTATTGGCCCCGCACTCTCCAACGCGTCAAGAAACAAAGGAAACGCAAATGATAGAAACGTGAGTTGTACATTTGGCATATTATAACGTGTCTTGTCTTATTAAAAGCTATTTGTCTAATTGAATCAGCAGTGCATAATTGATAAAAGGAACGTAGATTGGCTTTCATTAAATAATAATATAATTGAGATAATATCCAGAAATATTTGCCTTCTCCTGATTGAAAGATATGAATGGATCAGGTCGCAAAGCCGAAAACCCATTTTTCTCGATATTACCTCCATAATACTATACTTCAATAAAAGTCTGTTGACTTCTTTTTATCGACAATAAACTGCCAATTCAATTAAATATATAGCTTTTTGATATATACACATTATATATCCAGCCTATACTTGACATTTAATAGAAACCCAGCACTGAAACATAAACCATTAACTGATCAAGATATTAATGTCTACTTCCAATCCACGCTCCCATCTGATCTTCCCGGATAACAATCTATTTCAATCATTCCTTATAAAAAGGATCCCCTTTTCATTTAATAAAAATATATCTAGTTTTAGTCTCAAATAATTTAACCGTTTATTTCTTGGAATATTTCACTTTTATTAAGACAAGACGCGTTATACTATGCCGAATGTACAACTCACGTTTCTATCATTTGCGTTGCTTTGTTTCTTGACGCGTTGGAGAGTGCATTTTCTCTTTTTCTTAATCCAAGTTAACTCACTGTTTGGGAGGAGGGCTCCCCTTTTTCACGTTCCAGCTTTCATCCTTTTTGATCATTACCAGAGTATTTTTCCTAGGTTATGAATCTATTCAACAACTCTTATTGAATGAAAGAAAACCACGCTTTCCAACTCACATATACTCAATCATGTTCATTCGAAATTCACAAAATAACGCAAGAACAATGACTTTTTAAGAAAATCGTTTCCTCTTAATTTGCATGCAACGTGCCTGAATTTGTCCAGCTGAGAAACCGGGGATTTTTCTTGCATCATTTACACTACATGTAGATGTTTTCACGAAATATATGTGAGTGAATATCTCATCCAATGAATTCATGATATATAAGAAAAAGAGCCTCCAATATCAGTTTCTATCTTTCTATGCAGCTATACCTGATTTTAACCAGATTGTCGGGTTTAAATTAGACACCCAATCAATGTCTATATTCTCACGTAAACATGCTCACTCGTTTATATATCTTACAAATCAATCTTCCCCCATCTGGAGAACTTTTTCTTTAAAATCAAGTGGTGATATATTATTACCAGTTAGTTATCAATTTAAAAAGCCACTTGGATATAAGATAAATTTCAACGGATACCCTGTTGGTGGACCCTAGGAAAAAGGAGGCTATTTTTTAATGCTATATTTATAATAAGTGTAGATAGTGATAGATCATCAATTAGATTGGCTATACTACAGATTGGTGCAATATGGTTTGTTTCAAATATAAGCAGTAACTAGAAAGAGAGATTTTAAACCATCAATAATTACAATAACAGATTTATGTACCAAAATCGTTGGGGGATATTGATAATATCAACATTTGGCTGATTTTGATAAGTGTCAGACTGACAAAGAACCTGTAATTCAGGGTCTTTAGAATATTTATAGCAACCGTAAACTATCGTAATTTATGTAATTGACGTAATCGCGACGGTTAAGATTTTATGCTGGCAAAGTGTAAAGTATGACAGTGTCATGCATCAGATTGTTACCATCCACAGGGATACACTCTAATCGTATTTTCAAATCCATGACAGTCAATGTTAAGATGGTCAGCCTTATTTACTCCTTCTTTTTATCGCAAAGGACATTGGATGACAGAGACCTTTTAAGGCTCTATAAAAATATCTTACCGCTCATTGATTAAAAGAAGTTTTAATCATGCGCGTCATTTTACCTTGTTGAAAACACTCGTATTTTTTTTTAAAATATATAAATATATATATATATATTTCCCGTTTATTATATTGACAATTTCCCTTGAACGAATGAACTAGTTATTTTGGACCTATTGCATGTTCAAATTTAAAACATCTTCCTCAGTACTTTTTTATTAGAAAAACGTTTGTTTGTTCTGGTTTGAACGGGTTTAAGATTGTGTCCAAATTTTAAGTTTTCTCGTAGGAAAAAAAAAAAAAAATAACGAGCGATAACAGTATTGGAGTAATGTTTTCTAAAAAATTTCCCCGTGTAGCTTTAGTACTATTTGCAGATTTTCCGGGAAAATAAGCCATATATATTTATCTTAATAGGAAGTTCCGGGGACATAAAGAGAGTATATGTAAAACCTATAATTACACACTATGATCAGCTTGTTTATATCACAACTTGCAAGAAAAAAAAAAAAAAAAAACTTCCGTTTACATAAATCGACCTCACTTTTTTGGCTTATTTTCCTTTTTTCATTTATGTAACCAATTTTTAATTTTAATAATGCGATTTCAAGAGCAATCTACAACAGCCGTTTGTCACCTGGCGTTACGACTTCCGGAAATTGTGAACCACATATTATCCTATTTAGCAGTGCCCTATCATTACGATGAAACGAACAAAACCAAGATATACCAGTATATACATCCATGCTTATTAGTAAATTCCCTTTGGCACGATTGTGCAACTCGCTTGATTTGGAGAGCGGTGACATTTGAAGATAGCAAATCCGAGTACGAAGCATTTTTAAAGTTTGCCGGTGTTATATCCAACTCCCACATTAACCATAGTGATACCACCTCTTCTGCGGCCGGATTGGCTATTGCAGCACCGAAAATGACGGGTTTATTTGGTGACCACAAATTCCTGAAGCTCCAAAAATTAAGTCAATTACAAAAGGATATTAAACATGAGCAAAGATTACAACTACAACAATTTTATACCGAGCATGATTTGATTGAAGATCCAGCGTTTCTACAATACAGTCATTCAAATAGTACAAGACCAGAACATACAATATCTCATCATTCACAGTATGCTAATGCAATACGGTCGATCGCACTTCGTAAAATCAAGGATAAAACCATCAATGAGCCGTTACAACAAATTAGCCGTCACTCTCAGAAACTTGAAAAACTCGACATCTACATCTGCGACCACCTGGCTGATAGCTCGGTGCATAATTTTATCACAAACAATCATCATTCACTGACTTATTTATCACTGGCGGGGTGTAACCGTATCACGGATGATGCGGTTTTGAGCGTGGCCAAAAACTGTCCCAAGTTGGAACATTTAGATTTAAGAGCTTGTGGATTAATTTCAGATATCTCTATTCAAGCCATTGCAATGAACTGTCCGGATTTACATCATTTAAATGTAGGTAGAGTGAGAGACAGAGAAAAGATTACGATGCAATCCATTCGTTTGGTAGCGGAAAATACCAAAGTAGCAGTACTAGGATTAGCAGGTTGTGATATGACGGACGAGTGTTTAATTGCATTAGCCAAGTGTCGAGGTAGAGGGCTAGAAAGGATATCTGTCAACAATTGCTACCGTATTACCAACAAATCCGTGCAGGCCTATGTGAAATACTGCCCTAATCTATCGGTATTTGAAATGAAGGAGTGTCACTGGATTGATGATTGGTCTTCTGTCGCTGAGCTGGTTCAACGGAAAGTGCTATTGACATTGTGTGACCAACAGAATAGAGCCTGTACAGAATGGGCACGACAGAGAGGAAGAGTAATGGAAGTCAAGGCACCTGTGAAATAGAAACTAAAATAATAATAAAGCGTGCGGATTTTTCATAAACTCTTTGAGGGTGACTGCTGTGCGCTGTTGTTATCTTTGCTTTGCAGTTTTTACCTCCCCGCACGGTCACACTTTTTTTTTTCTTTTTGATACACAAGAATCAGCTAAGGTTTTTACTTTTTCCTTTTTTCTAAACTAGAGCTTTTTCAGACAAGGAAAAAAAAAAAAGAAAGCTGTACATATAAAAAACGACGCATTTTTACTCTCACTCTCTCTTTTTTTTTTCTTTTTTTTTTTCTGTAAATAATCGCTTTGTATAAATAAAAAAAAAAAAAAAAAAAAAAAAAAAAAAGAGAATGATGCCTAGTTTAATGAACGGAGTAATGTCTCCGAAAAAGACTATGCAAGAACCTCAAACCAACAACGGACCTCAAGAAAAACAGGTAAAGAAAAAAAACAGCAAAAAAAAAAACACAATATAATTTATTGCTGACACAGTTTACAGTTCGCAGCACTTTTGCAACCAGAATACAATTATGGTCTTTTTTCTCAGTCTAGCGCACCTTCTCTCTTTCCTAACCAAGGCTTGAGTTACGATCGCTCGAATAGTGCACCACCTATCCAAGGGTTACAACCCCAAATACCAGGTGTTATGACCCAACAACCGCAGTATGATACAAACCAAACATGGAAATTATGGGAAAATGGTGGTGGTACTGACAATTGTGGCAAGTTTTTTTTTTTTATTCCTTCACTAAAATGCTTATTTTTTTACATAGAAGGCAAGGAAAACGCGATTTATTATGGCTACCAACAAGGGCCTAGTAGTAGCAAAGGCAAGTTAGTAGACATCATTCAACAAGATTTTCCCCGCACGCCATCACCCATGTTTGGATTTCAACAAGATGCGGATATCGAGTCTGTAAATAAAATGTATATTGATTATCAACAACAAAAAAGTACCCTCACTACCAATTTACCCGACAGTCGACCTAACTCGACACCACCTACACATCATCACCTCGATGATACGGAAACGATGATTAAGCAGTTTGAGACGAATTTCAGTCATAACGAGACACAGGACTATGTCAGCTACAATGCACGTCCCTATAATGTCCCACTCGATTTGGCTGGGAAGGACGACTACGAATCCGTATACGGTAAATGGTCAAGTGGCGGTGGAGGGGGTCCATTGACTGCACCTGCTCCTTATGACGTATCCCGATTCCCACCAGATGACAGTACTAAAAAACTTCGAGCCTTACAACTACAACAACAACAACAGATTCTTATCCAGCAACAACAACAACAACTTTTAGCTGCTAGACAAGAATTATTGCTCCAACAACAACGTATGTATCATAAACGTCAACCGGTCGCATTAGAAGAAAATGCGCTTAGTACCCGATCTTTGCTTTTAGAGGAATTCAGAAACACAAAAAGCAAGAAATACGAACTATTAGACATCGCAGGACATATTGTTGAATTTAGTGGGGATCAACATGGATCCAGATTTATCCAGCAAAAGCTAGAAACTGCCAATAGCGAAGAAAAGCAAATGGTCTTTGAGCAAGTATTGCCAAACGCATTGCAATTGATGACGGATGTATTTGGAAACTATGTCTTGCAAAAGTTCTTTGAACACGGAAATCAAATGCAAAAGTCCATATTGGCCAAACAAATGGAGGGTCATGTATTATCTCTTTCACTTCAAATGTACGGTTGTCGGGTCGTTCAAAAGGCCTTGGAACATGTCTTGACAGAGCAACAGGCTACTTTGGTGAGTGAATTGGATGGTCATGTCTTGTTGTGTATAAAGGACCAAAACGGAAATCACGTTATTCAAAAAGCCATTGAACGTGTTCCTGCTCAACACATCCAGTTTATTATCAATGCATTCCATGGACAGGTCTATAATCTGGCCACGCATCCTTATGGTTGTAGAGTCATTCAGCGTATGTTCGAACACTGCAGGGAAATACAAACGGGACCTCTCTTGGGTGAATTGCATAAATGTACGAATCGACTAGTACAAGATCAATACGGAAATTACGTTATTCAACATATTTTGGAACGTGGAAGACCTCAAGATAAAGCAAAAATTGTCGACAAGATTCTTGGACATATCCTTGTACTCAGTAAACACAAGTTTGCAAGCAACGTTGTTGAAAAGTGTGTTGATTATGGAAGCAAACGCGATAGACAACTGCTGATTGATGAAGTAATTAAAGATCGCCCTGATGGCACCTATCCTCTTATCACTATGATGAAAGATCAATATGCCAATTATGTTGTACAGAAAATGCTAGATGTCGTAGACGATGATCAACGTGAAATCTTGGTCAATAAAATCAGACCTCACTTACAATCTTTAAAGAAGTATACCTATGGAAAACACCTTATTCAGAGTAAGTATAAACTTTTATGTATAATGCATCACAGTGCTTACCTTTTTCTTTTATTGTAGAAGTGGAGAAGTTGGGTGCCACCTATGGATTACATGATCCTGGTCTTGAGATTAATGATGGTAGTAAGATACCCACCATAAATGCTGATGAGTCTTAATTTAATTGCAAGAGGAGTGAGTGTATATATTGTATAAAAACTCCTGTATCATAATTGTCAAACACACACACACACATAACTTTTTTGTTCTGTTTATTTAAATCAATCCCACATAGTATACTTTTCTTTCCCTATATAAAAACATTAACCAATCATCTTTCGACGACGTCACTTTTTTAAATGGACGACCTTTAATCCATGTACCTTTAATATTGTTGTTTTGCGTCTTTCTTTTTTTTTACAAAAACAACATGAATTTCGTAAAGGCTACTGCATTCTCTACTCGTCTTATTCAGAAGAGAGGAATCTCGGGTTTTAAGACTCAACTTGTCAACAAGTCCTTGAGACAGAATAGATCTTACTCTTCTACTTCTTCTCATGTCGTTACCAAGGAAAGCAGCAACGTTCCTTGGGTCATTGGCTCTCTCATTGTTTTCGGTCCTCTCTTGTTCAAGTTGACTTCTCCTCCTGAGAAGAAGAAGGTTCAACCTGTTGCTCCTGTTGCTATTGCAGCAAAGGAAGAGGAAGAGGAAGAAGAAGAGGAGGCTGTTGAAGTACCTGTTGCTGTCAAAAAGGTACAAAAGCCCTATGTTCTTGTAGGTGCAGGAACTGCTTCTTTTGCTGCTGCTCAAGCCATTAAAGAAAAGGACCCTCAAGCTAATGTAAGCTGATAATATACAAACAAGAAGGCGCGAACATGTATATTTATTGACTTTGGTTGATAGGTTATTATTATTGGTGATGAGAGTTATTCACCTTATATGAGGTACATACACAAATTCATGCATGCACAAAAAAAAAAAAAAAAAAAAAAAAAAAAAAAAAAAAATTATATGACTAAACTATGAAATAGACCTCCTTTGTCCAAGGAACTTTGGTTCTCCGAGGACCCTAATGTTGCCGAAACTTTGGTTTTCAAGGACGTAAGTTGCAAAGTGAATCACAGAATGATGATGAAAATAACTAAAATATAAATTTATGTTAGTGGTCTGGATCCGAGCGCAAGTAAGTTCATCATTGTGTTAAATTTTAGCTTTTTTTTAAAAAACCAACTTTTGTAGCACCGTGTATCAAGATATTTCTAAATACGAAATTATTAAGGATGCCTCTGGATCTGATCTTGAAAGCGAAAAGATCAAGTTATTGCTCAACAAGTCTGTCACCAAGTTAAATGTTGAAGATCATGCTGTTACCTTGAATGATGGCAGCGTCATCTATTACAACAAGGTATATTTTTCACATCTTTTGATCTTTCTATAAGTCACTTAGGTTTTTATTTTTAAAGGTCTTATTGGCTACCGGAGGTGAACCTAAGCAATTACCTTCTCAAGCCGAGAACACAAATGTTACCACCTTCCGTAACATTAACGATTTCAAAAAGTTGGAAAAGATTGCCAAGGATGGTGCTCATATTGCAGTTGTTGGTGGTGGTTTCCTTGGTTCTGAACTCGCTGTTGCTCTTGCCCACAGATGTAAGTGGCCTATTTATCCCCCCCCCCCCTCCTCTCTCCCTTAGGTCTCTATGATTACTCACTCATGACACTTTATTTTCATCAGCTGGCAAGGAAAACTTAAAGGTGACTCAAATCTTCCCTGAAGGTAAGGAAGTGTAATCATCCATTATTGTCAATAAATCTAATAGAGATGATGATTAGAGGGTAACATGGCTAATGTTTTCCCCGGTTACTTGACTAAATGGACCACTAGCCGTGTCCGCAAAATTGGTGTAGATGTCAAAGATAAGAGCACCGTCAAGTCTGTCTCAACCGATAAGGAGACCGGTAAGACTGTGATTCATTTGGGTAATGATGAGACTTTATCGGTCGATCATGTTATTGTTGCTATTGGTATCGAACCCCGTGTGGATTTAGCTAGAGATGCTGGTTTGGAAATTGATGAGAGCAGATCTGGTGTTGTTGTCAATGCTGAACTTGAAGCACGTCGTGATGTCTACGCTGCTGGTGATATGGTCTCTTTCCATGATGTCCAGTTAGGTCGTCGTCGTATCGAACATCATGACCAGTAAAGTTACCAAGTCATCTCAATTTACTACTTGATCACATACTAATCACCTATTTCTTTATTTTTTGCTTGTTTTTAGTGCCGTTTTGAGTGGTAGACATGCTGGTGAAAATATGGTTGGCGCTTCTCGTGCTTACAACCACCAATCTATGTTCTGGTCTGATCTCGGACCCGAGATTGGTAAGTTTTTCTTTTTCTGTTATAGTATCATGCAGTTTGTATTGAAATCGTTCGAAACATAGGTTACGAAGCTGTCGGTCTTATCGACTCTCAATTATCTACTGTCAGTGTGTGGGCTAAAGCTACTGCCAATGATACACCTGCCGCTGCTGCTGCTTCCGAAGCTGATAGCCCCCGTGCTGCTCCTGGAGAGGAGGTTGTTGCTGAATCTTCCGCCACCTCTGTGACCGAAGCCGTGAAGGCTAAAAACCCTTTCCAAGATGAAAAGGTTAGTTTGTCAAAAAAAAAAAAAAAAGATATATACTGAAAAATAATGTGCTAATCAATTTTCTCTCTTTTAGTTTGGTAAGGGACTTGTTTTCTATGTCCGTGATCAAAAGATCGTCGGTCTTGTATTATTTAATGTTTTCGGTAAGGTTCAAGAAGCCAGAGACATCATTAACGGTGGTTACACATCTGACAAGATTGACGGCTTATTGAAAAAGTAAGTTTTTTTCTTTTTGTTATCGTTACATCAATATTAACACGTTTCATGTAGGTTTGAGCTTTACTCCAAGGACCATTAAAATTTAGAATAATAAAAAAAGATTGCATTGTATTTTAACAAAACATTAGCCAGACGGTGGTATCAAAAGTATAGAAGGGATCTATGCAAGCCGTACATCAAAAAAAAAAAAAAAAATGTAGATATGTATTCCCTCCAATCTACCTATATATGATTTAGATGAAAAAAAACAAAGGGGAGCTCAAATCAATAGGAATATCAAGCCCACGTATATGAAAGACATCACATGTACGCACTGTCATATATTGTCCAATAGGCAGAAAGCATATAAACATGCCTTCTATGCATTTTTATAACTGTTAAAATCCTCCTCCTCCTCCCCCCCCCTTTTTTTTTGGGATTCTATCTATTTCTTTTTATTTCTTTCCTTTTATTTTTTATCAATGAATGATAATAAAGTGGATGGATTACCACCTATTCAATTACCACCTACTATTGTTCATTATTACATTGCCAGTGCGCCACTACCAGAGGCGACAGTGAAGAAATCCAACAAAGAAGGTGCGGCAGTGGCTCGTAGATCATCACATAGTGCAGTTGAAAAAAGAAGAAGAGAGAGAATGAATGATAAAATAGAACGACTTAAGGATTTGTTACCCGCTTGTAACCCGTATTATTCAACATCGGTGCAACAACCTATACACAAATTAAGCGTTTTACAAGCATCGATTGACTATATCGGACAGTTGCACCATCAATTAGAAATGAGGCTACCTGAAGACAGTCCTTTACTAAAGGATATTTCGGCCATACGAGACAGGCTCAAAAAGAATCAAGAAGTCTTTGAAAAATAAACATTATCTAATAAAAAGACCATTTCATATCTTGACTGTCTTTAGTCTTTTTCAATTTTTTTTTTCTTCTTTTTTCTAAATGTGTAAAAAGCACAGATATGTGTAACAAATGCAAAAATTTAAACTGAAATCTTTCAAAAGGGTTTCTATGGTAACCTATGATTTCATTAAATAGTGAAATAGCTATATTTCGCCGGTGTTCTTTTAAACAGCGTAAATATACGCTAAACAGCCAAAATCCGAAAAAGAGACTGTGGCTGTCATCAATCCAAAACTGGATGGTTATTTGCAATGCATCTACTGGTGAACAATATGTCGCAAGTGCCGCCCAGTACATCAAATTGACAACTGTGAAAAGAGATGATGTGAAACTCTATATGGAATGTAGATATACACCAATTTACAAGTATTGCATCTTTTACGTACAAGCAAAACATATTAACCTTAATTTCATAAAAAGAATGTAAACCTTAGTTGGGTCAATTGAAATAAATCAATGGAGTTGGTAACTATGTTGGGATTTTTTTTTTTATTTCTATCTAAACAAATTAATCATGTCTCCAGCCCCACCTTCAAGTGATCACTCATACTCGGTGTTATCTTTTTTTTTTAAAAAAACTACAAATCATTATAAGTTGGACAAAACCAAAGTGCATCACATGCAAAATAAAAAATAAAAATAAAAAAGTCAATTCCACAATTTAAGTGTCAACTCAGCTATTTTGTACCTCCTTCTCCATCTCCCTTTTAACATGAGCACTGCAGCAAGTCGTAAATTATCCAAGAGAAAAAGAACTGTAGAACCAGTGAGTACTTTTGTAGAAGTAACCAATGGTCAAACCACCTCCCGCGATGCTTCTGGTTAGAATTTGTAAAATAATACAACTTTGTTCAGTCTGATTTAACCCAGACTTTTCCTATATTTAGATGAAGACAATACAGAGACGAATTTGCCTGATTTAAAAAAAAAACGTCGTACCGATTTTGTCATTGAAGACCAAGTTCAAGTAGAATTGCCTCCGGGTATTGAAGAACGTTACGGATTCAAGATTAATAAGGTAACGTTTTTATTTTTTTGAAAGCAGTGAATTCAATCTAGTAGACTAACATGAATAAAAAGCCCCCAGTTGGAAGACCCATTCGAATTTATTGTGATGGTAAACTACCGAGTTAAAAAAAAGCACAAAAAAAACAGGCACAAAGTTGACCAATCTATAGGCATTTATGATTTATTTCATTTCGGACATGCAAAGGCACTCGAACAAGCCAAGAAAGCTTTTCCTAACGTGTATTTATTAGTGGGAGGTAAAAAGTAATGCATTTAAATCAAAGAGAGAAAGAAATCTAAAAAACCAAAAACCAGTGTGTAGCGATATAGAAACGCATAAACGCAAAGGCAAGACTGTTATGACAGATCAGGACCGATACGAGGCTGTACGACACTGTAAATGGGTAGACGAGGTCGTGCAAAATGCGCCATGGTTTGTGGACCAAGAATTTTTGGATAGCCACAAGATTGACTATGTAGCCCACGATGCAGAGCCCTATCAAAGTAAAGAATCCGGTGATGTCTATGCATTCGTCAAGGACCAAGGCAGGTTCTTCCCCACTGAGCGTACTGATGGCATTTCCACATCCGATTTAATTACTCGAATCGTACGTGATTACGATGCTTATTTAAGAAGAAATTTAGAAAGAGGTGTCACTGCAAAAGAATTGAATATTTCCTTTATCAAGGAAAGAAAGATAAAGACGAAGAAATCAATTCAAGACCTGAAAAAGACTATCCGAACTGCAATTAATGATTCCATGTTGCTATGGGAAGATAAAAGTCATGATTTCATTAGAGGATTTAGTGGTGTCTTTGGCGCTGAAGATGTGGTGGATAAGATTTGGAAATACCGTAACCGTAATAGATTAACATCGGATAGTGTAGAAAGTAGTCGTGCTAGCAGCAGAGTTCAATCTGAGGATGAGGACAATGATGATGATGATGAGGACGACGAAAATCAGTATGATTCATGTGTGGAACCATAGTAACAATAAACTCTTGTACTTTTAAACACACTTTGGGGATGAATGCAAATTAATGTTTGTATTACAGAGAAAAAAAGAAAGTCTAAACGATGAGGGGGGTATTTTATTTATCTATCCGAAATGACGAGAGAGCATTTCCTACAAATTATAAAGGAATATTAATATACATTTATAGAAACAAGAATAATTTACACTTACATAGGTCAAGAAAATAATAGCGGATGTTGGTGCACTACGAGCAACAGTGATGCCACAGCCTCTATAAAATGCTTTATAGCCACCCTTTGCGTAGAGTTCTTTAGCGGTTTGGGCAAAAGATCGTTGACGACTCCCACTAGATAATTGTTCATCTGTTTGCATCTGTGATTTGATGACATCAACGGGAAATAATGAAGCATTATAAGCCATACCACCCAAGGCACCACCCACCATTAATTCGGTAGGTGTCAAATCTTTTTTGACGACAATCTCTCCGGTCTTTGCCTGTCTGTGTTGGATGAATTTAGCACAGACATATTCATAAGTACCAAACCAGAAAGCTCCACCACCCGCTTCTCTCAAGAGTGTAGCTACAAATCCTCTATAGAAGCCTGTAAGTCCATGGGATTGGAAGACATGACGCATGACATGGAATGGACCATTAAATTTAACACCTTGAGTGACAGTTTGTGAGCCGAGCTGAACTTGTAATTTACATTTAATCAATTCAACTGGGGTTAGAACAATGGATGCAATTGCACCTGAAGCTCCGCCCGCTAAAACCAATTGCGGAATTGAAAGAGGCGGTAATTGATCTTCGGGTATACCCTTTTGTCTCTCAAGTTCCTGACTTGATGTAGAGTTTTCTCGGATAATCCTTTGAACCTGTCTGTAACCAACAAACAATGCAGCGTTTTCTACCATAGATCCAACCAGTGGAGATGACATACCCTTTTAAGAAAATCCGTAAATACAATGCAAATGATAAAAACAAGTAAAACTTACAGTAAAAAAACCTTTCATGCCTTCTTGCTTTAATGTGGTTTTGAAACAATCCCAAGGGCCAGAAAAGTAAGGGTGATCCAAGGGTTGAGTTTGAAGACGAACTTTGATTGTATCAAAAGGATACTCTGCAAATTTACCGACCATACCAGCAAACTATAGAAAATAAAATAAAATAGGCATTGTAAGCTAGCTGTCTTTTTTGAGTGAGTTTCTAATTTTATGTTACCGATCCAAAAAGAAGGTCATCAATTTGATGTCGAAAGTTGGATTTAACTTCATTATCAGTTTGTTTGAGTTGTGCTGGAACATAAAGCGCAGTCTCGGCTAATAATGTTGAGTTTTGTTTGTTATCCATTGTTCAAAGGGTTAGCCTGACGGAAAGGCAAAGAAGAAAAAGAAGAAGAAAAAGAGAGAAAACAATGAAATTGAAAAAAACCTGACTCATAAAGAGCTGTATTTTCGCATTTATATTGGAAGCGGTCACACTAGGTTGGTTTTTTTTTTTTTTTTTTTTTTTTTCTTTGCTCTGTCTCTCTTTTTTTAATGAGGGAATATCGCAACACGATGAGACAATAACAAATCATATATTGCTCTCCTTCACATGCAATCTATTTTCTCCCCCAAAACACCCATTTATATAAAATAGGACACAACAACAAAAAGTAAAAAAAAAAAAAAAAAAAAAAAAAAATACAAAAATACAAAAAAAAAGATGGGGCAGATTGATAATCTAGTTTTTTATTTCTTTTTAAAAAATGAATCAGTGTTATCTAATCCTAATATTATCAACAACAAAAACTCGATTTATCTATAACGGTTACACATGAGGTGGCCTTTTTTAATTTTCTTGCATATCATGTAACGTCGTAGCAACGCTTCCTACACCCGACAAAATATATTCTTGATACGTTATACAGCTATAATTTATGCTTTGACCAGTCGACTGACAGCGTTTGGATATTAACATCTTTCGTGCGTACTCTCGTGAACAGCTTCCACCACTATCCACCTTGGTGTGCTGCAAAGACAATGGCCGAAACATATTTAAAGAGCACATCAAAGCTCTTGTGATACCTATTTCACCACCATGAATTTTACGGGCCAGAACAATAACATCTCGTTCGTCATAGTGTTTTACCAGTGGTGCCACATTGATACTACTGCCATGATATGCACAAGACAGTTGCTTTAATTCATATTCAGCTAACGCATACTCCACCATGGCGGAATACAGTGGTAGTGTGTGGCATTTCATCCATTCACACGAAATGGGATAAATCATCTTACGCTTGGGTAAATCCCTCTCTGGTTCCGGGTAGGATTGATAGAATTGAACCCGACAGTCTCTACATAAGCTTATAATCATGTCAAATGACTCAATAATAACTGGTAAGCTGACCATAGAGCCAACTTTACGTGCACAATACATGCCACACAATTCACAAATGTACTTGCTATATCGACTGAGTATGGTTTCGTAAATTGTGTTGTTATGAGGTATCCTAGATAACAACCCTGCTCTCTGACAAATGTCTCTCCAGACACTATGCTGTGTCACCAACCCCCTAAATTTTCTTGACACTTTACCTAGTCTGCATATTTGTGAAAGTGGTAAATACGATATAACTTTATGCCATAATTCGTGTGGCATCAATTCTTGATTGCTTATAACTCGACTGTTGACCTTGATTAAATTTGGTACGCCTATAACCAATTTTTCATTCCGTTGCTGAATGTCAAGTATTTGCGTCATGAAGGGAATGAAGGTAATCTTTATAAAATAAAAAAAAAGAAATAAAAACAAGGTACTAAATAACAGTTAAGCTGATAAAAGAAATAAACAACATACTAGGAACTTTGTGTTCAAGAGTGTGATATTATGTTTATGAGATCATACACATTTGATAAACAGTAACCCATTTTCTTTCTTTTGGTGTTTACTTTTTTTTTTTAAGCATGCAAAGACTAGTGCACCATATTCCAAATTTACTGTCATCTTTAGAGTATAGTAACAGGTTTAAGGTAATAGTAGGTAGTATGACCATGTAATGGAATCCCATCACATGGTCATAATAAACAGGTCACATGATTGGAATCAACGTAAAAACTTTATGCAGCCTAAAAACAAACAATTTATCTCACCCCCTTCTTTTCTTCTCTTCGTATACACTTATTTTTTTTAATAATGCAGAACAACATACCGACTGAAGTACTATTACAGATTGTAAACAAATTGACTCCATACGAAAAAAGACAAGGCTTATTAATTTGTCGAGATTGGTATCAAGTGTTTAGATACAGTCTCTATCATAGCATAAATATACACAGCTTACGTCAACTCAAATTATTTTTCCAAACATTGTCAACAAATGGACATCTTGTCAAGCATTTTTCAGCTCTCAAGAAAACAGGTGTATACTTACAAAAGATGCTCCATGATAAAATCATTATACCCCGTCTCTTGTTTGAGCAACTACCTGACCTTTGTCCAAACATGGAGACTTTGGACTTTGATCCGGAGACTTGGAAGTCTGTTTGTTTTAACATGAACGTATCACAGTGGATTCATATACGACAATTACCTACTCTTTCAATCATAGGCCCCTCTTTACCGTTTTTACACTGCCTAGGATCAGGTTTATCATCACTTTCGATTCAAAGTGAAATGATACTAGACATCTCAACCCAGAACAAATTATTCTCTATTCTTTCGTTGGTTCCCCGTATCACAGAATTCACTATCAGGGGGAATCGAGGCACCAGCAATGTAACACCTACCACTCTCTATCTAAGCCTAGAAGATATAGAATTGATTCATAAATTACTGCCTTGTTTGGAATCATTTACAATCACAGGAAATAATATAGAAATGCCTATTGGTGAGCTTTTCAATATTGAGAATTTTCCCACAGCTCATCGAATTAAAACTTTGCATTGGAATACACGGTTAATGCCCGTTACTTGGTTACTCTTTGTGACACATAAATACAGTCGTGTTCAAGACCTGGTCTTGGCTGTTCAGAACCATATACCCAATATTTCCTTTCCACAACTGACGGAAGAAAACGCATTGTATATTCAACTCGTGCAGAAATGCCGTCATTTAAAAAAGATTTCATTATCTAGTCCTCTTTTGAATGACTGGTTTAATGCATCTTTCTTGGGGGACCTGATTCATTTGCCATACATTCAAGAGGTGGGACCCATTGTACAAAAAGGAAATAGGATCAAGTTTGATACAGAATTTGCTTTAGCTGCATTGCCTGAGAATAGACGGCTCATTACTGCGTTGGAAATAGAACAATGGAGATTGGATATGAAATTATTATGCACACTCAACACCTTGAGGAATTTTACAAAACTCGCCTATCTCGAATTAAAATGCGATTCTTATAACGATAAATACGACCTGGAAAATCTACTTGAATCTTGTCCTCGTCTAGAGAATTTGGTTTTAGAATGGGGCACTCTTTTATTGACAGATCAATCTCGTAAGCGACACCCTTTAAAGTCGCTATGTATCACTTATGTAGCATTTGAACCAACCGTGTTTCAATATTTATCAAATAAATGCCGATCACTATCAACATTGCTCATCACCAAATGCAAACAACTGTGTGAACTTCAGAATGTCTCTACTCAGACTGTGATCCAAATTGATATGCCACAGAATAATTTTGAATTGATTCTAATGGATGGCATTCGATTGGATTATTCAAATGCAAACGTATTTTATCGTGGCTTATCCAGTTATGCCAGAGTGGTTTCAATTCAGCAAAGTGACATGCCAGTGAAATGGTACCAGCATGTAGAGTATACCTCAAGTAATCGAAAAGTACCGATATCTCAATTATTGAATGATAAGGATGAAAAAGTTACCCAGGACTACTTTTCACAGCGTGAACAATATTCATTTGTAAATAACCATGAAGAAGAAGCAAAGACCAACATGGAATTTGGATACATTAAAATCAAGTGCCAATCTTTACGGAATTTTGTATTGGACGGTAATTTTTCTTGTTAATTTTTATAAATAAAAATGGGTGTCATCCAATGAAATAAAAACAGGTTTTTTGAAATCACGTATGGTCTCGTTGATGCGGAATTAAATGAGCCTATTATGGAGTTTTATCTCCTCCTCCGCCACCTTCTTCTAACCACTTTGCGTATCGTTCCAAACGGAGCCTTTCAGCCTCCTCATCTTCTTCAGAAGGTATACCACCACTCTTCATATATTTAGTCTTTCCATCGAATATCTCTGCAGTAATCTGACGGCCTCCAAAAAATCTCTTGTTCATCAACTACAACCAATAAAAAAGTTAGTATTTTACTTTATTACTCTTATTCGTTCTTTTTTTTTTCTGATCACGTACTAACACACAAGCGTCCGCACTCTCGGTTTCCTTGAATCTAACAGAAATTACGCCACCGGGAGATTTCTACAGAAAAAAAAAAGTCTATTAGTTTAAAAAAGGTTATTATGCAAGCAGGAAAAAAAAATGCTTTACATCGTAAAGAATGACATTTGTAACTTCGCCTAATCGTTCACACTCTTCACGCACGTCATCCTTCAATTCTAATAATAAAGTAGGATCCGCGTCTAACTCTTCTTGTGTATACATGTTTTTCAAAATCACGATTTTTGCAAACTTCTCTTGTTTTTTCCCCCCTTCTTCATCTACCCAGTCAAATTTTCTCTGTAATTGCTGCAACTTCTTTTTAGCCTTCACTTTTCCTGGTGTCGTCTTTTTTTTTTCCACTGGCTCCTTCTCTTTAAATACGGCCTTTTGAACATTCATTTTGGTGGAAGAGTGACCTGGTCTCAACTCTGAATCGTCTAATAAATCAATGGCTAAAGGTACAGACTCTTCCTTGAAATACGATACAAGTGCATCGCCTTTCGATAGGCCATTATCATCGCGGTATATTTTAATTTTAGGTTCACCCGTTTCCAAATCCTCCATAATCACTCCACATTTGCTAAAAGTCGTCTTCATTTCCTCCATGGTCACATCCGGTGGGATGCCAGTAACATAAACGGAGGTGACGGGTTTTTTCACGGGCTCTCGTTTGGGTTTTTTGGAAGCTTCCTCAGGGTCGTTGGCTGAAAGGTCATAAGTCGCTGCTCGTTTCTTTTTTTCTTTGGGTTTAATCACCACGTTCTCTTCCACACCAGGTACAGCATAGACTGAAGCCTGCGCCTCCATAAGTTTTTCGTCGTACTAAAGGAATCATGCTTGGTCAGAGAAACAGAAAAATCAGCAACCTTATTAATTGCCTTCTTACCATTGGAAACCACGCGCCAACATTTTCGTCGTATTCGTAAGATATTTCATCGTCACCCACAAAAGACCATTTGCCTGTTTGCTCATTCAGCTTCATTCGAGGATCGGAGGCGAAATCGGACTGATTTGTAGACGCCATTTTTTTTAAAGTTAAGTGGAAAGGAAATTACGGGGACAGCATTTCATATCGATTTTTTTTTATTGTTTGTAGTGACTTGTTTCCTGTGTCTACTGCTTGATTTCTAAAACTTGAAGGGTATCCTTCCATGTTGCCCTTTTTTTTTTCATAGCTGTCTGCAGCAGAAGAAATATACAAAAATTTCTTATATACGCATCGCAATTCTTATTAACGCATTTATCATTATACTGCCTTGTTTCAAATGAGCTTATGATAGTGTAGAACCGCTACATAAACGTTGAAATCAACTAAATGATCTCACTAATATTTTCCGGTTTAGTCTGATAAAGAAGAAGAGAGAGTGTACCAAAATACATTATAAGCTATGGAAATATTGGATTCCGATGGATCTTCATTACGTTGTAATATGGATGTTAACTGGCAGTAAGTCCCAACAAGCCGCTTAATGCTCAGTCTACGCAAAAATAAAGATTGCAAACCTCCATGAGCCGCAAAAAGGGATTTGATACCTGGGTAAAACCTAGCCTTTCGATTAAATGAATGATAAAAAAAATGAAAATTTTCGTGCAATAAGCTGAACATCTAATGTTAGGTTACAAAAACATCAATTATTAAGCTGATCTTTGAATAATCAACGTTTATTTGTAATTGATTGTGATTCTAATTATTGCAATCTTTTGCCGCAGCTTTAGCAAAATGCTTAACTTTATGAGTTGCAGTCAAACAAGGAAAATTTACCGGCGTGGATTAAATTTTTTGATAAGAACGTTTGTCCGAGTGGACGTTATTTTGGTTAATGCATGAGTATGGGCGAAAGGAAACAGTTGATGCGGATTGATAATAATGATCAGCGGCTAGTAGCATAGTTACAAAAATTGAAAATCCTGATAAATATTTTAGCAGTAGAATTGACCATTTTACGTTGATAGAGTTTTCGATCTGGTTGCCAAGCTATTTCTAATTTCTGTAGCTCCCGTCTTAGTTTCGTTAACTGGTGGCTCATTGTGCACTCTCTCATTGAACAATCTTGAAACAATACTCTCTACTGTAACTGCGTATTGAAGCCCACATTATTGTATTGTTTGCAATACAGTTCTTTTTCGTACAGTGCATCTATTTTACAATGAACAATTTTTGGCTCCGATTTTTCAAAAAAAAATAAAAACTCTATCTCCTCGATGAATTCAACAGGTATCCAAAATCCGGCTCTATTACATTCTTTATTAGAGAGTTCTCCACAAACTAATAGAGCTAGAATTTTTTTTTTCACACAAATTTTTTTACAGATGGCAAAACAAAATTTGCCATTTACAGTGGGAAGACACAAAGATGTCCGGGAGGTGTTTTACAGTGCAAAAATTCATAAAAATCCAACGGATATATCCCGGTTAAACTTTTTCCCGCGATAAATTAGATTTCTCTGTCAAAAAATATGAAAATCACCAGTCTAAAAATCCGACTTTTCAGTTCTGAAAATGTCCGTTTTAACGAAAATTGTTCATTGTAAAATAGATGCACTGTAATCAATTTTTTTTTTCGACACGGGGACATCATGCAATGGTACTTTTTTATTGTCAGGATTGATTCGCGAAAATAAAACGCGTAAATAAACACACAAAATTACCATAAAACCAAAAAGATAGTAAGTTTTGTATTGACATGCTCATTTTGTCTGTTTGTTTATATTTCTCATTATTATTAATCACGAGATGTGTAAACAAAATGTAATAAAAAAAAGTTTAAGGAGATCTTTTTAAAACTAAGAACATGAGATATTTTATGTAATGAAAAAAAAAGCTTGACTAAAATGCCTTCTGATTGGGTCGGGAACGTACACGACACTTTTCACTTTTTTCAAATTTTACCGTTTTCCAAAGCAGCTATCACTGGGGAGGATACCATGATGGGCTTTTTAAAAGAATAGTATCTTGCTGCTTTTCATTACTTAGGCCAGGATAGGCAGCTTTAGGACTATTTTTAATAATGATGGTGTGTTTTTGAAGCTTGATCCAATCGTTACGAGTTTCGATAAGTGTGGTACAAAGAGATCGTATGAACTGAAAATTAATGACCGCAGGAGGTATTGATAGGTGGCCAACTAGGTTGTTTACATATAATGTGTTAAATTGATGTTTCGGACTGTATTTGTACAATTCCAAAGCAGTTATCACTGGGAACTTTTTGGGACACGACACTCTACACTTTTTCCAATCCACAGAATTGGATGCAACATAATTCCTTATCAACATTATCTTCAAGCGAGTCAATTATATCCTTCGTTTTAACAAGCAACTTGGTATGATCGAAATCAAACTTCTGTCTGCTTGGTGAGATTCGGCTAGCTTCAATATCCATCATGTCATATTCCTTATTCATATTTCCTTCTTGCTTATCATAAATTATCCTGACGTCGGCACGCAAACGGCTGGGGATAAAAGAGCATGAGCTTTCACCCCATTTGAGCCTTAAACCAGTCTTTTGAATTAGCTTCTCCATAAGTGGCCCCCAGAATTTTACTAAATGCAATCTTGTTCATTTTTGTCGATATTTCTGTCAAACATGTACTGATTGTAATCGATGAATTCCAAGGTAAAGGCATGGACATACAGTACATAAGCTTCATCTTGAGATAGTCTAGCCTTATACTTGTAAAGATTCTTAAAAACGAAATCACTAGCCGATGAAAGATCAGTCTTGGCCATAATTTCCGCTTTATCCAACATTAATTGTAATTTCGTGCTAATGACGACTTGCTTGGTATCCTTGTTTAATTTAAGCATGCGCCTGAGATCGTGCCATTGGTTGGATGCAAATAGAATAGACTGGGAATCAGGAAAATCGTATGACAAATCAAGGATGCTATTAAGACCAAGTCTAATTTGTAAAGTTGGAGTTAGTATTAATTTTCCATTTAAAATATAAAATGTTGCTCCATTTACGTTATAGTTGGCTTTGCATTATTATCTTCATAGTAATTGTTGTACAATGATAATGCTGATTTTTTGACATGTGCACCCACTGAACTGGTCATTCCTTCGATATAAAGCCCATCATCTTCCTTGATCTACAGTGTATAAGTAAGTAAAGAGTAAAGACTCCAAGCACTAAATAAGGCTTTACCTTTTCTATTTGCGGTTGTGGTTGTGATTGCTGCGATGGTTCCTTAGCCTTCCCCTTCTTATTCAGCTGTTCCATAAGATCAGCTTGGTAAGTGTTATCGAAGATAAAAGCCTCTTTTAACGTCCTCTTCAAAGCCTTTTGGGCTCTGATGTCCTGTTGGGAATTCTAGTAACAAACGATTAGTTATCTGCACAACTACATTTTTTTTTTATTTACTTCATCATCGCTAGTAGGAGTATTATTGCAACTCTACGCATTTTTGAGAGACACATCTGTCTTGAACGATCATCAACTGAATTGCCACCATTAATACCAGTGACAAAACCCTCCTACGTATTTCACCACCACCAAGAATTTCCTCATTACCAAGCATATTCACCATACTTGCATCACAGACCATGGTTTTTTTTACTGTTGCAAGATAAAGTATTGAATATAGAGGATACAGCAATAATTGTAAGAGGAAGAGACAGAAACAGTTTTGTTCGATTGTCACGTGTCCTTAACGAAAACATGACAAAACGAAAATCGCAGAAGGGTTTTTTTTTTTTTTTTTTTTTTTTTTTTTTTAAAAAAAAAAAAAAAGAAATGTCTGCGCTAATGAGATTAAAGTTTTGTGAGTCAATGGTCTTTCAAGTTAGCCCTACAAGTAAAAGAAGATAATGTACACCTACGTCTTTTTGAAAATTTTTCTAAAGTCACGTTATACATCCTATTTTTTTCCGTATTTTGAGACCATCAATGGATTTCAAAAGACGGCGTACTACTCTACATTCTGACCCACCGTGGTTGGTAATGTAAGATACAGACTCACAATGCCTACAACGGGTGATGCGAAAAGCTTCATTATGCAGAGAAGTCTAGCCGTAGCTGTGATAACAAAAAATGGGAGTATATCCTTTTAATTGTAAAAAAAAAGTGATATTTTAGCGTTTTCTCTTAAAAATTAAAAGATGTTATTAACCAACCTTTTCACAATATATATTTCTTATCTTTTTAAAAAAAAAATTGAAGGGAAGGGAAGGGAAAGTGTTTAAATAGGTTTTATTTTTAGACTGCTAAAAAAAAGCGCCCATATAGTTACGTCAAGATGATTCAATTGTTTATTTAATTATGAAATCGTGTAAACGGGTTCTATTTATACACTGATAAACAAGGGCTGGATTATGTCAGGATCTATTTGATCATCCATATGTTTCAGCCTTTACATAAAATATTTAAGTGAGTTTGTATATCCCACCCTAGCTTAAATACAAGCAATTCGGAACTTGTTAATTGTCAGTAACAGCACGTATCAATAGTGAAGCATGATATAGATGCCAATTGAAGTGATTTTTTTTGTAGACTATGGTCGCATGATAATATAAATTTTCCTTGTTGGGATCTCCGAACACTGAGAGCGGGTTATGCAATAGGGGATCACTAATGATATTTAAGCCTTTACGTATGAAGGAAACATCTAGGCTCATAGGCCTGGGTTTTTTTGGGGATGTTTCTATTATAGGTAAAGGCTGAAATATCATGATTGATTAAATTAACAATTGACCAAATTATCCTGACTTAATCCAGTTCGTATTTATCAGGCTATAAATTAACACACCTTTTTTTTTTTTTGTCTTTTTCTTCTCCTTCTGAACCAAAAGATGAACTCATTGAGCTTATCTTACTTGCATACTTGGGCTATGCAGAATTTGTCTCTTCCAACAATGTGTAGAGCTCAAGTTGTTGTCACATGAGCTATAAAGAGGCAAAAAAAAAAAAAAAAAAAAAAAAAAAATGACTGAAGGTGTGCAAATAAATGATTATTTATTATTTGGAACTGTTTCAATATAAAAGGGCGGAACGGGTTCTGTGACCATGTCTGTAGTTGGAAAAAATCAATTAAAATGTTGAGTTTAACAGATGAATTAGATACTTCAAGTTTTTTATTAACGGTTTGATTCACACATTCCAGTGGATGGTGGGGTATTGGAATGAAGGGGTCGATATTTTCGTGACGTTGTATGTGATGGGCTTAAAGGTAGATTAATCGAATTTTGAAGCATAGAGCTTAAAGACATAAAATTTTGTGGAATAGAGTTTTGAGGCATGATTTTTTGACGCTTAGGGTTTTGCGACATAACGTGCCTCCAGTTTTAAATAGTGAAATAAGAGTATGCGAGTAGTATTGGCGGAATAAAGAGTACTTCTTTAAATAAAATAAAGTTTAGTAAAGAAAGTCTTTATAATTGCGAGTTGAGTGAGCACCACAGCTAGTTTAAACAGAAGCTGAACTGTTAGAAAATAAATGGATTTAGATATAGCTTATATGCTTATAAATAAAAGATACAATGATAAAAATGTAATCAAGGGATCAATCAGAATGATAATAGAGCTGAATAATATATAAAACTAATAAGTCAAAGTGTTGAAATATGAGTAAAATAATAGATGAGGATTTTTATTTAGGAGAGGTCTTATGGATGCCTATTTATAGTGATGGACGTATAATCCAGTCACTGAAATTAAAGAAATTGGGGAAATTTATAGAAGAGATTGAGGTAATTGCGCCTACTAAGAGGTCACAGATCTGAGGATAAGAAAAAGATGAAAAGAAGTTGTAGTTTTGACAGGTGCAAACCCGAAAAGGTGTATTGCACTTTAGTAGGTGTTTAAAAAGAAAGAAAAATTGGAAATGCGCTCGATTTGTCGCATAACAATAGCAATATATGGCTATTTAAAAATGTAGGCACGTTGCCTTTCAAGACATAGGGTTTTGAGGTCCGCGATATGGGGACATATTATTTGGGTGCACAAGGTAGTTATAATTGTGAGACATATTAAAGTTTTGTACATAGATGTATTGAGATGGCATAATCTTAGGAAGAGGTTTGGATGTTGACGAAGTGTTATCTTGTTGATGTATTTCTTTTGAGTTTTGAGTATTTAGCATAATTGTTTGTCCTGGTAATAGGAGGAAAAGATTAGCTTCTGATCTTTTTCATATGGTTCTTTAATCAAGGTAGAAGCAGAGTCATCTGTAAGTGCCTTTTTTGCTGTCTTCTATTGCGAGACGCTATTAAAACTTCTCTCGAGACTGGCACGTCCACGCAAAACTTTCTAATTGTGCCATCTATCTTTATCGAAAAATCTGTCATTATCCTATTTTTTTATCGACTTGCTTGAGGTAAACTAAACATTAAAAAGACAAAAAGACCAAAAAAGCACCTAAAATGTTCTCCTGACGCATTGCACAAGCAAATTTTACTTCGCCTTCTTTAAAAGTTTTGCCCTTGTCGAGACTATATACCAAAGCCAAAGCTTGTTTCATTCGTTTGTACTGCTTGCTGGGAGTAATAACACAAAAACAATCTGGAAAATTTAAATTTATTAGATCTTGATCACGAAGTAGCATAAATGGTGACGAGAAAAGATCGAAAACATTTCACGTAAATCTGTATCACTATTAAAAATCCTAATGCTTTTTAAAATTCTGAGGAGTTTACCGGATTTATATGAATCACGAATAACGCAATAGGCTGCTCTATCTACATCTATTTGTACTTGGTAGTACACCAGGCCATGCTCATACTTCTTTATTAACTCAATGACTTCCTTAGTTTTCTTAGGGGAGGGATAGCGAACTTTTCTATGACTAGATTGAATTCATTCAAGAACATCAAAACTTTATTGTATTGATTGATTGACAGCTTCAATGCCCAGCGAAACTTCAATTATTTTTTTACTGCCCTTCTTATTTAAGGGAGCTTTCTATGCCACTAAAAAAGATGTAAGTAAGTGAGTATAACTAAATCAACTCACTCCATACTACTTTGCAATAAAATCTATTGACTATTGTCATTCTCATCAGTTTGTAAACCAATCTGTGTTCTAACATCAGTGTCTAAATGGAAACACTTTTCTTGTAAGTGCGCTTAAAAACAAATTATTTCTTGAAGAAGACAACAAAATAAGTAGTGCCAACAGTGTATGGGTGCTGAAGGTCAACCCGATATATACATTGGCTCTTTTTACAAAATTCTTATGATTTATGAAGTACCAAAATGCGGCTAAGCATTTTGTTAAAAAAAAAAAAATTAAAGAAATCTAGCGGGCTAAATAATATACTTTTTAACTTTCCATAGGCATTCTGTAAATCGCTGAGGTGCTAGCTCGTACTTTCATCGGTAAAGCCTTTAAAGCTAGTTCAAACTCGGTAACGTCAAAAGATCCATTGCTTTGGAAAGTAAACAAAGAAGCTTGAATGATAATAGCGGAAGAAGAACCAAAACTGGAAGATACACCAGAAGTAGATCCATCGAAAGGTGCAGCTACTAAGCTTCTATTCAGCATGCCACTTTCTAATAAACGGCTCCTGCAAGCTTTCGTGGGCTTTTCTCTTAAAGAAGTATTTATAGCAGTACCCCGAATAAAAATATCTTTCAATTATCTTACTGCATATAATGCATGAATTTTTATGCGTACCTTTTTGTACCTGAATTTCATTACCAATTTCTTTGTTTTGTTGCTCGTATTCTTCTTCCTCGGGATCTCTGACAAGAGGTCGCTTGGAATCGGAGTTTTTAGTAGACATAAGATTCATGATAAAAAAGTTTCCGAAGAAAAGGTGTTTTTGATTTTTAATGTTAATCAAACTTTAAATAAATCAGTATTTATAACTCCCATGTTAATAAAACTGGGAACTTTCAACAGATTCTCCAGGATTTTTTGTGGTCAAATGCCAGGGCCGCCGATTTTTCTGAGCTACAGTTGATTCATCTCTAAAATAAAGGTCATACAAATTGCCCCGATCTCATAATGGTAATGCACAATAGAAAAACGAATAAATATGGCAAGACTGAACTTTCGGGTTGCATACGTAACACGATTGTAGAGCTTTGTCCGTTCATGATGTTTAGCAGTTACATGTTCTAAACAACCCATAAAAAAGGTGAGCCACTTTTGACATTCGCAACGTCAGGTAGATGGTTTGGTGTAAAGGCTCTCAAAACAGGCAACAACACTACCACTGAATGGAAATACAGCTCCCACTACGATGCAATCAAGAGGGCGATTGTAGCTGTTGATGTCATCAACACCACCAAAGCATGCACGCATGCACGCAACGCACAGTGGAAGAGGGTCAGGTTCAAGAATGGTTGACTTTGATAGTGTTAGTGAGGACCAAACTTCAAGACAAGATTGGTTCTATGAATAATGCCTACCTGACGGGTCTTCCAAGAAAGACTATGATAACCACGGCTGATTTCCCTTTATCTCAGCGACATTTTTATTTGCCCCGAACAGGTTTTGAGCCTCTGTCGAATCACAGGAAAAATTCGTGTAGGCGTTGCAAAAACCTTTAATTCTGCAATATCATTGAAAATGCTTGGGACCTTTAGAGTTGCGCTTCTTCAGGATGCAGTTTTGATGAGAGTCAAGTACCCCGGGCATGCCATCTTCATCAATCCTATTTTTGATGACGGGTTGTTTAGACAGTTTAGCAGGTAATTTGATATATCTGACTCATGTTTCAATTCTTTAATACCATGACTTGTTTAGTGATCTACAAGCTGCTGTCCTTAAAAATGTGAGGAAAAACCCTGTGAATAAATGCAATTGATAACATACATTCCTCTCATTGACCAAAGGCTCGAAATAATTTAAAAGATATTTGATACTGAAAACAGGCTCAGGGAAAAACAGAAGAAAACAATTTTGCAACACTTGTCTGACAATTCGACAGGTATAGCACCTCTTCGTATTAATGTGCATATACCAGGTGGTATTAGACAGTCACCAGTCGTAACCACTAACTCTGGTTTATAAAAAATAAATAAACAATCTTTTTCCTCTACATAATTTCAGGGACAAATATATTTATAAATGTGTATATATGTTTAAGCAACTATTTTTCGTTACTTTCGTTGATTAAAAGGAATTCTAATTGTTTTCAACAAAAAACTACTTTATTTTTGCTTCCGATTAATTGTTCAGGGAGAAAATGATCCATTTCATCTATTTGAAAGTAAAAGATGATTTCAAAACATTGCACCGACAGTGTGGAAGAGGTCATAGCTTTATAGTACCCCCGCTGTAGAAGACCTTACAAGATGAATATAATTTATGTTAGTCAAATACCTCAAAACAAGAGGATATATAATCAACATCACTTACTTCATTCTTAGTCAATTTCACTCACAATAAAAGACCGCCTTGCTACCACATCAAGATGACCTCATCATCAAGCAAGCAACAAAAAGTTTAGCAAAGATACACTCTCCTGGAACTTTATACTGAATAGTTGCCAGAAACAGTCTTATTCTATCACGATAGCTGATTCCCACTCAATACCAACAAACCACGCTCGTAAAAAGCCCTCAGCTAGAAACTAACAGTGATTCCCGTGCTTTGCATCAACGTCAGTTGCAGTAACTCCTGATTGGTAAAGAGGACCGAAGGCATCTTTCTCTCATAGCTAAAATGAATTATTAGTGATTTCACTCATAATTGCAACTTATTATCACATCTTACCTATTATCTTTGAATTTCACCACAATAAAAGACTGCCTTGCTACCACATCAAGATGACCTCATCATCAAGCAGGCAACAAAAAGTTTAGCAAAGATACACTCTCCCGGAACTTTATACTGCATAGTTGCCAGAAACAGTCTTAGTCCACCACGATAGCTGATTCCCACTCAATACCAACAAACCACGCTCGTAAAAAGCCCTCAGCTAAAAACTAACAGTGATTCCCGTGCTTTGCATCAACGCCAGTTGCAGTAACTCCTGATTGGTAAAGGGAATCAAAGGCATTTTTTTTCTTAATGCTACAATGTATTATTAGTGATTTGGCTCTTATTTGATACTTATAATCACGTCTTCCCTAGTATCTTTGAATTTCACCACAATAAAAGACCGCCTTGCTACCACATCAAGATGACCTCATCATCAAGCAGGCAACAAAAAGTTTAGCAAAGATACACTCTCCTGGAACTTTATACTGCATAGTTGCCAGAAACAGTCTTAGTCCACCACGATAGCTGATTCCCACTCAATACCAACAAACCACGCTCGTAAAAAGCCCTCAGCTAGAAACTAACAGTGATTCCCGTGCTTTGCATCAACGTCAGTTGCAGTAACTCCTGATTGGTAAAGAGGACCAAAGGCATTTTTGTTCTCAAAGCTACAATGTATTATTAGTGATTTCACTCATAATTGCAACTTATTATCACATCTTACCTATTATCTTTGAATTTCACCACAATAAAAGACTGCCTTGCTACCACATCAAGATGACCTCATCATCAAGCAGGCAACAAAAAGTTTAGCAAAGATACACTCTCCCGGAACTTTATACTGCATAGTTGCCAGAAACAGTCTTAGTCCACCACGATAGCTGATTCCCACTCAATACCAACAAACCACGCTCGTAAAAAGCCCTCAGCTAAAAACTAACAGTGATTCCCGTGCTTTGCATCAACGCCAGTTGCAGTAACTCCTGATTGGTAAAGGGAATCAAAGGCATTTTTTTTCTTAATGCTACAATGTATTATTAGTGATTTGGCTCTTATTTGATACTTATAATCACGTCTTCCCTAGTATCTTTGAATTTCACCACAATAAAAGACCGCCTTGCTACCACATCAAGATGACCTCATCATCAAGCAGGCAACAAAAAGTTTAGCAAAGATACACTCTCCTGGAACTTTATACTGCATAGTTGCCAGAAACAGTCTTAGTCCACCACGATAGCTGATTCCCACTCAATACCAACAAACCACGCTCGTAAAAAGCCCTCAGCTAGAAACTAACAGTGATTCCCGTGCTTTGCATCAACGTCAGTTGCAGTAACTCCTGATTGGTAAAGAGGACCAAAGGCATTTTTGTTCTCAAAGCTACAATGTATTATTAGTGATTTCACTCATAATTGCAACTTATTATCACATCTTACCTATTATCTTTGAATTTCACCACAATAAAAGACTGCCTTGCTACCACATCAAGATGACCTCATCATCAAGCAGGCAACAAAAAGTTTAGCAAAGATACACTCTCCCGGAACTTTATACTGCATAGTTGCCAGAAACAGTCTTAGTCCACCACGATAGCTGATTCCCACTCAATACCAACAAACCACGCTCGTAAAAAGCCCTCAGCTAAAAACTAACAGTGATTCCCGTGCTTTGCATCAACGCCAGTTGCAGTAACTCCTGATTGGTAAAGGGAATCAAAGGCATTTTTTTTCTTAATGCTACAATGTATTATTAGTGATTTGGCTCTTATTTGATACTTATAATCACGTCTTCCCTAGTATCTTTGAATTTCACCACAATAAAAGACCGCCTTGCTACCACATCAAGATGACCTCATCATCAAGCAGGCAACAAAAAGTTTAGCAAAGATACACTCTCCTGGAACTTTATACTGCATAGTTGCCAGAAACAGTCTTAGTCCACCACGATAGCTGATTCCCACTCAATACCAACAAACCACGCTCGTAAAAAGCCCTCAGCTAGAAACTAACAGTGATTCCCGTGCTTTGCATCAACGTCAGTTGCAGTAACTCCTGATTGGTAAAGAGGACCAAAGGCATTTTTGTTCTCAAAGCTACAATGTATTATTAGTGATTTCACTCATAATTGCAACTTATTATCACATCTTACCTATTATCTTTGAATTTCACCACAATAAAAGACTGCCTTGCTACCACATCAAGATGACCTCATCATCAAGCAGGCAACAAAAAGTTTAGCAAAGATACACTCTCCTGGAACTTTATACTGCATAGTTGCCAGAAACAGTCTTAGTCCACCACGATAGCTGATTCCCACTCAATACCAACAAACCACGCTCGTAAAAAGCCCTCAGCTAAAAACTAACAGTGATTCCCGTGCTTTGCATCAACGCCAGTTGCAGTAACTCCTGATTGGTAAAGGGAATCAAAGGCATTTTTTTTCTTAATGCTACAATGTATTATTAGTGATTTGGCTCTTATTTGATACTTATAATCACGTCTTCCCTAGTATCTTTGAATTTCACCACAATAAAAGACCGCCTTGCTACCACATCAAGATGACCTCATCATCAAGCAGGCAACAAAAAGTTTAGCAAAGATACACTCTCCTGGAACTTTATACTGCATAGTTGCCAGAAACAGTCTTAGTCCACCACGATAGCTGATTCCCACTCAATACCAACAAACCACGCTCGTAAAAAGCCCTCAGCTAGAAACTAACAGTGATTCCCGTGCTTTGCATCAACGTCAGTTGCAGTAACTCCTGATTGGTAAAGAGGACCAAAGGCATTTTTGTTCTCAAAGCTACAATGTATTATTAGTGATTTCACTCATAATTGCAACTTATTATCACATCTTACCTATTATCTTTGAATTTCACCACAATAAAAGACTGCCTTGCTACCACATCAAGATGACCTCATCATCAAGCAGGCAACAAAAAGTTTAGCAAAGATACACTCTCCCGGAACTTTATACTGCATAGTTGCCAGAAACAGTCTTAGTCCACCACGATAGCTGATTCCCACTCAATACCAACAAACCACGCTCGTAAAAAGCCCTCAGCTAAAAACTAACAGTGATTCCCGTGCTTTGCATCAACGCCAGTTGCAGTAACTCCTGATTGGTAAAGGGAATCAAAGGCATTTTTTTTCTTAATGCTACAATGTATTATTAGTGATTTGGCTCTTATTTGATACTTATAATCACGTCTTCCCTAGTATCTTTGAATTTCACCACAATAAAAGACCGCCTTGCTACCACATCAAGATGACCTCATCATCAAGCAGGCAACAAAAAGTTTAGCAAAGATACACTCTCCTGGAACTTTATACTGCATAGTTGCCAGAAACAGTCTTAGTCCACCGCGATAGCTGATTCCCACTCAATACCAACAAACCACGCTCGTAAAAAGCCCTCAGCTAGAAACTAACAGTGATTCCCGTGCTTTGCATCAACGCCAGTTGCAGTAACTCCTGATTGGTAAAGAGAATCAAAGGTATCGTGTTCCTAAGGTTAAAATCTATTATTAGTGGGCCCACTTATAATTGAAACTTAATATCATGTCTTACTTATTTTCTTTAAATTTCAGCACAATCAAAGACTTCTTTGCAGCCCTGGAAGGAAGCTTTGTAGTGCAAACCAATCTTTAATCTCTGGAAAGATTAGGGTACGTTAATGTTTTTATCCATGTTATTGATTGATCGGAATACAAGTATACATCAGATAAGGTTGACAATAGCTCTACATTGGCACTTGTGTCTAAGTGATGACCGATAGGGAAGAAACGTACATGACTACCACATGTTATTAAAAATGCATGAGTAATAGAACAAGAAAAGTGGACAATAGTTTGTCTATCTTACCTGTTTGCCTGATGGGTGACCAGTAAAAGAGGCAATTAACTTCCTTGTTTCTAGAAGACATGACTGGTAAATATAACAACTGCTACTATTACTGATATATGCGCAGCAGATTAAAATATTTGAATAATAGACGCGACAGAGCAGGATTACGTATTTCCCTTTGTTTTAATTTGAGAATACAAGCATGGTTGTTGGGGACGTACGCGTTTCAAAAAGTGAAGGGTGAAGGGCAGAAAGAAAATATTCCTTGTTCTTCATTATGTTGCCAGTGTTCTTGGCATGGTAATAAGTGTATATTGGCAACCGAATCTTTTTGCTTAGACGATGTGGCTAATGGCAAAGTTGGTAAGAGAGAGCTTGAATACGGCTTTGAAGAATAATTACCTAAAGTTTCTCTTGAGCAACATTAATCACCATAGTTGCATTAAACCGCACGAATAAAAAACTGACTACAAGTCCCGTTAGCAAATTAAACACATACAAATATAAGTATTAGCAAGATAGTACTTGTCAATACAACACGTTACAGTAGCTCTCATAGACAATTCGTGGGGGATAATTATGCAGATGGGAGAAGAAAATGAATAATTTTTTTTCTCCTTAAATACCCCCAATAAAAAAAGAATGACGTCAGAGTTATCCTTTGGCTTTTTCATGCGGAATGACCTTAATTGGTAAAGAGATGTGACCGAACAGTGCTGAAACCGCGGCTATATAAACATTTCTAAGTTTCGTTGTAATTTGCATAGTCTCGAGCTAACATTTATAAAAATTTCGCGTTAGCTATACGCGGAGCTTTATAAGACATTTATGCAAAGGATGGAATAAATAAATTCTGTATTAGGTCATCTCCAGCAGATATGCTTAACACTATCTACAGTTGGTGTTTAAAAAGAATAGTTCATTTAAAAAAAACTATAAAAACCAAAGTTTACAAAATTGTTCCAGGCTGTTTACGAGACTTACAAATGTTGAGTAATCTTCACGACAACCAGCTTTTGAACAGCTTCGCGTGTTTGAATATATCTTTTCCTTAGTTATATGATGACTAATGAGTGTTAAAGTGACCATAAAGAGAACTCTACATAGTTTATGCACATACATAAACAAATTTCTTAAAAGACTTGACAATTATTAAAACTTCTGCGTTAAAAAACTAAATATCTAAACTGCTCTTATACTACTTGGTCGTGAATTCATCAGCGAAATAATTATACGTATATCGGGTTTACTGCAAAGGTTTGAGAACCATGACATTGGTTAACTATAGCTTTATAAAGAGAACAAGTGATATATACATAGCCCATTATAAAATCATTTTTTATATTAAGTAAAAAGTTTGTCAATTAACTTCCACGAGCTCAAGTAAGTTGGTTTTCAGTCTAAAATCAAATCTTCTGGCCACACCATGTATGACCCTTCATTTGTATGCACTAAGTATTTTGGATAGGGTTTCCTGCTGATTTGGCCGTCTTACCGGCTCCTAAACGATAACAAGTGTTACATAGTATAAGACATCAGCAAAATCTTGAGCAAAGTATATAGTTTGAATAATACTTACTGTTGTAGCTTCTCCCTCATTGTTGGGCTTTCTTCTTTGATGCTATTTGAAAGTTAGAACAAATAGCTTTATTGCAAATTTGCAAACTGATGTCGCAAACGTTAGACATACATCCGCTATAGATCCATTCCCGAATATTTATGCAGCTTTCCATATAATTTTTTCAGCAAAACTTTTGGTATTATGTAAATGCAAACATGAAAATTGTTGCCATTCAGCAACAATACTCTGCACGTATCTCTCATCTTAAAGACATATGGAATGAGCTCAACAATCTTGGAGACGTTAGTATGATTGTAAAAACTGTAAATATTACCAACTATGAACAAGTTTGTTTGCTGTGTGTGAAACTACAACAGTCGTTACTTAAAATTAATTCTAAAAAAATACAATTCATTTAATGCAAAGGTTGGAAACTAAGTATAGATTTATTATAAGACCAGAAAAGCTGACTAGACATAACTACCAGCGGCAATTATTCAATACAAAAAGAGTCAATCAATTCATCGCAGCAGATTTGCTTTAATGTATTCAGCTAAAATTAAGTTTAACTGTTGTTACTGACTTGTTTAAGTTAAAAAAGCGGTAACGTGAAATAAAGATAAAGAGTAAGATAAAAGTTTTTAAAAAGTGAGCACCAGACTATAAGTTGTCAACTAGGATAAAATAAAATATAAAGATATAAAAGGGAAATGCTACGACGGATCAGTTATCTGTGTCTTCGAAGGATTATAGTAAAATACAACTGGTAAGACTATTCAGTGCTGATTTATAAGAAGGGCTTTCGTACAATTATAGTAGTCATATATTTTTATAATGAAACCAGGCGTATATGAATAAGACTAAATCAGATTATAGTAAAGAACAAACTAAAGATTTTATTGGTTATTTTTGAGGTCCTTTTATAAGAAAAGGACAGAAAAGCCGTCAGAAAAATATAGGGATCTGAAGTCAAAAGGACCAACAGAAGAAGAAAAAGGTGGTGTAACACTGTTCAGTATAATTTTGGGTGTACGAGATGTTTCCTAAATTTCAGACACAAAAATGAAAAGACAGTCCTCCATCACACCCATTAGATTGTCGACTCTTTTTTTATTGCAAGAATGTCACAAAAACATACAATCCAAGGATCAGAGTGGGAGAATATCCCTCAGTGTACCGGTACTGTGTATGATCCTGATTCACGCCTTAAAGGTTGGATGCTAGTGCATGGACCACCAATTCCAGCCATCCAAGCCTACAAAAACAAAGTTTTTGTGAGCACGAAAAGAACACACCCGGAAGAACTTGAAATCACACATGCAGAGCCTCGTCCCACGACTGCAGAATCACCTTCTGCAATAGCTCATCGTCCGGAAGTCAAACGCCAGAGGAGAACCCTACCGAAAATAGGACAACCCCAAACTGCATGTCCTGCTATACACCCTCCTGCAATTACTCAACAGGCGCCACAATCTAAAGCAAACCCTCTTTTTGCAATTATTCGACCATCGCAGCCACCATTGATAACGGATCTTTCAACGCTTCAAAAGCATAAAAAAGAGTTATTTCCTGTAAAGCAAGTGGAACCCCCACAACTAACTGCGACACCACCTCAAGCAATTACACAATCACTCGTGCCACAACCTGCACAACCTGCACAAACTGCACAAGACTCGCTTGCGAATGAAAACAAAGCCCCGAGTCAACCACGGGTCAAAAGAGTCTTACCAAAAATTGGACAGGCTACATCGATTGCTCCACGCCAACCAGCATGGAAAAGTAACGAGCTTTATAAAAAGCTGAGCACAGATCAAAAACAAATTCATGATTTTGTAATCAAAGAACAGAAAAACGTATTTTTTTCTGGTTCAGCAGGTAATATTGAATGGACATAAGAGAAGATTCTTGATTAATTTTTTTTTTTATATTCAGGAACTGGTAAATCTGTTCTCTTACGATGTAAGTTTTTTATTTCGGGAGAGAAAACAGAGACTAACAAACTACATATATAGCCATCGTCAACACGCTTCAAACAATATTATCTAAAGACGAAATTGGAGTGACGGCATCGACCGGTATCGCCGCTGTCAACATTGATGGATCTACGATCTATAGGTATATTATTTTAATATTTGTAAATCCATCTAAGAAGCTAAACCGATATATTTTTCAAAGCTTTGCATCAATTGGATTGGGTGACCGAAACCCTGGATTATATATCAGCAGTATATTACGCAAACGTTCCAAAGCTAATCTTTTAAGAAAAACCAAGGTTTTAATTATCGATGAAATTTCAATGATTAGCGCGCAAACTCTTGATTTGATTGATTGTGTTTTAAGAGGTGTGAGATCTAATAGTAATCCATTTGGAGGTATACAGGTATTGTCGTTCAGGGAAAATAACAAAATGACAGAAGATACCAATACTTTTCATTCTTAGGTTATATTTTGTGGTGATTTCTATCAGTTACCACCAGTCAATGCAGAACATGGTCTTGCGTTTGAAGCAAATTGTTGGGACAACGCAATTGATAAGACGTTCATTTTAAAAACCCCTTTCCGCCAAACAGATCAAGGTTAGTTCAAGGTCTATTTTTTTTTTGTGGTTACTTGGACCATTGTGCTAAATTATCTTTTAAGGACTCGCTGCTATGTTAAATGAAATTAGAGTTGGAATTGTTAGCCCAGAGACTGAGGCCATTTTCAAAAAATTATCGAGACCATTAAATAATGACACTAACATTGAACCTACTGAGCTGTAAGTTACATAGCTAGTTTTTTTAATACGAGTTAATTTCTAATTATGTTTTAGTTACCCATTGAGGAAAGAAGTCGATAGGTCAAACACATACAAACTCCAGCAATTAAATGGTCAAGAACGTGTGTTTATTGCGGAGGATTCGGGGAAGGATGTATATTTGATTAGTTGCATGGCGCCCAAAAAGCTTACATTAAAAGTGGGGTGCCAGGTCATGCTTATAAAAAATCTCACCCCAACGCTTGTGAACGGATCCGTTGGAATAGTTACAAGCTTCGGTAAAAATAAGGAAAACGGACGGGAACTGCCCGTTGTTAAGTTCGCCAACGGTGAAACAAAAGTGTTAGATAATGAAGACTGGCGAGTAGAAGTTGGTGGTAAATATAAGGCTTGTCGAACCCAAATCCCACTTATGTTGGCTTGGGCGATTTCAATTCACAAAAGTCAAGGACAAACCATTGATTGGATGCAGGTGGATTTGGCTAAAACATTCGAAGATGGACAAGCTTATGTGGCATTATCGAGAAGTGTCAGTTTGGATTCAATGCGGGTATTGAATTTTGACCGAAAACTCGTCAAGGTGCATAGTGGAGTGGCGGAATTTTATAAGCAATTCAACTAAAATTTCCTTTTGCTTCCGAAACATCCCTTACTCTTGATATATATATATAACTTACACTGGGACGAGTCATTTTCTCCTTCTTTCACCTAATCTGTTTAATTAAATTTTTTTCATGAAAACCCAAGAAAACGGCCAATATGCTGATGTACAAGAAAACGATCAATTTGCTGATGTACAAGAAAAAGACCAATATACTACAGTACAGGAAATTGAGCAGCAGCAGGATTATGAGCTCGCAAGAGTTGTAGAGCCCACCAAAGAAGACTGGTGCAACTTGAGAGAAGTTTCGGATGATATTCCCAAGGCTGCCTATCTTGTAATTTTGGTTGAATTTTGTGAAAGATTTACTTATTATGGCTTGACTGGACCATTCCAGAACTACATACAAAACCCTAATCCGCCAAGTTGTAAGTAACACGAAACTTCGCCACAATCCTTTTTTTTTTAAAAAAACATCACCTATTTTATCAGACCCAGCAGATTTACCTGGGGCGATGGGCAAAGGTCAGCAGGCAGCCACGGCTTTAACGACGTTCTTCCAGTTTTGGTGTTACATTACGCCCATCATCGGAGCTATTATTGCAGATCAATATTGGGGTAAATACAAGACAATTCTAGTATTCGCTTGCATATATTTTGTTGGGTTGGTTATTCTGACATTGACATCCATACCCGCTGCAATCGCATCAGGTGCTACCTTTCCTGGATTTATTGTTGCAATCATTATTATTGGTTTTGCCACGGGTGGAATCAAGGCTAATGTTTCACCTCTTGTCGCCGAACAATATCAAAACACCAAGCCCTTTATCAAATTACTTCCACGCAAAATTTCCTCAAAATTCTCAGCCAATGAAGGTGACCTTCCTACCCACAACCACCTTGACACAGAAGAACGGGTTATTGTGACACCTCAAGCCACATATCAAAAGCTATTCAACATGTTTTATTGGGGTATAAATGTTGGTTCTCTTGCCGCTATCACTACCGTCATTCTGGAAAAAAACTGTGGTTTCTGGCCAGCTTTTCTGTTACCCACGCTTGTATTCATACCTGGTATTCTACTTGTATTGGCCGGTAAAAAATATTATGTTCGCAATCCTCCTCGTGGCTCTATTTTTATTGAAGCTGGTAAAGTCATTCGGCTTTCTTTTAAATATGGCCTCGAAGGTTGTAAACCATCAGTAATGCGTGTAGATCATCCTGAAGAAGCTCAAAAGGCTACATGGGATGATGTTTTTGTGGATGAACTTCGTCGAACTTTCAAAGCGTGCATTGTATTTTGTTGGTTTCCTATTTACTGGCTTTGCTACTCACAAATGACCAACAATATGGTTTCAATGACTGCCACAATGAAAACAGGCAATGTCCCAAATGACATTATGCAAAATATCAATCCTTTGACACTTGTGGTTTTAATTCCTTTGATGGACCGCTTCTTCTATCCTGGTCTTCGTCGTTTTGGGTTTCATTTCGGGCCCATGGCGCGCATCACATGTGGATTCGCCTTTGCATCCTTTTCTATGGCCTACGCCGCTGGTATTCAGGCCTATATTTACAGTAAGGGTCCCTACTACGACCATCCTACCGGCAATGGTCAGAACGATGTTTCTGCAGGATTGATTGTTCCTGCATATGTTTTAGTAGCAATATCAGAAATTTTCGCTTCTATCACGGGTCTAGAATATGCTTTTAGAAAGGCGCCCGAGAAGATGAAGTCTCTTGTCATGGCAACTTTCCTATTAACCAGCTGTTTTGGTTCCATTCTTGGCTTTGCCCTGGTCTCAGTGGCAGTGGATCCCAAGCTTTTATGGATGTACACAGGTATTGCTGTGGCCATGGGAATTTGTGCGCCATTATTCTACTATTGTCACGGAAAGAACGATCAGATTGATGTATTAGAAGACGCAATTGCTAGAAATAATGAAACCGAAACGGCTGCCGAATATGAAGCAGAGGTTAAGCCTACTGTCTAATTGGACCCCACATACCCATTTTTTTCTTTGAAATCATAAAAGCTACTTTGATTTGGGAAAAATATTATCGGCTGTTTAAGTACATGCCTTAATTGTTAACATATGTCCCTGTTCCGTGATTTCCATTAGGGGGTTTCAGAATCAAAAAAATTTAAGTTTGCAAAAATGTTAGTGTAACTCCATAAGCCAATTATATTCATCACTTTCTGAGTCCCCCCCTCCCTTCAATGAAATAAAAAATAAATTGTAAAACTTTGTATCGTTTACTATGTTAAGTTTCAATAAAGGTATATAGATTAGTTAAATATGTCGATGCATCATAAAATATTCTGCCATTGAATTCTAAGTTTTTAGTCTAATTTAGACTATTTTATTTTTGCAAAATGTTTTTGCAACTCTTTTGTTGCAAAAACTTAGAAAGAATCATTAACCAATCATAACCCAGAAATATTTTTGCAAAATATAAGGTTTTTGATTCTGAAACCCCCTATTGTAATCTAAAATTGTCTGATTTGATCCGACTGTCTTCTATAAACCCAAAGAAAAAAATATTCAAGTATGTCTTTATTTGAATGCACACCACAAAATATTGTTGTAAGAATGGACCATTATTCGATGCTGATTGAAAGTGGAGATCATAAGAACAAGATATATTAACTTGGAGCTTTGCCTCATTTCTTGTGATTCGCTATAAAAGATCGGCAAGTCAAATGTAAAATGAATACGCTGTATGGCTAGCTTTTTTAAAAAAAATCGACATGAACATTTTTGTCTGGTGTCCAGACGATTTGCTTACGATGGTACTTGTTTTATATTTGGAGTGGGATCAAATTGTTAAACAAAGACTACAGTGGATATAGAAATGAAATGCGGAGGTCTAAACTAGGAAAGAAATGCGAGAAGATTTCGCTGTGGTACTGATAGCCAGTCTTGTGTCTGCGATAACGCTCTTTGATAAAAGCGCAGAATCTCTCATTTAATAAATTACAAAAAGAAGCAAATCATAAAATATTTAGTCTTGTGCTCAGTTTTAACAGATTAATGACTTTAATAGTTCACAGGGTGTACCAGTGTTTTTTATTTCTTTTCAAATTAAGAAATATCACATGTAGCAATGTACCCTTTATTACCTGTTTAAAGTATTCTTTCCTAAAGTGAAATATTAAATCGACTTCTGAGATTTGGTTTTCTCATCTTACTATTGGAACTGGATGCTTGTGTATCGTCAAACCAAAATTTCGATTATTTTACGTAGACGAATTTGTCAAATCACTGGTTACACAAACGCGGCACTCAGAATTAGAGATCCCTTACTTTTTATTTTTTCATTGGCTAATATGTAACGTCTCAGCCATATTTTATGCAAAGCATATGTAGCTTTTTTTATATACAATTGAAGGATGCAACTATTGATGAGTGTTAATTTATTGATCCATTTCGAAGAGAGAAATAAAGCCAGACGTCAGTTTTCCTACTCAATTTTCCCAGGGTGATCACTCTATCTTTACCACGCTCACAGACAAAAAAGCGATTGAGGAAATTCTGAGGTGGTCAATGGAATGCGTGGAATAAAAAAAATAAAAAGTGGTTTGACAATAACGAGTTTCTGTGTACCTACAAATTCAAAATTACATTCCGATAGCATGTAATATAAAAGGCAGTTATACTTTTTGATCTTGTCCCCTCTTCTTTTTTTTTATAGTATTCTTAACTATGGACGAAAAAGATACAAAAACAGACCTTAGTGTTCTTAACCAAGAGCACTATGATGTCTCAGAGGATGGAGATATTCGTATCGAACCTACAGAAGAAGACTGGATCAATTTAAAGGAAGTCGGTGACGATATTCCTAAAGCTGCCTACTTGGTTATTCTTCTTGAATTTTGTGAGAGATTTACCTTCTATGGTTTAACTGGTCCTTTCCAAAATTTCATCCAAAATCCTGTTCCCGAAAGCTGTAAGTACATGATATAAAAAAGTTCTTATCAAACATCTAACGATTCTTGTCATTCTTGTCATTAGATCCCGCTGATTTGCCTGGTGCAATGAACCGAGGTCAAAAAACTGCAACTGCTTTAAACACTTTCTTTCAGTTCTGGTGTTATGTCACTCCTATTATTGGTGCCATTGTTGCTGATCAATACTTGGGTAAATACAAGACTATTCTTGTTTTCTCTGGTATCTACTTCTTTGGTTTGCTCGTCTTGACCTTGACTTCTATTCCTAGTGCTATTGAAGCAGGTGCTACTTTCCCCGGTTTTATTGTTGCCATTATCATTATCGGTATTGCCGCTGGTGGTATTAAAGCCAATGTCTCCCCACTTGTCGCTGAACAATACCAAGTCACTAGACCCTATGTCAAAACCATCACACCCAAGATCTCTTCAAAGTATGCTGCTGATGAAGGTGACCACGTTAAAGGTGAAGTTGCCGATAAATCTTATCGTGTCATTGTCTCTCCTCAAGCCACCTATCAAAAGCTTTTCAACATGTTTTACTGGAGTATCAATTGTGGTTCTCTTGCTGCTATTGTCACTATCGTCGTTGAACAACAAGTTGGTTTTTGGGCTGCTTTCCTTATTCCCACTTGTATTTTCATCCCTGCCATCTTGGTCGTTTTAGCCGGTAAAAAGATTTATGTTATCAATCCTCCTCGTGGATCTATCTTTGTTGAGGCAGCCAAGGTTATTCGTCTTTCATTTAAGTACACTCTTGAAGGTACTAAACCATCTAATTTACCTGCCGAGATTGCAGCCACTGCTACTTGGGATGATGTCTTCGTTGATGAACTCCGTCGTACTTTCAAGGCTTGTGTTGTGTTCTGTTGGTACCCCATCTACTGGCTTTGTTATTCTCAAATGACTAGTAACATGGTCTCCATGGCTGCCACTATGCACACCGGTAGTGTCCCCAATGATATTATGCAAAACATCAATCCCTTATCTTTGGTTCTCTTTATCCCCATCATGGATCGTTTCGTATACCCCGGTTTCCGTAAGATTGGTATCCACTTCAGACCCATTATGCGTATTACCTGGGGTTTCTTCTTTGCTGCACTTGCAATGGCCTACGCCGCTGGTATTCAAGCCTTAATTTATAACACTGGTCCTTACTATAAGTACCCCAGTGGTACCGAGAAGAATGATGTTAGTGGTGCTTTAATTGTTCCTGCTTATATCTTGATTGGTATCTCCGAAATCTTTGCTTCTATTACTGGTCTTGAATATGCCTACAAGAAGGCCCCCGAGAAGATGAAGTCTCTTGTTATGGCCATTTTCTTGTTCATGAACTGTTTCGGTTCTATCCTTGGTTTTGCTCTTGTATCCGTTGCTGAAAATCCCAAGTTGATGTGGATGTATGCCGGTATTGCTATTGCCATGGGTGTCTGTACTCCTCTTTTCTATTACTGTCACGGTAAGAACGATGCTATCGATGTTGCTGAAGATTCGATTGGTCGTGATAAGAAAATACACACTTCGGCTGTTACCGAATTTGAGGTCGAGAAGGGTGTTGCTTAAATTCACTTACAAATATCATATCAAAACATTTCATTCATTAATCTTTTTATTCTTTTAACTAATATCACTTATTTTTACTTGCACACTTTTTTATTTAATTTTTTTTTCTTTATCACTTATTTTTATTTTCTACTTTGTTGGTTAGTGTGCATTAATAAACCAATAACAAACAATTGATAAAGAGACATGTGTCATCGTGTACAATAATTGCCATTTTAAAATATAAGGTTTTCGAGAAGTGCTACTTGACTTTCTTTTCCTTCTATTCCAAATACACGGTCTTGTGTAACATTTGCACAGATCCATTCTACAAATATTCTTTTTTTATTTAATTCCCGCGTGATGGGAGGGGGATCCTTATTGTCCATGCGCAATTTATGATGAATATAGATTTACCTTCATAAGTTCCACAGACCTAGTGTATTTTGAGGCTTCCTATCATCATTTGATTCGAATACATGAAAAAAATCGGTCACTTTTAGCTCATCACACAGGTCTTGTACAATGTGAAGTCGAATAGCTATGCGAAATGTAGCACGATGGATCCGTTTAACCCGTTCAAGCACGCCTTAGTGCCAAGCAAAAAGGTTTCCAGTGAGACTATAATGGGACTGAGTAATGTATTCCGTGTTAATTTATCTCATACAAGCCAGATAGCTCACATCAAGTTCTCTCTTTTTCTTAATCTTATATTGCCGGATGTCATAATTACATATGGATTCTCCATAATCACATCAGCATGTTCTCAGCTTTGCTTATGACAGCAAATGTGAACACCAATTTTTCTAACTGGTCACTACCCATCCGATGTAGTGAACAAGGTTTATACTAAAGACTTATCTTGTTCGCTATCGGAATATATAGTCGCGGTTAGTTTCTGATTTTATCAGAACTAAATTGCATTGTTTGTGATACGTCAAAATATTATGCCCTGGATTCATCCCTAAATACACCCTACGGGGAATTGCGGTTGCCAACAAATTGAGTGAAAAGGTGACACCTTGTGGTCTTTATTTAAGATGGAGGAATCACCAACAATCGGATTGATACCCGGTAGATAAAACAATTACCCTGTCAGGATAACAACAAATCTTCAGTTTACCCGCGATGATTCTTTAGGTAGGAGTCCCATCAGCTAGTAACATTTGGCAAAGGTTTAACTCTTCTATTTATGACTGAACAAATATCCACCTGCGTTCAAAATAAGCAAATATGCAATTATATTCCCTCTTATTTACCCTCGCATCAGGCCACTTTTTTTTTCAGGTTTATAGTGCCATGTGATGAAGTTTGCGCCTCTATCTACATAGATAAAACAGTTAAACCTATGGAAATTGGCGTTTTTACAAAAATAATTGTCACTTTCATAAAAATAAAAATGATTGGCCGAAATCTAGCAGAAATTCTTAGCAAGCAGTAAAGTACAGAGGATCCACACCCAAAGTTCGTTTTTGTAAACTGCCCAAATTCGCTCTTGCATTAGTCAACGCTCGCTTTTGTATCACTCAATGTTAGACACATAAATATTTTTTATATTAGAGGGGTTCTTTATTGAGGTATGTCTGGAAATTGTTAACAGAGTGCTGAGCAATATTAGGGGTCTTTCTGCTAATGCTTTCACCAACTTCACTAATTCTAGTTCTTGAATCTTCTGTTTCTCGAAAAACACTTTGTTCCATTGAATTCTTTATGACCAACCATAGATTTTCAATTGGATTGAGTTCAAGAGAATACGGAGGGAGAGATATAGCTCTATAGTCTCTCAACTCGATTAAACTCGTGATACTCTGGAATGTATGAATCGGTCCATTATTCTTGATGTATAAATTATGAAAAGAAAAACAACAGCAGTTTACAACAGCAGTTTACAACAGCAGTTTACAACAGCAATTTACAAAAACGAATTTTAGTTCTTTGGAAAGCGAACTTTTGGTGTGGAGCCACTATATATATCATTAATTTTTTATAAAGAACATCGAAAGTATTACCTCCCCCCCCCCCCTACACCATTACATCTCTTAATGGGTTTCAGAATTGAGACCCATTAACATCATTATCTTTAAGAAGAGTTATTTTTTTGCTACAATGTTATGTGACATTAGGTGGATACAATACGCTTTTATTGCAAAAATAACATAACTTGAATTTTTGTTTTTGGTGATTCAAGGAGGGTAATTAGACTATTAAAAACCCCATTTGCCGAAGGATCTCATTGTTTTTATTGGACTAAGGGTAGTAATAAAACTGCATAACTTAAATTATATGTGAGTAACAGACATGGTATAAAGTATGAATTATAGGGGGCTTGGGTGACGTATTGTTCTGATCGAGCTTATATACAGATATAACTCTATCATCAATTCTTTCTTTCTTATTTGATAACCTTTCTATCAATCATTATTGCATTACTCTTTAAATCAAATACATGCTATTACACTCTATTTACTACGCATTGATTACTCATCAATATATAGAAAACAATAGCCATACATGTATTCCAGATAATACAATCCAATGATATGATCGCTCGTCAATAACAAGATTCTCGAAGGTACCATGAGATGCTCGATCTTTAATTGACAATACGCCTATTGTATATTTGACAGGTTTCACTTTAATGATTGATATTCAGCCAGCCCTGAATATGTATATAAAGAACCCAATTTATTGTAAAATAAAGACTTTAGTTTATTTTTGCAGTTTGATAATTTTACTTCGTCAAATTTCTTTATTCTTAATTCGTTGTTTTATCTCTCGAATTTCTCACGTATAAAATGGTAACATATTAGAAGTCAACGGACGGCTTCGCATGCTTTTGTTGGTGAGTATTCAAGATTCTATCTAAATTCAGATCAACATGTGCAGGATATTTCCTTTTGCGATTGTTGCTTGCAGTTTAGAATGTCTGTTAAGTTTTTTTTCTGTTATCCATAGTTACCAGAAAGTTTATTTCAGGTATTCTATAGTCACCGGCAAAAAAGGGTCCATGGAAGTTATAGTCTCGAGAGAAATTCTGGACTGAACAGTAATCATCGTAAAATTGCTGGAGGATTCTCAGCTTATTCAATTGAATACAGAACGCGGACAGTTCATGAAGTGAAGCGGGGCATTGGACTTTCATCAGCTCAAACATGACCCTGGCGCCGCTCGCATGTTGAGTGAAACCGTACGCTGTTATATTTAATCCTAGATTTGGGACATAAATATATAAGTTCAAAACATGGTGCAAGATGTTTAGTTACTTTACCTATGGCTTGTAATACTAAGATGCATTCAGCATTACATTCTTCATACCCACTAATTGCAAACAGGGCCAGTCTTAACAAATCATTGTGTGTTTGCTTAGCATTATTCTTCTGGTATTCAGCCTTGACCTCCGCAAAACCTGTGTAGTGGCTGATTCGTCTTTTTTTAATGATTACACAACCACCATCCGGTCTCTTATCATAACTTTTCAGATCAGTCTTTGTATTTAACCTTTTAAATGAATTAAGAATTAAATATACTGCCTAATAAATTGTTTCAGAGTTCATTTTACCATAAAAAAAGCTGCGATTTTTCGGGCTTATGAAAAAGAGGGGATATAATAGGTTGTAAATACCCATTTATCAACTCAGTCTCCTCCACCTTATGTTCCAACAGACTTTCAGTAGGAAGCATATTCAGCCTAAACAATTAAAGTTATATAAATTAAAACACACTGAATATTATATGTTTACGCATCTTACAAATTAATGAGAACATCTACCAGTCTCCTGTCTTGCTTGGAGGCTTTCTTGTAAGTATCAAACAGTATCAACTTAATCGAATCCCTTTCATCCTTTTCGACGTTAAAGCTCTAAGCAAAAAGAGTGAGTAATAATCATGTGTTAAGACTATTGTATCTTACTCCGAATAATTCTGTGATATCTTTGAAAATATGGTGTCTTTCCATCACGCTCACCCTTCTCGACCTTCAGGTGTTGTCTCAGAGCTCTACCCTAAATAAGTAAAGAGTAAAGACTCCAAGCACTAGATAAGGATTTACCTTTTCTACTTGGGGCTCTATGCATTGTTGAGAGGGACAACTTCTGCATCTACATCTTATTTTAGAATCACATGTTTTTTCCTTACATATTTTGAAATTATGTGACTTACAGAGCCAAGTGCCACCATTTTTTAAAGTATTTCAAAATACTTTAGCAGACCGCATGACCTTGTGCCACTGGCGGTCCACTTAATGGACCGCCCCCATCACGTTGATACCCTAAGGGCTAACAACGGGAACAAGGAGGGTCTTCGTCATATATGGCGAAGACCAGCCTCCGCCGTAATATCACAAAAAGTGGAGAATACCTTCATTTTTTAAGTAAAACATTTCATTGATAACAGGAATTATTATTAAATAACCTTTTCGTAATATACTATCTTTTATACAAAAGAAAGGAACCAAGTATGTAAAGATGATTAACTCAATGATTTTATAAGGGAGAAGAAAAAAGACAAAGAAAAAAAAAGGGTGGGTTTTTATAACCTGATAAATACGAACTGGATTGCATCAGAATGATTTAGTCAATTGTTTATTTAATCAATTATGATGTTTCAGCCTTTACCTATAATAGAAACATCCCCAAAAACCCCAGGTATATGAGCCTAGATGTTTCCTTCATAGGTAAAGGCTTAAACATTATAAGTGATCCCATATTGCATAACCCGCTCTCAGTGTTGGGAGATCCCAACAAGGAAAATTTATATTATCATGCGACCATAGTCTACAAAAAAAAATCACTTCAATTGGCATCTATATCATGCTTCACTATTGATACGTGCTGTTACTGACAATTAACAAGTTCCGAATTGCTTGTATTTAAGCTCGGGTGGGATGTACAAACTCACTTAAATATTATATGTAAAGGCTGAAACATATGGATGATCAAATAGATCCTGACATAATCCAGTTCTTGTTTATCAGTGTATAAATAGAACCCGTTTATACGATTTCATAATTAAATAAACAATTGAATCATCTTGACGTATATAGGCGCTTTTTTTTAGCAGTCTAAAAATAAAATATCACCTTTTTTTTTATAATTAAAAGGATATACTCCCATTTTTTGTTATCACAACTACGGCTAGACTTCTCTGCATAATGGAGATTTTCCCATTACCCGTTGTAGGCATTGTAAACCTGTATCTTACATTACCAACCACGGTAGGTCAGAATGTAGAGTAGTATGCCTTGGCTAAGGATATACTTCTCTATATAATGAAGATTTTTCCATTACCCGTTGTAGGCATTGTAAGCCTGTTTTTTTACATTACCAACTACGGTGGGTCTGAATATAGAGTAGTAAGCCGTATTTTGAGATCCATTGATGATCTCAAAATACGGGAAAAAATAGGATGTATAACGTGACTTTAGAAAAATTTACAAAAAGACGTAGGTGTACATTATCTTCTTTTACTTGTAGGGCTAACTTAAAAAACCATTGACTCACGAAACTTTAATCCCGTTAGCGCAGAGATTTCCTTCTGCGATTTTCGTTTTATTATGTTTCCAGTAAGGGCACATAATAATCGAACAAAATTGTTTCTGTCTCCCAACAATGCGTAGAGTTCCAATAATGGTTGTACTAGCGATCAAGAGGTATACGAAACAGATAATTGTGGTTGTGCAAATAACTGATCGTTTGTTATTAGACTCAAGACCAAAGGGCAGAAGGGACATTAAAACGGTCCTTAAAAGAGTCCTTCGTTTTCAATAACATTTACCAAGCAGATCTCTTGGAACAAATAAATAAGAAAGGTAAAACTTCACAGGATCAGTCACAAGCACAAGCACAACTATCCAAGGTAAATCATTATCTAACACTTGAATTTTTTATACTTTACTTATTTACACACTGTATATTCAAGAAGAAGATGGGCTGTTCATCGAAGGATCCGAAAAATCTGTGGGCGCAATCATCAAGTCTGCAGCTATATCCTCATACCACAGATACTACGAGGATAATAAATTAAAACCCATGATCACGTAAGTAAAGCACCATTTAATATCTTAAATGAAAGACTCAGTGCTAACTCGGACTTTACAAGTTAGACTTGGCTTAAATAATATCTTGGACTTGTCGTACGTCTTCCCAGATTCCCAATCTGCTTTGTTCATTCCAGATCAGTGGAAAAACTTGAAACGGTCGCTCAAGAAATATAATGATACCAAACCTTGTCATATCAACCGCAAAGCCCAATCAACATTGTCTAAAGCAGAGATTATTGCTCAAACCGATCTCCCAAAGGCTAGCGATTATTTGAACGGGTATCTTTATAAATACAAACCCAAGTTGAGTCAAGACGATGCCTTTATTATTTTATATGTTCACGCCTTTATTTGCGAATTTTTGGCCTTCAATCAGTACATGTTTGACAAGAACATTGAAAAGAACGAGCAAGATTGTATTGTAAAGTTCTGGGGTCCATTGATGGAGAAGCTGGTACAAAATACTGGTTTAAGACTCAAATGGGGTGAAAGCTCATGTTCCATTGCTCCCAACCGCCTGAGGGCCGATGTTCGGGTGATCTATGATAATAAAGAAGGACAACAGCACAAGGAGTACGACATAATGCAAATAGAAGCTAGTCGAATATCCCCAACCAAGCAGCAGTTTGACTTTGGTAATCAACTTGGTTATTTACATACAATGTAATTTTCGTAATTTAAGGCGGGTTTTCAAAGTTTACGTAATATTTTACACTGTCTTCAAGCGAGTCGATGACATCTTTGGTTTCCGCAATCAACTTCGTATGATCAAAGTATTCCTCCGGTTATAGTTGACTTTAAGTTTATAACATCACTTTGAACCACTTTAATAATTACTCGAAACGAATGGATCGATTTGAAAAAGACCACCATCATTGCAGGATTACATTGTAGATAGGTATGATCAGACCCTAAATGGATGTGGCTACACTGTAAATAGCAGGGACGCATTTTAATTGGCTCGCGCCTGGGCTTTAAGCGTGCCCGGCTTGTTTTAAGCTGTAAATGGCTGTGATCGCCTGTTTATCCAAATTCCAGCGAAGATAAAAAGCAAGAGCTTACAATTTCAAAGAGTCCATCTTGGTATCCTCCACAACCAAACCAAAAAGCAGCTCCTTTGATGGCCATCCCCCCACACCTTCGATGAGTACTTTTTTTCATTTGTATACCGTGACCGACAATTAAAACTCGCCCAAATTTTTCTGATTTTGGAAATGCCTAATAAAATGTTCTCTAGTGGTCAACTTACTGTGGAAACTTGCATTTAAAAATTTATATAACATACCTTAAGTTGTATAGTACAACATATAAAAGTTTAATAAAAAAAAACTAATGTCTAGTGTTGCCTCCTTTGGCTTCAATGACAGCCTTGCATCAGGCGGGCATTGAAGAAACTAATGCCTCCGGGTATTCAGTGTCAATGTTCGACCATTCGTTCCAAACGATGTCTTCCAACTTTTGGATAATTGTAACACCTATTGAGCGCTTATTCACACGAAGTTTGGTGTATCCCCATATATGCTCAATAGGGTTTAAATCTGGACTTTTTAGTGGCCATGTGTCAAATCCAGTTACCATGGTTTTTTGCTTATACCACTTAGCATAATTGCCCGTGTGGATCGGTGCATTATCTTCTTGGTATATAAAGTCTTTGTTATAGATATAGCCTTGATTTTTGATCCAATAAATAGCATAATTTGACAGCATCGTGATTTACTTATCTTGTTCGATTATGCCTCTCAAAAAGGACGAGCGGGCCCAAACTCTTTGCGTAAAAGCAACCCCACATCATCAACGATCTATTACCGAACTTCAAAGTTCCAACTCTATATCTTTCTTACAGATTTCTCCAGTCTTTCTGATGGCGGTAACACCAGACGCACCCCTTTCAAGCCTGAACATCAACTCCTCAGACCAAATAGCTGACTCCCACTATTCAGAGGTCCATTTCACTTTATCCTTACGCCACATAAGCCTCTTTTCCTTTTGGACATCCGTAAGAAGGGGTACTTCAGTGATTTTACATTGCTGGGACCCCATTTTCTTGATACATCTGTGGTATGTCGCCAAAGATACCTTCAAACCTGACGTGGCGGCCTTCCAATAATCAATGTTTGTAAACCTGATTGCGACGGATTGCAAGTTTTTTTTTTTAAATGAGTTCCCTGTGCGGTGGAAATCTTCTTCTGGGCCCACTTTCTTATGGTTGGAAACGGGGAGTTGGTTTTAGTATACCGATTTATAGCATCCCTGACGGTCTCTTTGGGGATACCCAACTGACGACTAATATCCACAAACGATCCTTCTCACTCCCATGCGCCAACTTAACGTCCATATTCAGCGGGGTCAAGTTCATTATGACTAGTATTGAAGATTGTGTTCATGATTCTGTAATTTTTAGTAGGAAAATAAGGTTGTCATAGCTTCAAAAATAGCATGGGTTTAGACACATATTACAAATAAAAAGCTGTAAAATCTACTCGGACGTCCTAAACGATGCTTAGATGGCATATCATGTAAAGAGAAGTAAACCATACCTCTAGTTACCTTTACATAAAAATAAAAATTGCTACTCGTGCAAGTACAATAGAAGCAAAAATTCAACACAAATATGAAAATCGAGCAGCTATAAAAGTGAAATTTGGCCGGAGTCTAGGTCACTGGAAAACAAACATTGGGGTTGGGGCCACTGTACTGTGCTTTCAGTTGCTATTATTATGATATGGTTGCTTGCTTAGTTTAATCAGCGTCAACACTTTTGTTTGACACTTCCACAAGCTCAAGAAAAAAAAAAGATAGCTTGTGTATATAAAATAATAAGACAGATTTGGGGAAAAGAGGGAATAAAGAATCCTCAGTGCATGTTTTAATAAAATTTAAATAGAGTTACCCTCCTTCATAAGATAGCGCATCAACTCTGAGACTAATTTGACACTGATACTATTACCCAATGTTCTGTATCTTTGCTTGATAGTACTTGTCTCTGGGAAACTGAATTCTGGAGGGAAACCCATCAAATTTGCAACTTCGCGAGGACTAAAATATCTCAATTTTAACTTTCGTAACAATTCCAATTGTTTTTCTTCATCTACACCCTTGTAAGCCATTGCTTTTTCAAAGATCTCAGCCGTCTAAATGCCTATGTCAGTGACCTTCCATATCCTCTTTATTTTAAAAAAAAAAAAAAACTTACATTCAAATCTTGGTTCATTTGAATCACGGATCCAGTACCTTGAGCATAATGATAGTATCCCTTGGTAAAGCAGCAACTACGATGACCATCAGGCTTCACAATATCAAACACATGACTGTTTTTGGCGAGTACTTTATCAGGCACCAAATACTGTTGATAGTTCTCACCCAATTCCAAATACTTGGACAATGGATCAATGGGTGTTTTGGATTCGTCTACCAAATTTTCTTCATCCGTGACTTTTCCTCTTGTATCCACGAATTCTTGTGACATATGCTCGGATAAGGGGATATAGCTAATGATGGTTCCTGTCACGGGCTTAGCAAAACTCAAGGGCTTCAATTTGGCTAATAAGTAATATCTCATGCGGGAGTTAGGAATACCCAGTTGTAAAGGGGTCAATAAAAACTCTTGAAAGGTGTAGTCGCAATGTGTCAATTTATCAACCAACATTTCTCTTGAATCTGATTCCTAGTATCAGAATTGAGTTTATAATAGGTCCTCTGTTTCTTTGGGGGAGACTGACATTACCTCAAACCCTTTCACATTCTCCACTAAAATATATTTGGGCTTATGCTCCATTTCTCCCAACACTTTTAGCAAGTGTAAAAAACTCTTTGCACGCGCATCGACACTTCCTTGTTGAAGTCCGATTCTCGTGTAGGGTTGACATGGTGGGGACATGGTCCAAATGTCGGCTCCAATGTCGTCATAATATTTTGTTGAAAGCGTTTCAATAAGGTTCTATTGCTTCATTTTTAACAAATTGCTGCTGTTATCGTCATTCTCTTTCTTTTAAATTACCTGTCCAACTAACTTGGGATTGAAATTGTGCTTGTAAATCTAAACATTCTAGTTTAATCGAGGAGAATGAGGGGAAAAAAAAGTAAGGCTACATGCTTACTTCATTAGCAACCGTGTTGATATCGAAAGCTTTCATAATCTCTACATCCCAACCAGCAAGAGTAGCAGCATAATGCTATTTAATAAAAAAGCAAGGGCTGAGAAAATATTTTTGTGGTTATCAATGACTACTTACCATACCTCCGATGCCAGAGTAGAATTCCAATTGTTTGAGAGGCATAGTTTTTAGACTAAACAGGATTTGACAGGCGCCTCTTTCTCTCTTTTTTTCAGATAGATGGCGGAGTGGTAATACAAAAAAAAAGCCACAAGATGATGCATTATGGCGAATTCTAATCTCGGACTTTACATATATCCTTTTTCATGCAAGTTGTGAATTGAATCATTTTTTCTTTTTGCTTTTTCAAACATACAAAAAAAAAGAACAAAAGTCGGGGAAATAATGCTCCATGTTTACCAATTACGAAGGATACGATAATCGTACAGACAAATGGGTTTACTTTAATCATTCCGAATGGCAAGGCTTAATTATTGCAGGGAAAATATCTGCTTGTGTGTCCTTTATTGCCAACTCTTTTGTGTTAATTTTGCATGCTTTTATGATGTGGTATAAGCCAGTCATTGTTAATCGATTGTCTCTGCGGATGATTGTCCTTTCTTGTGTTTTTAATATGCTATATTGTGCTTGCCAGCTCGTCTCTGACGATATCGCCAGTGCATCCTTTCCTTGCCGTGTTATTGCCTTTGTTATGATTGCTTCAGATACTATGGCATGTATGTGTTTAACTATGGTCGGTCTCAACTTGGTCACAATATTTGTCTTTAAAGTATCAAGGTCATTCAAGCTTGAATTGTTCTACTATTTCTTGATTGGTGTCTCGGGTGTCATGGTGGTCGTTATACCCCTCTTTGTAGGTTCTCCAAGAGGGCCAAAAAATCCCGACGTAGTGTCTTCCTGCTGGTAATTTTAATCACTATTTTCATTGATTTATTATTATTTACACGCCATAAAAAGGTACCATTTTTTTTTCGACGGTAGAATGACTCGTATTTTTAATTGGGTATGAAATTTCATAGTGGTTTATTTGTTTTAGAACTAACAACGATAGAGAAAAAAAAATTAGATGTGGTATTATGGTTGGTTGCTATTCTCACTTGTATTTGCAGCATTCTGTGCTGCAATCTCGATCCGATTTGTCATGAAAAAACAAGATAACTTTGCAGGTACACTCGACATGTTCACCCGACGCAATCATGTCGAAAGATCACAATTAAACACGCTCAAGAAGTATACCAACAACAACACCGACATTTTTACAAAAATAGCAATTCGATGTATTTGTTATCCTTTAGGTAAAGTTTATCGCTGCATGTGTTTGCTTAGATAATTAACTGCGTTTTAAAATCATATTTATACACAATTCGTTCTTTTTATTCTTTTTCTTTCCATCTTTCCCTTTTTAAGTGCCTTTATTTTCTAAAAGTTGGGGCGTGGCCATAGAAATTGCTGCATCTCAGCGGGTAGATATTCCATACCCTATATTCATACTAGACCGCATCTTTTCTTGTTTACTAGGTAAGCCTTTCTCTGTCTTTTTTTTCTGTCTCCTTTCCTTTCCATACAGTCTTTCAAACTTACACGCACACACACTCCCCTTGTCATCGTTTGCTAAACTTTTTTGTTTTTTGTTTTCTATTGTATAGGGTTTATGGTTAGCTGCATTTATTTTACAGACCCTGCCATCGGGGCTGTTCTTAAAGATTCTAGAGACACTCTCAAACAAAAGTATGTATATGACTACTATTGTGTCAAATACAAGTCTTCTTCTGGTCCAAAGTCCTACTATCCACGTCTTGTGCAAGTCATTCGCACTGCTGAAAAATCTCGATCCATTCGTCTAGAAGATCGATCTCCTCAAACAAGTGTATTTTCAAATCGAGGTGAATCTCTTTCCAGTCCGTTAAACATCTCTCCATTTCAAGCTCAACAAAGACATACGGTGGATCTGCCTTCAATCGAGGTCTATCATGAAGAACTGGCCCATCATCGTGCTCGACGCTACAGTGTACTTAGTGTAACAACCGTCAGTGGAAAGATGTTTTTACCAAATGAAGGTTTAGAACATCCCACATCCTGTTTTTCTTCAAATGTATCTGTTATTCCCATGCGCCGTGTTAGTCACGCTAAAAGCAACACGCATCTACACCACCAACATCCACAACAAAGGCATTCGGGAGGCTATCCTTCTTCCTCTTCAAAGCAACCTGTAGTCGAAACATTAGTTCCTTATAAAAACCCTAGAACTGCTAGGTGTATCCACTGGGTTTTAAAGTCTGTCTTTAAAGTCGATCCCATCCTTTTGGTCCAGGACGAAGATGAGGAAGAGGAAGAGGACTTACCCAAGGATATCAGGGTTTTCTGTGACTATACAGATCAATCCCATTCATCCACACCAGCAAGTACTTCTAGATATATTTCTCAATCTACAGACAGAAGAGTCAGCAACTCATTGAAACCATCTGCTTCAATGAGCGTCCATGCGCAAGATTCTATCAAGGAGTTTCCACTTCGTAAAGTATCTTCTATTAATGTAGCTACCTTATTTCGCCGCAAGTTCAGAAAGGAGTTTTTGTCAACTGCGTCAGGAGATGAAACGCCGCCATCCACTTCCAGTGGGAAAAGCCGATTTGCCAAAATATTGAAACGTGGTCGTTCCTTTAGTCGACAAAGATTCACACCACTTCACCACCAGCAACAAAAACAGCAAGAACATCAACAACAAGAACATCAACAACAACAACAGCAGCAAGAGGGCGAACAGAATAATCAGCCCACTTTTACTTCAGCCGCTTCCAGACCTCAAGGAGGGCAGCCTACAAGTGTGGCGTCTGAACAAGAGGAAGCAAGCTCCGCTACAGATTCCCGTTGCTCTATTGTAGTTGCTACGGATCCTTTTCCTATTCAACTATCCCCAAGGCCTATTTCGCCCCGTCTCAGAAAACAATCACATGATGCTCAACTTGCTTCGTCCATCAGGAAACAACATAGTCTATCTTTGGATGGGTCCTTAATTAGTTTATCACAATTATTTGATGGTATAATGCAAGAGGAAGCTACTGCTGATGATATAATTCAGCCAAGTGGTATCGTAGTACCTACACAAGAAAGTGGAGTTGATCTGGGCACTAGACATGAATCGCCTGTCAAACAGACCTTGGCCCCCGATGAACATGAAGGGTTTGTAGAAGGAAACACCACTATTGAACATATTTCTAATTGGGAAGAAATGGATCAGATAGAAGGGACTCGATTTAATGTTTACTCAGAGTCTTGGGATATTGAAAAGCAATTCAAGACCCAAATGTCTATGGCAGAAGATATTGCATACATGTAGCTTTCTCTCTCATTCACTCTCTCTCTCTCTCTCTCTTTTTTTTTTTTTTTTTTTTTTTTTCTTTATATTTTTATTGTTATCGTTATCAAAATATACAGTTCCTTATTTTAATTGAGCGCGTCCTGAGCTTGCTTCATACATTTAGCTGCCTTAGTTTCAGCATAACGTGCCAATGGCATATCTTTTGCATCATAGGCTTCAGAAATGGCTGGAAAGACCTGTCCAGAATAGCCAGTCCAGAGTCCCGGTGCATACACCACATGTTTGAACCACGTACGACCCGTGATTCCTTCTTCGTCCAAAAATCCTCTTTCGAATCCCATCAATCGTGCATTCATTTTCTCTACACGTTTAGCCCATTTCGCTGACATTTGTTGTTCACCTTGGAAATGTCTTAATTTCTTATTGATCTGGGTTAAACTGACCTCAAATGCAGTGGCAGATTTCACCAGTGCATGGATCGATTTCTTCAAGGTGGGGAAAGTATGAGGGGCTGCATGAATGTATAATTGATGCACATATTTTTGCAACTCGGTAGCGTAATCCATTGGATGGATAGGCAGAATTAAATCATCAGCTAATCGAAGTGCTAACAATCCCCACACACGTACCATGGTTTGATGGTATTCAAAGGTTGGATCTCCATACTTTTCCATCCAGTGGAAACTAACAAGTTTTTTACTCTTTCGTTAGTATATTTTTTTTATATGTAGACCTTGTAATACAAACGTACCTGTCATAGACACTGTGATATACACCGTAATCTCCACTAAAGGAAATATCAATACTTGCGATTCCCAAATGATCCATAAACGCCGTAAAATCAGATCCAGATCCCAATACGTCGACTTGTGGATGAATGGATGGTACAGCTGTTGCATTATGACGCTCACCCCATGCATGATACACGGTAGTACCTGTTAAAGGATCTGGTACAATACTGGTAACTTCATACAATAACTGGTTTAAAGAAGGTGATGCACCAGCAGAAAAATGAGGGCCTGAAATACCTGAATCACAGTTAATATAGACTGTGCCTTCTTTACTAAGCCAATCTTTGTTATCTTCTACCCATTCTGTGGATCCAATCAAGCCATACTCTTCTGCATCCCAAGAAGCTAAAATAATGGTACGTTTGGGTCTCCAACCTGTTTGTAACATTTGACCCAGCACACGTGCAATTTCCAGCTGCAGAAAAGAAAAAAAGTTAGTGAAATGGGGTAACTTTGTAATTTAGATTTCTTACCAAGGTAGCAGAGCCGGATGAAGGGTCCACTGCACCAAAGACCCAAGCATCTCGATGATTTCCCAAAATAATGGCACGATGAGGTTCCACAGATCCTTCAATTTTAGCCATGACATTCCAAACAGGTGCGACCTTATACTCTACAATATTCTCCATTTCCACCATGCCTTCGGTTGGTCCACTAAAATAACTTACTTGATCCAATCCGCCGGTCCAATCAAATTCACCAATCACGCCATGCCCCTCCGTTGCCTTCAAGAAGGGTAAGGCATCACGCCATGATAAGGGTAAAGAAGGGATGGTAGGCAAAATTACGGATTCTTCCATAGGAATACGTGTGGCATTTTCAGTAGCAGCGTAACCAGGTGTTAATGGATCTCCTGCTAAAAGTGACAGGTAGGAGACTGCACCACGTTGAACAGAAGAGGGAGCTCTCCAAGGCCCCTTTGGATAAGAATATGGAGGATTTATATCACTGTCTTTATCCAATGGACCATCATCAATTGGGTCTGAAAAGATCAGGACACCAACACAACCATATTGAGCAGCAGCCTTTATTTTCAAACCACGTAAAGAAGTACCGTAACGAACAAGAGCAATAGTGCCATTGACTTGGACACCTCGATCGACAAGGTATTGAAAATCTTCTAGGCGACCATAATTTGCATAAATCACAGGACCCGTGGCCGTTCCATTTTTAGAGTATCCTAAACAATAGAAAGTTTAACTATCATGACCCTATCAACAAAAACAAAAAAAAAGTTGTTTTTTTTCTACCATGAAATGCGGGAACAATATCAGGATCATCGGTAGATGGATCTTCATGCACACGGTCTTCTTTTAAACTGGCGTTGTAACGAAGGTGTTCAGGTCCTGATACGATGGAAAGACGATGAGAGATGGGATAATTCAGCAAGGGATAATAGGTCTTGATCTCAGCATTAGGTATGCCAAACTCGGTGAATTTTGTACGAGTCCATTCTGCTTGTCGTCGATCCGCTTCTGTACCAGCCAAATGAGGTTCTGATGTGTATGTTTTGAGATATTGTCGAAGTCGATGAGCTGAAGGGAGATCCAGCATCATTTGTTCGGCTGCCGTCAATTTTCTTGTGGGAAAACCTACTCAGCAAAAACTGATAAGCGCACAACCTTAATTATTTAAAGCTCCCCCCCTCTCTTTGTACCTCCTAAATCATCTGTTCCTACAGATAACATGATGAAGACTGCAACCAAAGCAAAAATAGCGACAATCGTAATGATTTCAAAAGCTACCCGAGGTGTACTCTTTCGTGGTGCTTCCAATGTCATTCGGTGTCGGTTGATTAAAGGTGCAGACTCATTCGTGTTCCCCCAGTGACGAATCCACCATCGATGCAACGATGCATAAAGACCTAACTGTTCTTGGCCTTTTACAGGTGTCGGACGCTCAGATACTTGTGTGCTATCTGATTGATTTCCTCCATCTTCTTCTCGAGAGAGATTGGAATATCCTGTCTCTGACATGATATGTTGGCAAAGAAGAATGAAAGAGAGTGAGAGAGTGAGAGAAAAGCGGAAAAAATACAACAATAATAAAAAGCAGTAAATTATTAATAATTAAAAAAAGAAAAAAAAGTGACTATTATTAAAAAACTTGTTTTTCCCAATGACCCTATTTTGGATGTATATATGGGGGGGGGGAGAGATCTACTCAACGAGGGTGTTTAATTAAGGTTATTTGTTTGTGTAGTAAATATATGCAAAAAGTATAATTGCAATTGAATTTGCGCTGTTAGAGCCAACAAATGAACCTAAAAAAAGTCAGCCAATGAAGAATGGCTGTAGATCTCTCCATCTCTCTGTGAAGAGAGGGGGGAAGAACAGATTTACAAACAAGGAACCCAATTCACCCGGAGAGAGGGGCTTTTTATGCTTTTTTCTTTGGTCACATTCTTTAAACCCAGTAAGGATTAGCCGGCAACCCCGGAGGTGTGTCTTATGTGCATCATATAAGCTAGTTTTTCTCTCTTAAACATTTTTCTTTTATAGATAATCTCTATCTCTTTTTTTTTTCTTTGTCTTTTTTTTGTTTAGCATAAAAAAAAAAAAAAAAAAAAACTCTCGGGTAGTGAAAACGAATGTCTGTGAATTAGAAACACAATAATGTCAATGAATGACTTTAGGTATACTCTCTTATTATATATATATATATATATATATATGTGTGTGTGCTCACTCTGACTCTATAGCAGCAAAAATGTTGAAATAAATAATCATGAAACTCTTACAACACAACAAAAACTATTACAATGTAAGCACAAAGAACAAGGAGATATACTCTTTATTAACCTGTTCCCTTGAAAAAGCCAACAGAACAGTCATTGCTGCTTCCAGTGCTGCTGTAACCTCAGTGTTAGCAGGGTTTCCAGTAAGTTGTTCTTTTCCTTTATGCTTATGAAAAAAAAAAAAACTTAATGTTGTCCATTGTAGTTTGATTCGATCAAGACTCGAATGCAAACGCATTACTACCCCTCCATCATGTCTTGTGTTAAAACTACTTATGCCGAAGAAGGTGCAAGAGGTTTTTTCAGAGGCATGATACCCCCTCTCGTCACTGTCAGCATTATCAAATCCGTTTCCTTTTCGATTTATGAAAGCACCAAAAAGTCTCTTGTAGCAAGCCATGGATTCAGTAACGACAGTGTATTTTCCCTCATGAAGCTCTCTTCCCTTAGTGGAGGTGTCAGTGGTGCTTTCATCGCCCTTCTCAGTTGTCCTTTGGAATTGGTCAAGATTCAGCGTCAGCTCGAACAAGTCATGCTAAAGAATCAGTTGGCTGCAGGTCAGGTATCACCGAATGAGGTTGTTCAATCCTCTAGCTGGAGAGCTGTCAAGCAAATTGTGCATCGAAAGGGAGTATTTGGTCTATGGAGTGGTGTTACCTGTCATTCTGGTAAAAGTGGTTGATTTATGGATTATAGTAGACATTGTTACTAATTCTTATCTTTTATAAATGCTATAGTGCGGGATGCATTGGGAACAAGTATTTATTTTGCAGGTTATGAAACTATGAAAAGGGTGCTTTCCAATAATCAGGGACTCACTACTGCAGGTCCAATGACGCATTTTATGTCGGGTGGGTTTTGTGGAATTCTAAGTTGGTTGATTGTGTTTCCTGTAGACGCCATCAAGACAAATCTACAAAAGGATATTATGATGGTACAACCTAGATATTCTGGTTTTTGGGATTGTGCAAAATCTCTAGTTAGAAAGAATGGATTAAAAGGGCTTTATCGTGGTCTTAATGTTACACTCATCAGAGCTTTCCCTATCCATTCCTTTAATTTCTTGGTCTATGAGCAGGTTCTCAAATCTATTCCCCCACCACCCCAATAATAATAATCATTTACACACAAATAAAATAGATTTTACTTTATTTTTATTTAGATTATGTAATCGAATTATATTTACAATGGTTTTAAACTTTAGGTTTTAGAAATCATCAAATCCACCTCCTCCATCATCAAATCCTCCTCCATCGTTATCATAATAGTTATTTTCGATAATATCGGGCTGGTGACTATCACTAATCGCATCACCAATCATGTAACCCATCAGACCACCACCCACACCCATTGCAGCCATCGTGCCCATACCCATTCCACCACCACCACCACCCATTCTACTGCCTGTGGCGCCCATGGGTTGTTGTACATACTGCGGTTGACCACCATATTGAGGTTGACCATACTGAGGTTGACCATATTGAGGTTGGGGAGTATAGCCTTGACCAGGTTGTTGTGCTGGATATCCACGATTAGCAGCCATGAATGGTTTATCAGCTGGATGTTCCCACTGACGTAATCCTGTTGGTGTATACACATAGAAGAACTTTTGTGAACTCGGGTCAAATTGAGATATCCACCCACTTGGTAAGATACGGGGATCTGGGTTATTAGGTTGTCTGGGAGGAGAAGGAGGAGCATACGCAGGTGTACTACCACCAAATGCCGGTGATTTTAGTTTTGAAAATAATCCCATATTTTTTATATATATATATGTATATGTGATAAAAGAAAAAGAGAGAAGAGCTTACAAGGAAAAAGTTAGACGTTTTTTATAGTGGATGGTTTCACATGCGAAATCCAGTGATTTCATGCCAAGCTTCTTTTCTTACCATCGTATTACGTCATTTATTCTTTTTAGGCTCAACACAAGCTCTCTTTTCTCGTTTTGTGTGATATGAAAAAGCTTAGTGGTCATCCCACTAGACGGTCACAATCTGAAACTGGTGATCTGGAAAAGACTGTTCTTCTTATTATTCTACTTGGCATTATGTGCTGTACAGATCGTATTGATTACCTCAATTGTAAAAGGCATGAAGCTTTAACGTTGATATCTCGTCAAACAAGAAAGGTATAAGTCCTTCGCATCCTTAAATCCATCCAAGTTTATGTATTACACAATAGAAAATGGATCTATGATATTCAAAATTGATTTATTATTTGACTTTCAGTTTATTCTTGAAGCAAAAACCAGTTTAGAAATTGATGTATCTGGCTTCAACATAGTTAGCCTTTTAAACCATCGCCTTTAATAGACTACTTACTCCGACCCAGCATTTGCCACCTTTGCCACGCCTTTTAGACTGTCCCACCTCAAAATTTAGCGACACATACGGACTGAAAGTTTAAAAATGATTTTTATCATTCACGTCCTGTTTAAAAAATAAAAACTTACCATGTCACTCAATGGCATCACTAATAACGCGTCAAAAAACAATATTGTCACGCGAAAACGACTCACAGAGTGAGAACAAGACACCATATTTGGCGGCTCATTCCTGGAAACCTTCATTTGCTATGAATGAGCAACTTCTATGGTAAAACACAAATATTTATCACCGTAAAGTGTATAAAGCTGACAGAATTATTCGTTTCAAGTCTTTGTTTGATATTTAAGTCCTTTTTCTTGAAGTATTGGGACCATTGGAGCGAGAAATTTCGTTCAACAATATCAAAGGCTATTATGCATTATTGGCAATGGTTAAGACCGCTTCGCCGACTTTATTTAAAGTCTCGGCCACTTCGTTTAAAGACTAAAATATTTTTCGTATAACTCCTGCTATTGATTGGGGATTCGAAAAATATTCTCTCTGGCACCTTGAAAAGGATGAAGAAGCAAAATCTGCGGTAATAAACAACGATATCATGAACCAATATTGAATATTAAAAGTTACAAAGGTTTAAACGGGGATATTGCCAGCTACGCGGGCGACTTAAGTAAAAGTCTTGTACGTATAACCAAAAACAGCAAAATCAAATATCACAACCCCTCCTAATTTGTTTACTGTAGAACAAAGAAAAGGGAAGGAAGCGGTTCGAATAAATGTTAACAACAGAGTTGCTATCAACCATGGCAACGTTGTTATTCATAACCATGGCAAAAGGTGAAAGGTGAAAGTTAAAATGTACTTGAGTTTTATATTTTATTATTTATCAAAAAAAATCTTATAATTATAGGTAAATCATACCGATGGTTCAAAGCCTTGGGAAACCAACAGTTTGAAAGATCTCCTTGAAGCATGGCGTCAATATCTGAGCGCATGTAGCCACAAACACGAGTACTGCTTGGAAAAGTACCACGTGATATAATGCGGCTATTCAATCAAGTGCAATCCAGACATTCCTGGTGAGCTTTACAACCAATTTGGTCTGTCTGGAAATTGTACGATTGAAAGCCCAGTCATACGTTGCTCTACCTATTCCAACAAAGTCAACACTTATATGACAACCAAAACCTGGAACAAGGTAGAACTTGCTTTCGAATGAGAAAGAAGGACTCGTAAAAGATCAAGTTAAGTTCGTCGAAGAATACTTCCGTTTTTGTCTTTTACTTTTACAAGAAGGACTTATGCAAGCGTCTCAACAAAAGCGAATCCAACTTTAGTAGACTTTTGGTTTGGCCAGCAGTCGAAGTATCCGTTGACTTAGTTGAGGCTCTTGAATTCTTGCCTGGGGAATACGCCCTCAAATCGACCAACGAAAATTATAACGCGGACGGTTGTGTCGTCGACGAGGATGACGACGAGATGTTCTTCCTCGAAACATCCGGAAAACTGATGTTGAATGAAAAATGGAAATATGGCTACGATCATGTAAAGTGCACTTTTGGTGCCTTATCGATATACAGTGCTGCATTCCAGAAGTACTTTTTTTGCCACTGAAGAAACGGCCTTGAAACATCAAGTGCCATATATTCATGCAATGGGTAATCAGATTTTTTTTTTTTTTATTTGACCCAAATAACTAACCACTTTTAATTAAATTTATAGAGGGCCTCTCTAAATAATCTGGTTCGCCATAATTTTCGGCAAGAAAGGACTGCTGCTAGTCGAAACCCGCTGGTCCCATAAGGTATTCAAGTGTCAAGTACCCGAGATATCGAATGATATAAAAAACATCATTGTCATGGGGAATTTCCTCTGGTTTCTCAAGGTATATACATGTATATAAACATAAGTGCTCTAAAATTTAAGGAATTAATTTTTTTAAAAACCATAATAGATATATCTGGAGCGCTCCCTTTCCAGTTTGATTGACATGAAGCAGGAATACGAGAAATACGAAGTTCAAAGGATGCTTGGGGGCACCGAATCTCGTACCTCGCTGGTCGAAATGGTCAACATGGACCTGCAAAAGCCTTTGAAAGGCGATGGGTAAATGGAATCCTTTTGCCTGAGAAAAAGGACGAAGTCGACTGTTATGTCCACAATTTAAGGGGCCAGTCTGTCTTACTATAAAGCATCCAATGTTGTGGAGGTTACACAAATCTATAATTTAAATATCAATAAAACTCCATCATGAAACTCATTCTACTACTTGTAAATCTGACCTTCACAGTTAGTAATGTAATAGAAATCCAACTTCACGGATAAGATACAAGTTATTTTGCAATTTTCTTAAGAGACCACAACATGCATCAACCAATCATTATAAAGGGTTATACCATGATCACGGCGGCTTATAATATCTACTAGGTAAAAGAAACATATAATATATCTTTACATTATCTATTTGATCATTTATCTTTCAAAGGCTTAATCGAGCCTACAGCTCACTACAAAAACTTTTTAAATGACGATCCAACAATTTCCAGAAGTGATCTGTCTACAATAAAAAATTACTTTTGATTGTACCTTCACTTGGGCATTCTGAAGATTGAATAAAAGGCAAAGATATCATCATTTGAGATCATTTTGGGCGTCCCTGCATATTATATATAAAAATGGGTCCCCGCTTTGAATTTGTGGGGGTAACAGGCTTGGTTAGACTCGAAAAATTTATAAATTTTCGGTCCGCTTAAAAAATTACGTCTTGACTCGAGAACGTTTTCTATACGAGGATATCTTTTTTTTTTTTTTTTGTGATAGATATTACTGTCTGTGGGCCTTGATTTATCACAAAAAAAGAAGAGAATTTAAACATGTGAATATGTGTTTCAAATTAATAATATTTGAAAAGAAGATATCTATTATTCCAGATGGCTTTGGAAAGAAAAAGGTGTTTTTGTGAATGCTACACAAGTGACTGGTGGGTGAATGCTTATTAAGATGGCATATACGAAGTATGATTGGAGGATGTTAAAATATTTATAGAGATTTTCTTAAAGGGGTATAATTATATTTTTGATTGGGCTGTTATGACAAAGCTATTCATGTTCCGCGTGATCCTAAAAAAAAAATACGAACCTTTTCCATCCTCCCACCAAAATATAAAAGGATCTAGTTTTTGTTTTTCTTCCTCTTCTTCCTTTACTCAAAATCCTTTGACAAACAAAACCCCCCCTGCTCTCTCTCTCTTTCTTTAAGATAAAAAATGTCCAAAAATATCTTGACTACATCCAACGGTAACCCCGTTGAGAATAACCAAACCTCTCAAACTGCTGGACAACACGGTCCTATGTAAGTCTTTATCTCTTTTAACAATCATTTACTTTTACTAACATTATATCTAGTCTTCTTCAAGATTTCCATTTAATTGACAAGCTTTGTAAGTAAAATAGTCTAAAAAAAAATCCTGCATTTTTTTCTATTTTTGTATACCACGGACAGGTTTTTCTTGTCCTACAAAAATACTAAATTGGGTCAATGAATGCTGACATTCTCTTTATTTTTACAAAAGCTCATTTTGACAGAGAGCGTATTCCCGAACGTGTTGTTCATGCCAAGGGAGCAGGAGCTCACGGTACTTTTGGTAAGTGACTATCACTATGTATCTCACCCCCATCCTTTTCTAATACCTTTAAAAAGAGGTAACGCATGATATCACTCATCTTACCAAGGCCAAATTCTTGAGCCATATTGGTAAAAAGACACCCGTCTTCACTCGTTTCTCTACCGTCGGTGGTGAAAAGGGTAGTGCGGATACTGCTCGTGATCCTCGTGGTTTTGCCGTCAAATTCTACACTGAAGAAGGTAAAATTGAAAACAAGACCATTTCAAGTTGATGAGGCATTAACATGTAATGTATAGGTAACTGGGATATGGTTGGTAACAACACACCCGTTTTCTTTATTCGTGATCCTTCCAAGTTCCCTGGTAAGACAAATGCATGAAAAGTACGAATGCAAAAGAAAGACTCATACTAAGAAAAAACATTATAGATTTCATCCATACCCAAAAGAGAAACCCTCAAACCAACTGTGGTGACCCTGATGCTTTCTGGGATTTCCTTTCTCTTGTACCTGAATCACTTCATCAGGTCTCTATTTTGTTCTCTAACCGTGGTACTCCCGATGGTTACCGTCACATCAATGGTTATTCTTCCCATACATTGAAATTAGTAGATGAGCAAGGTGGATTCAAGTATGTCAAGTGGCATTTCAAGACAGATCAAGGTATCAAGAACTTTACAGCTGAACAAGCTGGTAAGCTTGCCAGTGAAGATCCTGATTACTCTACACGCGATCTCTTTGGCGCTATTGAACGTGGAGATTATCCCTCTTGGTCTGTATATGTTCAAGTTATGGAACCTCAAGATGCTCTCAAGTATCGTTTCAACCCCTTTGATGTCACCAAGGTTTGGTCTCATAAGGTAAGATATTATTGTGTGTGTGTGTGTGTGTGTGTGGGGAAAAAGTTGTTTTGGTTGGGGGTGAATAGTTTCTCATCACATGTTATCAATTAGGATTATCCTCTTCAACCTGTCGGAAAGATGACTTTAAACCGTAACCCAGAGAACTACTTTGCCGAAACCGAGCAAGCGGCATTCTCACCCTCTCATACGGTACCCGGTATTGATGTATCTGCCGATCGTATGTTACAAGGTCGACTCTTCTCATACCCTGATACCCATCGTCATCGTTTGGGAGCCAATTATGCACAAATCCCCATCAACCAACCTCATTCTCGTGTAGCTAATCATCAACGTGATGGAGCAATGGCCGTTTTAGGTAACGGAGGATCTGGTCCCAACTATGAGCCCAATTCCTTTGGCGGACCCTATCAAAACAATGTGAGTGCTACTACATTTACTGCAGAGGAAATTTATGGCGCCACCGGTCGTCATACATACGAATTGACCGATGATGATTTTGTTCAAGCTGGTGATTTGTATCGTCTTTTATCTGCCGAAGAGAAGACTCATTTGGTGAACAATATCTCTGGTCATTTGAAGAATGCCAAGAAGCATATTCAGGAACGTCAACTTGCTCACTTCAAGCGTGCTGATGCTGAATATGGTCAACGTATTGAAGAGACCATCTTGACTTTGAGTTCCAAGGCTTAAGAACAATACCTTTTGCATTATTTATTTTACCCCCAACCCCCATCATCTCTCAAACAAAATAAACTCGTCTTAACTGTATATTTATTATTATTATTAAAGTTTTAACTGTATATGTAATGGGATAATCCGTGGGAGTATTGTAGAAACACTTGAATGTCTAAATTGGGTGAAATTAGTATTATCTTTAAATTACTTTCGGGTGAACTATTGGTGTGATGCAAGGCAATCACATAGAATTTTTTATGGGTTTTTTGTCTAAATAGGTGTGGGTTTTTTAATATCTACACAATATAATTAATAACTTGCTAATACTGAATCCTCTCACTAAAGTCAAGAAGACATGTGCAATATGTAAGGTTGCTGTTAATCATTTTAACGTTTTAATTATTTGTTTAGGTTATTATTCCATTTCACTTTCATTGTTAATAATTAGAGCAGAAATGTCTACCTTAGAAGATTTGGTGGGTAGCCTTGGTCCGTCCTTGCGTAAAGTTTCGGCTGGCTTCCACCCTGTCACTTCTTTCTAAGGTAGAGTTGTTAAAGAAGTTTCTGTATAAATGTTTGGCGGAAAACCTTGGCCTGCCCTTACATATGGTTTCGGTTGGCTTCCGCCCTGTCACTCATTTTACATGACGTTTTTGCAAAGTAGTCTCCGTCAAAGTTTGGACTTCTCATATTATAGCAAATCTTCAAGTCTTGAAAAGGTATATGTCATATCACTAATTCAATTGCAATGGATTCTAACGCGAAAAACCGAAAGCCAAGCAAGCAAATTGATAATAATTATAGAGTTGAATTTGGGATTATGGGGGGCACTCAGTTATGAAACCCTTCTACTACGATGAAATAAACCAGGTTATTTTCACTCGGAGACATCTTGAAGAAATGTCATCCCCGATGCTTCTATTTAAAATTCCCCATAAAAAATATACACAATCCACCCCATAAAAATTATACATCATCCACCCCATAAAAATTATACATCATTCACCCCCATAAACATTATACAACATACAAAGAACCAAATTGATAACTGATTGAATATGGGTCTAAAGTCATAAATTACTAGACAGAAAATAAATAAAGACAAATTCTGGCCCAAGTTGTGGGGAGGGGGGTGGCAGTTTCGACATACTCAATTGACAGGAGTTAACTATTCTGGTTTTCTAAACTAGGTTTATTATGCTTATTAATTTCTATTCACATCATTTAGCGGTTCGTAACACAGACCTTTTTTGTCATTTAACCTGACAATACATCATTTTATTATTTTTATTCTAAGTAATCTATAAATTAGCAAATCCACCGGTAGTAGCAAAGACTTTACTCTGGTAATCCCAATCCCCGTCAGCACGTATAGCTAGTTTTTTCATGCCACGTACAGCCAAGGGAGACACCTTTTGTCCGGTCACACGATCCACCACGAACTGATTCAAAAAGATGACGGTTTGATCCAGACAATCTTTATCCTTGTCTACCACGATATCCACTACCCCGTGATCAACACCATGAGCAGCATCTAACTTATAAGCACCAGCCATCCATAGCAACGCCTTTTTTTTACCTACCAGAGATATCAGACGCTGCATACCTCCCCAAGGAGAGCTAACACCCATCCTTGTTTGTACGAAATGAATAAATCCAGATTCCTTTGACATGCAGATGAAATCAAGACCAGTGATAAATTCGGATCCTCCACCAATGGCGCCACCTGTGACGATACCCATAGTGAGTAAAGGAAGTTGTGTGATTCTCTGGATATTGTTGTACATGAGTTTATTTAAAGCCAATGAATCTTCAATTGTGTTTACGTACTGTCGAGCAAACTTCAGGTCTACATGTGTGTCAGTTTGTTACTCCTTTTTTTTTTTTATTATTATTAATGTTAGCATTTACCTAAACCAGCACAAAAGGAAGAGCCTCCACCTCCTCTAAAGATAACAGCCACTAGGTCCTGACTATTTTCCAAAAGTGTAATAATGGAATGTAATTCAACCATCATCTTTCCAGACAAAGCATTGTGTCGTGTTGGGTTTTCTAATGTCACCAGAGCAATACTCGGTTGATATTTCAAGTCAAGTCGAACAGTGCCTTGACCTTTATTTTCAAATTGCTTAATAATCGTATCCATCGTTTTTTTAAAAGAAAGAAAAGGGTGAGAAACCCCAAAGTTTTTTTTTAACCTTTTATCAAAACCCCGTCCCTACGTTTTGGGATGGTTTCTTTTTTTTTTTACGTAAGCATGTTTCAACTTGCTTTTTGCATGAAAATCATCTGATTTCAAATTTGAAAATCCGGGGCTACTACAGACCAAAAAAGACCGCATGAGAAATAAATAACAACTCTTTTTTATTCCCGTCTTTTTTTTTTTTGCAATGGAAAGTAATTCAAATAATAAAAGAAGAGCAAGTGAAACCAAAGCCACTGAAGCTTTAGCTTTAGTGAGCAAAGTACAACGCATACCTCCCCCTTTACCTTACTTACCCAGCGATTACCGTCCTTCACCAGACGGACCTCGTCATTTCCTCATATCTTCCTCTAATCCCATGTTTGAACACACTAACAACCGTCGTCAACGATCGCATTCCATCAGTCATACTTTGGCCATTGAATCCAGTCAACAGCAGCAGCAACAACAGCATTTCGAGCTTGTACCCTACCGTGAATGGACCGTCATTGCGTACGTTTGTTATACAAATCACATACAAGACACATACTGACATGACATAACACAAAAAATAGACGAAATAATGAAAAAGGTCAACTCGTGTTGTATAACCAAGATAATCAAACAGTGACCGTACAAAATTATTCACCCGATGAAGATCATCCCACACTTAACCCAAGTAAACCAGTTCATGTAGTGTATTCTTTGTGATTTATCATTTGAATTAAAAATCAACTAAAAAGACATACCTGTAGATGAACAAGGAATTGGGTGATTGTCCGTATTGCCATCGTCCTTTAGAGACAAAACCTGCTAAATCCAAGGTAAAATTTTCTTTTTCTTGCAGAAAGGATTCGAATCCATTGGGGGGACTGATATATTTTAACCTGTGTAGGAGTTTGATTACATGGACCGCAACTACTTTCGTTTATTAGCCTCATCTCAAACAGATACTGCACAAAAGTAAAGTATAGGCTCAAAAGGACATATGTATTGGATGTAAAAGACTAAAAAAAAAAATGCATTCAGTTCACCCGCTCAGTCAAGGTCAAACACGTTTAGTGCAACAACCTCGGAAAAACCGTTACCGGATCAAAACTTAAACGCCAACGCATTTAACCAAGGTTACTATGACAAATTCTTTGTGGAGGAAAGTAAACTAGGGAAAGGATTTCGAGGTAGTGTCTTCTTGTGTGAACACATGTTGGATGGTGTAAAATTGGGAAAATACGCCATTAAAAAGGTAGCGATCGGGAATAACCATCCATGGTTAGTGAGGATGTTACGTGAAGTGCATTTATTGGAAAGGTTACGTCATCCAAATATCGTGAGTTATAAACACTCTTGGCTTGAGTACAATCGCTTGACACCCTTTGGACCTGAAGTGCCATGTTTGTTTATCTTGATGGAATGCGCCAATGGTGGTAACCTAGAAGAGTATTTTGAAAATCATATTAGACCTACAAAAAAGAGCCCAACAGGATCAACAGCAGCAGCATCATCATCATCAGCAACAACAAAAACGGCAAAGAGTGCAAAGGAATTAAAGAGAGAACGTATCAAGAGACAATTGGAAGAACAAGCTTCATTTGAACAAGAAAAGGATCTATCCGCTCCCGAAGTACATCTAGAGAAACGCTTATTGACCATGACAGAGATATGGTCATTATTTTTGGATATTGTGCAAGGATTAGCTCACTTGCATCAACAGAATATTGTGCACCGTGATTTAAAGCCCCCTAACTTGCTCTTGCAGTATGATGAACGTAATCGAAATGGACACCACGGCATGTAACGTATATAACTCTCCCAGTATTTTCATAAATTCCATCAACTCATATTTTCTCTTTTTTTTTTCTGTGTAAATAAGCCCACGAGTATTGATTTCTGATTTTGGCGAGTGTGAGGATTTGGATGCAACGAGTGCAGACGATGAGAACCGAACGGGAGCGACGGGAACATTAGAGTTTATGGCACCGGAACATGTACGATTGGATCCACGCGGTCGAAATACAGTAGATTATTCTCCTAAAGCGGATATGTGGTCTCTGGGTATGGTACTTTATTATCTCTGTTACTCTCGATTGCCTTACAATGTCATTGCGGATGTCGATGTGTTACGTGACGAAATTCTTTCGTTTAAAGATGTCAGATTTCCAGTGTCTCGTTATGATATTTACAAGGACCATCGAGAGTTATTAGAGGCAGCTTTACATGATCCTACAATTCAGGCGGATATACCCAATGAATTAAAGTTACTGATTCGTATGCTGTTATCTATCGACCCCAACAAACGACCTTCTTGTAATGAAATCTTGAGTAAATTACGAAGGATCCGTAGAGAGGATAATACCACGGTATTTCAAGATATGCCGAATGATTGGACCTGTGATCCTGTGGTTGTCCAACAAGACGAAGAAGAGGAAGAGGGAAAGGTTAGACAAAAGTCAAGATCCGTTTCTCCCATGAAACGAAGTAATGTTAAAACCAAGCCAGTGATGGTAGAAACTATTGGATTAAGGAAACGACAACGTTTGTTACAGGATGCCACTGTTGTGGAAGAAGAAACAAGCGATAGTGTGATGGAGGAACCACGGTTACTATTAGAATCACCACAGATACCTTCCGTTTCTTCTTCTTTTCCTTTTACAGATAGACAAGCTATGAAGGGTATTAAGACGGTGACGGGTGTACTCAAAGTATGTACATATATATATAAAAAAAGTTGTATTATAAAAAAAAAAGAGAAAGAAAAAAAAAAGTAACAGAGATGATAGATTGCTTCATGCACTTGGTGCTGTTCTCCTTATTCGACAAGACCAAGTACGTTGTACCCAGTCATCTTTTTTGCCTTGATGGATTTTTGGAATGAAGCAAATTCACCAAGTTTACTCTTGATTGTGTTACATGTTATTTGGATCACCGGAACTACTCTAGTGTCGGGAGGACTATGTGATGCCTAGGCGCTTCTTGAATAACTCTCTCTATATTTGTCATATCTTTGTTCGGATTTGTGTGGGAAAGCACGCCATTGTCTCTCTTTTTTTCTTTTTTTTTTTACTTTTTTTTCTTTCTTTTTCTCTTTACACATTTCATCTTGTCATGTCGAATAATAAACCACCTTCAGCTGTAGCAGACTTTATTGCGGGAAAGTAAGTCTCTTTCTTGTCATATATATATAAAAGTACTCACGTCCCCCACGTTTTATTAATTCTCGTTAGTTTCGGTGGTATGGCCAATGTTTTAGTAGGGCAACCACTGGATACCATCAAGGTACGACTTCAACTTGACAGCGGTAAATTCAAGGGCGCTTGGGACTGTACGGTACAAACGGTGCAAAAGGAAGGCTTTTTAGCTCTTTATAAAGGCATGGCCAGTCCTTTGGTTGGTATTGGAGCCGTCAATGCACTTTTATTTGCAGCCAATTCGAATATCAAACAACGCTTACAAACACACCCCGACGAAGTTCTGGGTTTGAACAAGATTGCATTAGCAGGAGCTGGTGCGGGTATTGTCAATAGTATCTTGGCCTCACCCGTAGAGTTACTCAAGATCAAGATGCAAGCACAGTTTGGTCATGCCTCTGTAGACGGTAGTAAGCATTTTACAGGTCCTTTGGATTGTGCTAAATACTTGATTGCTAGAGATGGCGTTGCACATGGCTTGTTTAGAGGATTATGGGCAACGGTCGTACGTGAGATTCCTGCTTATGCTGGTTTCTATACTGGCTTTGAAGCAACCAAACGTTATTTGACAAAGGGACAGGATAAACAGGCGGATATATTTCAATTAATGACGGCAGGTGCAGTGGGTGGTATTGGGTATTGGGTGTTTTCTTATCCATTGGATGTGGTGAAATCCGTGGTGCAGCATGGCGATACACCACCCAAGGGGTTGTACATTACCTCGGTTCTTAAGCGTATCTATGCACGCGATGGCATGGCTGGTTTATTCCGTGGATTTACTCCCACCGTTCTCCGAAGGTAATCTACTTATGCATTACCCTTTTTTTTTTTGTATGTGTATATACTCACTTAATCTCTATTAGCATTCCTGCTGCTGGAGCCACCTTTACTGCGTATGAACTTTCTATCCGCGCCTTTCAAGCCAATGGCTGGTAGTTCTTATTTAAAAAAAAATAACATAGACGTACACATGTAAAATATGAAGCAGCTCTTTCTCTCTCTTTTTTATATATATTTAGAACTTTTTTTATTTTTATTTTTATTTACTTTTCTTCCTTGATGGCTTGACTGGCAGCTTTTGCTTCAGCTTCCTTATTTTCACGAAGCGCAGCTGAACATAATTGAGTGAGACGAGCAAATTTGGATTCATCATCATCTTCACCAGCAGCTTCAGAGGGAGAGGTGGTGCCAGATGAATTGGAGGTACTTGGAACAGGCGTCATGGGTTGATGCTTCTTTTCACTTCCCTCAGAGTTCATTGGATAATAAACACCTGTCGTAGATACACCGATATCCGTCTGTTGTTGATGAAGATTGAAGTATGCCGCTGCGGCTGCTGCTGTCGCCGCCGTATTATTATTATTATTAGTGTTGTTGTTGTTGTTATTGTTGTTATTGTTATTGGTATCATTGGATTCCGATGTCGTGTTATTACCATTGACAAGAACAGGATAAGTGGAATAACCAGGCGAAACAATATAAGCATTATGTTGTTGCTGCTGTTGTTGCTGCTGCTGTTGTTGTTGATCTTTTGTATTGTTATAAACGGCTGTGGCAGTAGCAGCGTAATGATAAGGATCATATGCTTGAGTATACTGAGTCAAATTGGTAGGATAGCCATAATCATTGGCAGCAACCACGGAATTTGAATTATTATTGTTATTGTTGGAAGCAGAGGAGACATTGACATTATTGGCAGAAGCAACAGCAGCAGCGGCGGCAGCAGCAGCAGCAGCAGCAGCAGAGTTGGCATCATTCAAGGCGGCAACGGAAGGAGTGTATTCGATTTTAGTAGTGGGAGATTTGATATCATCATTGGACTTTTGTCTTCTCTTATAAGGACCACGCTTAATTCCCTTTTTACGTTCCTTTCGAACCGAGTTCACACACGTGTCTGCAATCCCATACTTTACGCAACGAGGACAAGGTCTTGCATCATCACATTTTTTACAAGCCTTTTGACAATTTGCTATTTTATATGTGATTTAGTCTTTGTGTGTGTGTGTGTCGTCATCATGTAAAAAAAAAAAATTTTTTTTGTTGTTGTTGTTTTTTTTTATAATGAAAAAAGAAAAAGAAAAAAAAAGGTAACTTACTACATGCATTCTTGACTTGGTTACGCTTCACAACCATCCCACTCGTGTTTGTAACTTTTGTCATGGAAGAGTCCATGACATTGGTAGCGGAGGAGGAAGACAACAGGGGAGGATTGGCAATAGTCATTACAGTGGAACCTGTACCAGGTGACGTAACGTTGTTGTTGTTGTTAGTAGTATTTGGGTATGGCGATGGAGGAGCATACGTAGAAGTATAATAGGTTGGTATAGACTGCATTCTACTGTATATATAAAAAAAAAAGATACAGAATCAAAAATAAAAAAATTGGTTAAAGGCGGCGATACAAACTGACTCTTAATGAAAAAAAAATATAAAATGTGTATATATAAAGGGGGGCTATGTGTATTCCCTCTTCTAATTACCTTTTTTTCTTTATTTCTTTACTGTTTTTTATTATTTTTTTGCTGTTAAAGTAATAAAAAAACAAGTAATATTTATTTTTTTAATACGAAAAAAGAAAAAAAAGAGAGAGAGAAAGAGAGGGGGAAAAATACATTTATCGCGCTTTTCCATCCTCTTTTTTTTTTTTTTTTTTTTGCCAAAAATAGTCGGAGTTTGTAATGATACTCCAACCACTTGTTTTGTATTTACACTGTTGCACGTACGGATCTGATTGGTTGGATAACTTTTTGTGTGCAGCGTCCTATTATTAATTGAAGTGTATATTTGAGTGATTTGAGTGAGGTGAGATGGTGTGTGGTCATGATGAGTATATGAATCACAGCGGCCCAGGTCTGTCAATTAAATAGTTGAAAATATACTAGACTCACATGAAGGATGTCCGTGTCCATATCATCCCCCCATCCCCATCCCCTTCTCTTGCCCGCCCCTGTTTGTCTATAAACGACCTTCTTGTACAGTTGGCATTTAAACCTAAATATCTCCCTTTTGTTTCCAATCAACTGATGTCTTTTTTTCGCATTGACCAAAAACGGAGCTGATAAAAAAAAAACGAAATGCATTTGTTGTGCGACAACAACAACAAACCTTCGTGCCTCCCTTTTAGTGTGGGTCTTTTTTTATCCTTGTTCACTTGTCCTTTTTTATATAAAAAAAGAAAGAGTGTATTTAATTAAGAAGTGGATAAAGAAGAGGGAGGGGGAAGGGAAAGAAACACACCATCGGCTTTAAATAAGGGTCCAGCATTTATATATATATACATATATAAAAAAAAAAAAGGTCATGTAGGTACTCGATTTGTTTATATGCACCTATTTATTTATTTTTATTTCTTGAATAAAAATAAAAAAAAATAAATCATCCCCCTATCTTTCTCTTTCCTTTCCTTTTCCTTTTTCTTTTATATTTTTTTTTTCTATTTTCTTTTATTAATACAAATCGCGTGGAGTATATATAAAAATGATTGTGACAAAAGCCATTGTGAAATTACCCAGAAAAACGAACCGTACAGGCAGTCTTGTGGTCGATACCGACTACAAACCACATCAACAAGAAGAAGGTTATTTAGTGTCAGACAAATTATATTTTGATGGATTACCACCTTCTGTCATTGAGAATGAAATTAAGGACTTAGTTTCAAGTTTCAACCCCATAAAGTACTTTTTGACATGTATCACAAACTTGTAGCACTTTTTTTTTTTAATCCTTGTTTTGATGGAATCTTTAAATATAAGACTAACACATAACCTTTTTTTTTTTCTTTTTTTTTTCTGTAGAGTTCATTTGAAGCATACAACGGAGTGTGCCTGTGGTTATATTCAATTTGTTACCAAGGATATGGGTAACCCTTGACTACCTCCCCATTAATACAACGTCTCCTAATTCTTCCTTTTTTTTTTTTTTTTTTTTTTTTTTTAATCATCATAGCTGATCGCGCCTACACCTTGTTAAATGGAACAACCTTTAGAGGCATCAGACTACAACTCAAGATCAACCCTCCCTACGGTGACTATCCAGAGCCAGAAGCACATGCAGGTATCCTTCATGTAAAAAATCTGCCCAACCATATCGACAATAAATCCTTGTACGAGCTCTTTCGTCCCTATGGTCCAATGATGTTGTGTAAAATATTACTAGAACAAGCCACCACTTTCAAAGGCAATGCTCTTGTTCAATATTTTAATTCGGAACATGCTCAAGACGCAGAACATATCATGGTATGTATCTCATTCTCTTTGTTTTCTTCTTCTTCTCATCTTTTTTTTTCTGTGTGTTTAAACAGAACAACAAGCAGCTGCAGGATAATATCATGTAAGTTGTAACACAGCATATCAGCTCGCATATTCATTTGACTCCCTAATAGTACGGTCCTTCCCTTTGTTTCCAACAACAACAACAAATGGAGAGACACACCTCCTCCTCCTCCTTCTTCCACCAATGGCTGTGCTAGTACCGTTGCTATGGTAGCCACACCCACTACCAATACAACCACGTCCAGTAGCGGTACTGTCGTTACCACGTCACCCACACCGCAAAAGGACACTACGGTGGATTATACCAACCTCTATATCAAGAACCTAGACCTGAATGTCAAGAGCGCAGATCTCTTTGAGCATTTCCGTAAATTTGGTCGAATCATATCTGCTCGTGTCATGAAGAATGCACAAACAAAGCAATCCAAAGGATTTGGCTTTGTCAGTTATAGTAAAGCGGATGAAGCTCAAAAGGCCAAGTTAGATATGGATGGCATTTATATTCTTTCCAAACCCATCATCGTTGCCTTTCATGAACCAAAGAAGCCGCGTGAAAATGATCCTCAGGTGAATTCCCCCGTTGACACTTTTGTTGATCATCCAACCTATTATCAGCAGCAGCAGCATCAGCAGCAGCAGATACAACAACACCATCCGCAGCAGCAGCAGCAGCACCATCAGCAGCAGCAGCAGCACCACCAACAACAACAACAACAAAGGTCCCGTGATTTCGAGCAAAGATACTCTCATATCCCCCCATTGCCACCACAAACCCCTCCACCAGTGGTTGCACCAACAGGAAAATATTATGCTGTGCCACAAACACATCAGCAACATTATTCTCCTCAACAACATTCTTATTCATCTCATGGGATTCACGTGGACTATTCACCTGCTAACAAATTATACCAACCCATGGAAAGAAATACTAGTCGTCACAGTCATAGTTACGATCCACGACAGGTAAAAAAAAAAAAAAAGTGTTTGCCAATGACGTGTACCACATCCCCCTTTTATTTGTTTATTTGTATCAACCTTCTCCCCTTTTTTTTCTGTTTATATAGATTCATATTCCCCCTGTTAAACACGAACATTATCCACCACCGCCACAACCTACAAAAAGAGAGCTTCATGGACAACAACAGCAGGCATCTTTATCTGCATTAGCTTCTGGTGCTTACATTAATACACCACCTAATTATTATCATCACCCACAGTCACAGCCACCACCACCACCACCACCACAGCAACAACAGCATGCAACGACGCAAGAAGTGCGACCTACCTTTCGAAGACGAGGATCGATTGAAAGTGTTGCTAGTGTCATGACAGAGACATCTTCAGAGACACGACGTCATACAGTGACAAGAGCTGTCCTGTCGATTGAAAAGGAACATCATGCGCATGTGGAAGATATTGTGGATATGATTCTGACTTTAAAAAAAAAGGATTTGGCCACCTGTTTATTTAACAAGGTCGTATTAAAGACGAAAATACGACAAGCCAAAGATGCTTTGGATATCTTTCAGGAACAACAACATCAGCAACAGCAACAACAGCAACAACAGCAACAACAGGTGTCGTCGCGTGCTATACCTATTGTGGCACCGAAACCACAAGATTTGGGTGAGGAAATTGAAAAGTTTTTAGATACGTTAAAAGGGTTAGCTTTGCATGAAAAGAAACAATTGTTAGGAGATCGTCTTTTCCCACTTGTCAAGGTAAAAAGATGGACATGACAAAAACATTTTTTTTTTTTTTTTTTTTTTTTTATAAAAAATTGACTCATCTTCTTTTTCTTTAGTCGACAGGCGTGAAACAAGCGCCTAAAATTACCATCCGATTACTGGACAGTGTACCCTTGGACGAATTAGCTTATTCCATGTATGATAAAGAAAAGTTAAAACATCAAGTCTCTCGTATCGTTTCCACCATTTCAACTCGTTATTAAAAAAAAAAAAAATTTCCTTTTTTTTATTTATTTATTTTATTTATTATTTTCATACATTATAACTTCCTGTTTTTTTTTATCTGTCTTCCTCTTCACTATCAGATAAATCGAGCATCACCGTCTTTCTTTCTTGAGTGTCTTGTTGTGTCGCATACCGTTGTGTAGGAGTGTATTGTTGTGTAGCATCGTACTGTTGTGTAGCATCATACTGTTGTGTAGGATCGTACTGTTGTGTAGGATCATACTGTTGCGTGGCATCATACTGTTGCGTGGCATCATACTGTTGCGTGGAATCGTACTGTTGCGTAGCCGCATTATTGATATCGACCTCTGCTTCATCACGTGTCGTGCTTCGTAAATTATACCGATTACGTGGCGGTGCAATGTGAGGCACAGGTACTTCTTCCTCGTCTATCCTAGCCGGGATACTAAGCGAATCAGGGAAATGTATCCTAGGTGCCCATTCATCCTGTGTCGTTTCCACTGTATCAGGAAAACGGATCCCCGGTGAGGATGCATCCGCAACAGAGTCGCGTCTCCCTTCACTATTACTACTAATTGTATGATTGGAACCGCTTGATTGTTGTGTAGAAACATGACCTAAAGAGGACAAGTTACTCGTGTAGCGCTCGGGGGGACGTACAACATGCCATGATTGTCCAGGAGAGGATGCTTGAGTTGATTGGTTGTCTGAAGATACATCACTAGTGGGTTGGGAAGGTGTGGGAGGTAAGGAAAGGAGAGACAAGGTCGATATTTTACTTTGAGCAGAAGAGGAAGAAGAGCTTGCGGCTTGAGAAGAAAGACTACTGAGTAGAAGAGAGGAAATCGATCTACTACCAGAGGAGCTACCTTGACTTGGGACAGATGGGAGCGACGGAAGTGTATATTTTGTTTGTTGTCCACCACTATTGCCACTTGCCTACATTTTTTTTTTTTTTTTTTTTTTTTTTAGTGAGAATCATATAAGACGGCCCCTCTTTTTTTTTAATATTACCTCTGCACTGGCTACCTTTCCAGCCTCTTCAGTAAAATCATCTTCTTGCTGCTCAAATGAAAAATATTAACAAGGATAAAAAAATGAAAAAAATGAAAAAGACTTACGGATGACTTATTTTTCTTATTAGGTTCATCTTCATTAGTTTCTTGAGATAGCCTTGTTCTTTTACCTTCACTTTGTTGTGATGAAGATGTTGAACGCGGAGATGCAAGCTGTGGAGACACTACTTCTTGGGACCCGCGTTCTGCAGGTGATGCTTCTCGGGATGCTTTCCTACACTCCGCTTCCTCTTTATTCATTACAGGTTTCTGACTACCGCTGGAAGTCTGTGAACTACTGAGAGAAGCAATCACCGAATCCGGCAATCCCAACTTGAATCGATCCGGGTATCTTTGAAAACATAGTAAAATGGCTGCACAATGTTGACATTTAGAAGCAGAGCAAGTATCACAGATCTCCCTTTGAACAGAGCCTTCCGATGATAAGACAAGTGTGGTGCGCATAGAATCAAAGGTACCGTTTAGTATCACGATATCTGTATCTAAATCATACACCGTCTCAGAGATTATCTCTAGTAACGCTTGGCCCTCCTTGTAGGTGTCCTCATCATCGATATACTGTTGAATGCGTTCTACCGTTTGTGATTTCTGTACCCTTTCCAGTATATTTAAAATAGAATCCCCAGCTACAGTAGATTCGATTTTTCTTTGGATTGGTTTGGTCTCCATCATACACTGAGCCCATTTATCCAATACTTTGCATGACTAAGTTTTGTGTGTTAATTATAAACACTTTGACTATTGACTTTTTTTTGTGTTTGTATGTGCATGCGTACCTGAGCGGAGACAGAATGGAACGTGCCATGACGACCAATGAATTCGGATCGTGTAAGAGGACCTTCATTGTCAAGTGATAGCATGGGGATTTTATATTCTGCTTGGGTCCGTTCTACATTTCTAACCATACAAAAATCGTTAATATTGCGGATTCATGAGACGAAAGACATCTTTTTTTTTTTTTTTACAGTAGATCGGGAGAAATGTAATCCATTTCATCATATTCACGCGTTTCCAATTTTTCAAGATGAGGTAAACTTTTTTTTTTAAAAAAAAAAATTAGGGTTACTCATTTAGTCATTTTTGTAAGAGAAAAGAACTTACAAGATAGAGGCCCATTTGGATTCATTCATTTTGCCATAAGCGTACAGGTGTACAATTTTAATATCGAAAAGATCTTGCTCGGTCAATGACGAGTTATCCGTGATAAAAAGTGATTTGGAGTAACTGATATGATGTCGATGTTTAATCCTAAAAAGGTATAAAAAAAAAGTAAGTAAACACACACACATGTATATAAAAAGGGACGGTATTTACTGTGCAAGAGAGTTGGATAGGGATGTCTGTTTCATTTTATAACAATAAACAGGCATAATGGTTGCCATGGTTTGGACCTCACATTGAAATTCCTTACGGTACTTGGTCAAAAGTGTTTCTTTCCTATAATTGTGCTTGTTAAATATAATACATGTATGGATTTAAGTCTAAAACACACTTTTCCCGGTCCTTGATCAAATTTAATTTGGTGCCATATAATAATTCTTCGTCAATGATCCAAATCATCGTACTACGCATTTATAGAATAAGTCTTTTTTCTCCCATTCCTCCGAACAGCCTCATGTTTGTACAAACCTGGATAAAGGTGCAGCATCCATTAAGCCACGAATGGCATTTTTCGTTCCTTCTTTTAAAGACAATACATCGTCTTTGTCAAACGAGATCATATCCTTGGTCAAGTCCACGATCAATGCCTAATATGTAAGGTGTTAATTCTGTTACACACACACACACAAAGGAAAAGAGAGAGAATTTGTTCTTCTTACACGATTGTTTTACCTGCTTGTAAAAGATTTCGTTGGAAATGACAAAATGAGCTTCGAATTCAGTCCATTCGGCTTGAGCCGCCTTCTTCGTCGGTGGTGTAAATGGTAGGAATGCTTCGGGATTATAGTCGATACTACAGTGTTCCTTCCAACTGAGATCACTGATCTCGCCAGACCAACCTAATAATAAATGCCACTGGTATTCCGTCATGGGTACCGTGAGGCAATAACATGACAGCGAAGGTATGAATTTCAAAAGTAGAGTGAATATCGCTTCTCGTTTCTTTTCGGTGGCCGGAAGCATAAAATAAATCGCCAACTTCTTTTTTTCACTCTGTTTCTAGGCTGTTAGTTTGAAAAAGGAGGAGGAGGCAAAGAGAAAAAGTGTAATGTCCGGATTTATTTTAAGGGGAGGGCTTACGGATTCATAGAGTTGTGAAATGCGTCGTGATAGAGTACGAGGTGTAGGCATGGAGCCGTCTTGGTCAGGACAATAAACAACGTGTGTATGAACAAGGTACTTTTGATAAAAGATACGTGCCATGACTGGTGCTGATTGCAACCAGACCATGTCAAAGTCATTTAATGTTTCCATAAAGGAAGAGAAAGGGGGTTTTTTTTTATTCTAGAGATATCTTTTTTTTTTTATTTCAAAATTAAATATTTTTAAAAAAAAAATCTAATGTCCTTTCTACACAAGATCAATAGCTTCTTCAATATCATCGGAATTTTGTTGTACAATACGATAAGAACCAGCAGATCTTCCAATTCCTAAACCTTTCTTACGCACCATCTTTTTAATTTCATCAGCCCAAAACACGGTACTGGTCACCAACACAATCTTGGTCAAGTCGTAGATTGAAAGTGCCTCCGTTTGGAAAATACTTTGGAAAAAGGGCACATAAATCACAAACATTTGCGCTAAAATCGATCCACCCACCGCCATATTAAACATCTTGTTTGAAAAAAATCCAACCGTGAAAATCGATTGCTTTTCGGATCGGCACGCTAAAGCGTTAAACATGTCAAAAAATACAAACGTCGTAAATGTCTACCATTTCGTCCTTTTTTTTTAGTAAACACAATAGGATTTCTAAAATTATTACTTTTAGTTACCATAGTAGCATCCTTGTTGGTAACTACGCCATCTGCCATTTCAGAGATATACACAAACATAGTACCAAAAGTCACAATAAAGGCAGCAGTCAATACACGTGTGATCAAGGGTCTTGTCAAAATATTCGAGTTACGGGATCTAGGTGGTTTCTTCATGATTTCGGGGTCCACAGGTTCCACACCCAATGATTGTGCAGGAGGTCCATCCATAATGATATTGATCCAAAGAATTTGCATGGGGTTTAAAGGCGTCTTGAGTCCAAACAAAGTAGAGATGGCAATTAAAGAAAGTGCGGAAATACTCGTACTCAATTGGAAAGTCAAAAAGTTTTGAATGTTGTAAAAGATGGCTTTACCTTCTTCAATCGCATGTAAAATCGTGGAAAAATCATCATCTACCAAAATCATATCCGAGGCTTCTTTACTGACATCCGTACCACTTTTACCCATCGAAATACCAATATCTGCCATCTTTAAAGCGGGTGCATCATTCACACCATCTCCTGTCATGGCTACCACAGCACCGGTTTCCTGGAAAGCACGCACAATCGCCAACTTGTGTTTGGGCGTTGTACGAGCAAACACAGATACCGTATGAATCATTTCTTGTAATTGTCGTTCTGACATGTGTTCAATATCATAACCTGTTAAACAGCTTCCGTTACTGTTGGTAGGGATACCTAAGCGACGGGCAATGGACATAGCAGTAGCTTCAGCATCGCCTGTAATCATCACCACCTTGACACCACCCTGGACCAATTTCTTAATGGCATCACCTACACCCGGACGGGGTGGGTCATGAACAGCCAAGAAACCGGTATAACATAAATCATTTTCACTCTCTCCAAAGGCAGTACTGAGAACACGCAGACCGTGTGAGCTCATGGCAGAAACGTGTTGCACTACCATTTCCTTCAAGGCAGGGGTAAATGGTACTCTTGTATAATTAGAGGTATAATAGGTTGTGCATTTATCCATAATCACTTCAGTCGCTCCCTTGATATAAATCGTACCTGTGGATTCTCCATCGTCCTTTTCACGGCAGGTGACAGACATGTATTTGACGTCCGAATTGAAAGGCACTTCATCCAAACGATCGTAATGCTATATTTTGGTTTTAGATCTCTCTTTCTCTCTTTTATGAAAATTCTATGTTGCTTACCATGCGCTCGTCTTTCATACCGCTACGAAGAACAACTTCCAATAAAGCCATTTCAGTAGGCTGACCATAAATTTTACCTCCTTCACCAATTTGAGAATTGTTACACAGGTTACCTAAAATAGACAAGCAATTTAGATTAAAAATGTCGATCTTTTTTTTTTTTTTTTTCTTTCTTTAAATTACATACCGATACGAAGTGTTTGACGTAAAGCTTCCGACATATTTTGAGGAATCTTGTATTCGTAATCAAATGTTTCTTGGTTTTCCACAGTGAATACGTTTGTCACGGTCATTTGGTTGACAGTCAAGGTACCCGTTTTATCCGCACAGACCACGTTGACACTACCGAGAGTTTCAACCGAAGGCAATTGTTTAACGATGGCTTTTCTGTTGGCCATACGAAGTACGCCTAAAGCCAAAGTGACTGTGACGACAATGGGGAGACCTTCAGGAATAGCAGCGACAGCCAAACTGACACCGATCGTAAACATATCTAACCAACTTCTCTTTTGGATGACACCAATCAAGACAATCACACCAATTACCGCAAAGGAGAACATACTGAGTTGTTTACCTAAATCGTTCATACTGATTTGAAGAGGGGTTTTTCGGACCTCCACCTCTTGCATCAATGCAAAGACGTGACCAAATTCTGTGCTTTTACCCGTGGCAACCACAATACCTTCACCACGTCCCTGACGTACCAAAGTACCCATAAATGCAATATTCTCTCGCTCGCTTAATTCTAATTCTCCAAACGAAGCCGTTGAAATGGCTTCACACATTTTGCGACGAGGTCGGTTTTCGCCTGTCAGGTTGGACTCGTCAATTTCTAAGCCGACACAACTTGTTAATCTACAATCCGCTGGAATACGATCACCAAATCCGAAATGAACGACATCGCCAGGTACCAAGTCATTGGCCAGAACGTCGCAAAGTTGTCCATCTCTATATAGTTTGGTGTAAATACAAACAACACACTTCTCATTCCGCTTTTTCATGTTTACCTGACTAAATGACAGTGATGGGGGACTAATTTATTCAAAGCCTCCAGGGACTTTTCCGATCGATATTCTTGTACAAATGCAACTAGAGATTCAATGGAGATTCAGTACAAAGAAAGTAAACCCCCCCCCCTCCCCCTTCTTTTCTCTCATCCCGTCTTTACCTGTTACTACAATGATGATGGCCTACAAGTAAAGCAAACAAAAAAGAAGAGGGGTCAGCATGGAGGTTTTTCTTTCTTTCTTTTTTTATATATAAGACTTACGACGGTGATACTAATGGCGTCGTCAATTTGGCCCATAATGACAGATATAACGGCTGAGCCGAGAAGTAACAAGATGAGTGGATCTTTAAATGAGCCAATGAATTTACTGAAAAGGGATTCATCGTCATCGGCTTCTAGTTCGTTAGCACCGTACAATGCACGTAAACCAAGTACATCTGAAGAAAAGATGCCTCGGTTTGGATCCGTATTAAAGTCACTGGCTACTTGCTCCACCGATTGACGAGCGGCTTTTGCTGAAGGGGTTGTCTTTCCTACCGTTAACGTCGACATAAAATCACTCTTTCTTTAGTATATCGTAATCTAAATTAGAACAATAAGAGCAAAAACAAAAACAAAAGAGGTTAAACAAGTAAAAAGGTAATAATTAAAATAATTGAATCTTGTCAATTAAAGCAGGGAGTTTTTTTTTTTCTTTTTGGTTTTTTTTCAAACGGCGGTTAAAGCCAGAAAAAGGGAGTGGGAAAAAATAGAGAGACCAGTGTCAATAACATGAAGTATCTCCTCGTTTATAAAATATCCTCACATATCATTCCAGGAAACTCTGGAGAGATCAATCGTAACTGTCCCTTGATTTTCAATACATTTAAACAAATTAAATTGTCAAATATTAAAAGCCTAGTTTTTTTTTTTTTCATTTTCCCCACCAATCAAAAAGTGAGACGCACATAGATGATATTTTTACTGCTACCTTCTAAAAAATTAGGCAACACCATCCAGGGCACGTTCTTGGTGTTTCACTGCTAGCCACATGGAAACCCGTATAGAAAGAGAGGAAATGGAGATTGAAAAAATAAAATGAATACATGCAGTGTGTGTGTGCGTGTGTAGATCTTGTTTTAATGATTTGGACTACATAAAAAGCATGATTTTGTAATCTATTTCCAGGCGTTGTTTTCACCAAAGATATTTCTACTTAGTGGTCCACCACAGTCAGAATCGCAACAGACATTTTCTTTTTTGCAGGTATCCGGAAAAGTCATGTTGGGCGGTGGTTTGTTATCCATGACTTTTTTCAGAAAAGGCAGGAAACCATCCACATCAATCCTTCGCTCCACATCTTTATGATATAATCCGATCGGTGTATAAATTTTCTCTTCGGGCAAATGATTTAATAACACCTCGCGAGGATAAGCACTAGCCACAAACTCTGTCATTTCCGTCGCGTTTAATACCACGCCATATCTATTTAGAATCTCAGCTGCACGATCCTCTTCGTATTCCTGACAGTGGCTAGAATCACACTGAAATTCAAATAAACGTCTACCGATTGCCGTCATGGGGTATTTGAACCAATCTTCAGTGTAATACCGAGACGGAATACTGATCACTGTCGCATCGTTCTTCATAAATAACCCAGATCCTAATCCATTGCCAAAAGGTGCAATCAAGATATCTAGATCTTTCACCACATTGGCTGTATGAATTAAATCACACCCCTTTTCGAAATCTATCGTCACCACCGAATAATCAATCCCATCTTTTACTTTATCCAGTGCCATCATTCTCTCGATTAATTCAGGCACGTTGGTGATCCTTCTCGATTTTTGACGGTTCAAGATCCCTACTCTATATTGTCCCGTTTCTTTGTAACTGACACGGGATGCTTCGCATGTATTATTCGGTTGCACAGGTTGTTCCAGCACATAGTCTTTAAATTCCTGGTAATGCTGAGATGGAATCTGTCCTTCACAGTAAAAGAGTGAGCATCGATTTCCTGTGCCCACCACGGCCTTTGGAAAACACATGGCCCTTCGCGAAGGAAGTATCTGTCGTTCAGTCAATGCATCATTTTCCTCTAGCACAATATCCGGTCCGCCGGGAAGAATGAAATCAATCGGTGTGTGTTCGTTCCAAAAGGTAGCAGCACGCAATGTCCAAGAACGAGGTGTTGCATCATGTTCCTTCATCAGACTAAACAGTGGCATCAGTCCATTATACAAAAAGTGCGAAAAGTGGAAAGGTGAGTAAAGTCCATACACAAATAAAGTTTCGTTAATAAACTGAATGTTGCGAGGACGACTTGTTTTATGTTTAGGTTGAAACCACATGCTTTCTTCTTGGGCACCATTGATGAGGTTGACTTGTGGAGGCTCAGAGGAACTAAGCACAAACGGCCCATTGTGTTTGTCCACGCAAAAATTCGTAAACGTGCAAATCTGGTTTCGACCGGAGCCTGTACAAGTCCAGCTTGATTCATTCATCCTGATCCCGGCTGAATCCCACCATCCATATAGAAATGCACAGGTTAAACTGGTGAGTAGGCAAGAATAGACCAAGTAGCGTTTTGTAAATGGTCTGTTAAATATCATGTAAAAGAAGAGAGAAATAAAACAGCCGTCAAGTTTTAAATTATTTTCTCTTGTGTCTCGGTCAAAATCAAGTCGGGTACACCAACTCTGCTCAATGAATAACGAAGAATTTCTGTTGATTAGTTTAAAGAAGGTGACTATAGAAAGATGTGTCACCTGATTCTACTCTGTCATGCCAATATAAAATATAAACAGGTGTAGCAATCCCATGATTTTTGAGGATATATCTCTACCACAGCACAATTAGGAAAGACACAAAATAATGCTATTTTTTCAAAGTATGGTTTTTTTTTTATTGCTTAGATCAATCAGCTTCCCTAATTTTCTGTTGACACACTGTATAAAGCAGGGATTGAACTGTAAATGGTTGGGCTCACATTATAGATAGCCGGCGGTATTATTTTAGACGTGTCGGTTGTGTAAATTAGCTGTCTGCATTACTTGAAATTGAGACCTATTGAAATCTAAATCACACGAGAGGACCACAGGGGAAATGTCTAGAACTCCGTATATTCTTCAAACGTATTTTTTTAGAATTACATGATTGTTTACATATAAGTCGGCCATAAGTCTTTGCGTCGATTGACATGTCATATCGTCTAAAGTTCATAGGATGATCGATTTCTGTTTTCCATAAAATCTGCTTCACTGTCATTACAAGCTACTACTGGAACGCAGATAGACAAATACCAAATTCTGACTTGCTTGGGAGGTTTTTTGCAAGTGTTTCTTTTTTAAGTATTATGGATGATGAAACAAGCAATTAACTCATTCTGACATAACCTCTTGTTTATCAGCTTACCAAATAATCTCGTTCACACACTTTCTTAATTAAAACATCCTGACATAAGCCAGTCCTTGTTAATCAGCCTATAAATACACACTTTTTTTTCCCTTTTGCTTTTCCTTTAACTCACTTCTCTTTTTCTTTTGAATGAAATTTCAAAGGTTCGTATATAACTTTTTTCTTCAAGAAACACTAAATTATTAGTTCTTTTTTTAAAAAGATACATTGCGATTCTTGCGATATTACGGCTACGGCTAGTCTTTGCTATAGGATGGTGGCCTCCTAGGTTGAGTTCTTGGCTTTTGGAACCCACTGGAAGGACATACTGTGAATAGCAGGGTTTACACTGTAAATGGGTGCGATCATATATGTGTTTTGGTCTTGGCTGGGTTGATTGCTGTAAGTGGTATAAAAAAATACGTGTGAAAAAAACATCTGTTCTTCTATAGATTATATAATAAGAATAAACCTATTTTTACTATAAAATAATCGTCTATCGACGATGTTACCTATATAAGGAGGTCTAAACATTTCTATATAAATCTCGTAGCTCTCGGAAGGGAATCAACCCGCCTCAAGCCCAAAATGTCTTTAACAATTACGGGACTGTAGGAGCACAAGGAATTGTATCTGGTGGTACATTACACGTATCAAGTAGAAAAAGGGCTGCAGAAGATACTGCAGAAACAGGCACTAAAAGAAAAGGGAACTCCGGTAAACCTTTTTTTATTTGCACATCAAACTATTTTAGAATCTAATTAAGGTCTTTTTATACATAGATATTTCTTTTTCTTGTTACATTTTTTCAAATGCAATCATTAAAATATAATGGTCTGTATATGGACAATTAAAGAGAGCTTCCATTTTTTTTTTTTCACTGCTAAACATTTGATCGTTTCCAAATATGGAATTAAAATCTGATACAAGACTTCAAGCACACGTTTGGACAAGCGAACTATAACAAATGCGACAGTTGAAACGGGACCTAATACTAGCAACTTTGTGCCACTGCCAGAAACAAAAATATATCTCAATACAGAACACTTAAAAATGGGAAAAATAATGCTTGAAGATGATACAATCACATGTATTGGCCAGAGTTATATATTTTTTCAACTTCGTCAGTTAAGATCGAAATTATACTGCCTATCAACTTATTCGCTATGCCGAGCCTTCAGCTCAATTATATCTGACATCTCCTATCGCCCATATACCATTGTAGGAAAATTTCAAATGTTTAGCACTGAAAAAAAAAAATGGAAGCTCTCTTTAATCGTCTGTAAATAGACCATTATATTTTAATGATTGCATTTGAAAAAATATAACACTTCAAGAAAAAGAAATATCTATGTATAAAAAGACCTTAATCGGGTTCTTTAAAAAAATAGTTCGATGTGCTTGCGAGGGAAAGATTCCAATACCGTGGATTTACTACACCAAACCATAAGCCAAGACAACTACCTTAAAATCAAGAATGCTTGTGCTATTAAAACAGTTTCACTCACTCAGGAATGCAATGATTTGCTGAAAAGAATTGATAGCTGTTCACCATCACTTTTTTCACTCAGGAAGCTGCTCATGAATTTTATTGAGTTTCCGGATGACAAGCACTTCGATCCTTACCTGCATAACGACTACGATTTTATTCACGGCATAGTTTTTCACTTGTAAGTTTTATTATAGTACCCCATCGCCTTTTATATTCAATATTAATTCATTCTGATTATCCTTTCCTTCAAGTCTTAAACTCTGTGAAAGTCCAATGAACCCCATTGGTCAAAAGTCGAGATATTTGAATGTTGAACTTTTAAGCGGGAGAAGTTCACTTTTATGCACTTATTAACAAAAGCATTTAATAGTTAAGCAATCCTATACTTTACGTCGTTCGAAAGCGCATTTAATTCTGCACCACCTGAAGCACTTTTCCGATTATTAAATGGTAATCATTAATATTAATCTCTTATAGTATTTTTGGTATTGACTCCTGTTTGTATATAGGATCGAAGTGCTTCATGGTGACATGGAAAATAGCAAGATTGATGGCATAGGTCTTAAAAGAAAAAAAATTCGTTGGTTATTTTGATTGAACTTGCCGGAGGTTGCCAAACTAGCTCGGAAAGAAAGCTCGATAGTGATTGTTACAAGACATACCAAAATGCCATCAAAACATTAGATAAAGATATAAAGCCCAAAGTATTTACTGTTCTACATACTAGACCATCAAACAAGCAAACATAGTTTACAAATAAATGAAAAAACCCCGCTTTTACCGTCAATCCGAAGCATAATTCTGTCATGGATACCACATTCAGGTCCGGGGATTATTTATGCAAATAATCCAGGGCACGTTTGTCCTTTCACAAATGCTGACACATGTTCTACTTTTCTTTTTAAAATCAGCCAGAGGCAAGCTTTTCTGTCAACAACTTGCATCAAATATAGTTGTTCATCATGCAATATACTTTGAAGTTTATGTTAATAAATAAGAAAATTCAGACAATGAAACATCTATCACTGATAAATGTGGCCATTCTTCTGCATGTAAAGATTATTCTTCTATAATCTATCATAGACAAGGATTCACAATGCCGTAATCACCATGTTTTACAAATACAAAAGTAAAGAAATAATTCACTGCTGGCTGAATTCTACCGTTGCCATTATTGTAATTGAAAGCAGGATTATAACAAGTTTTATTGAAGGTGTTCTTTTTTAGATGCGAATTTAGTTTTTTTGGTGGTACATGATCTATAAATGATATTAATTATCACACAATGATTATATTGCAACATCAATTATATTCGTAAAACAATGAAAGTGTCAAAAATAAAGTATAAGTATAACTTATTTGACGAAATAGAAGAGTAAATTTCAGACCAGGAATGGCTTGGGCATTAGAATTGTTTTTTAAAAAAAAACATATAAGCTGCGACTGCACTCAGTCTTTTTTTTTCTAGTGAAAAGGTCGCATAAAAAAAAAATACTAAACTGTAAGCAAAAAAAAAAAAAAAAAAAAAAAAAAACGGAAGCTCTTTAGTGGACTTTTAAATACAAATGGGGCAAGTTCCCTCATGGCTTTACGAACCTTGGGTGAAGAAGGTTATTGTGGGAAAGTCCGACAAGCTTTTTCTTCTGCATTTATTACATTGTTTATTTCGTTTTATTCGAAATATTCTTTTTTTACTTTAATATTTAAATACTATAATTTTTTCACTGATCAAGGAGATGAATGACCAAGTTGCAGATTACTACCGACATAAAACTATTCTCATTACAGGCGCTACAGGGTTTGTGGGAAAGGCCATCCTATGGAATCTATTAAAAGTAGCAGGAAAGGATATTGAGAAGGTGTATGTACTCATTAGACCAAAAAGAATCTCGGCCGGTACTCCATCTCAACGCATTCTTGACGAAATTATCAATACTCCAGTAAGTTGAATAAACGGGGCTCAATATTTTGAAAGAGAGAAAGAAAAAATCACTCATATGTCAAAATAAAAATAAACAGGCTTTTAACAAGTTGGTGGTAAATTATTTCGATAATGATCGAGAAGCTCTTAGAAGAAAACTAGTGCCAATTTCTTATGATTTATCTCTTTCTCACATGGGATTATCTATGGAGGATAGTGTTCAGATGAAAGACACAAACATTGTTATTCATTGTGCCTCGACTTCAGAATACGAAAATTCATTAGAGTGGAACTTGGAGGTTAGAAAGAATAACAATGAAATAGGGTTAACAAAAGAAAAAGAGAGATTAAGAACATGTCTGAATTTTAGACAAACGTATTGGGAACGATTCGATTGATGGATTATCTGGACGGTTGCTTAGATATATGTAAGATGTAGAATGGGTTCACGTGGGGAAGGTTACTCAAAACAAGGGTTATTTTAGGTTCGTTTGTTCATTTATCACCTACGCATATTTATCAAGATTTACCTGATGGATGCATAGAAGGAAAGATCATGGAACACGTCTATGACTGTGGTTTTGGAGACCCAGAGGATTTTCTCAAGGAACTTCTGGCCGCAGATGAAAAAGGTAACAGCTTTCACTTTTTTTTTTTTTTACCCATTTTAGGAAAAATTAATTTTCAAATTTAGAATCTGCAATTCTTGTAAAACGTATTTTACAGAAATATTCTACACTCCATTTATTTACAAAGGCGCTTATCGAACACTTAATCTTGAGAAGAATAGAACAAGTTAGGAGAGATGAAAGGGACGGTGGTAAAGAACCATACCCATTTGCCATATTCAGATCAAATTATATTGGTCCCAGTGCCGTAGAACCGATGCCAGGATGGGTAATGAAAAGAGAAAAAAGAGAAAAAAATACAAAGGTGTAACATATCATTAAGCTGACTTCTATCTAAAATAGACGTGCGGTATGTCCAGTGTTTCGACTTGGTTAGCGCTATACGGATATTCAGTTCCCATCATTCAACCTGATCAGGGCAAAAGGCCAGCTAATGTGATTCCTGTTGATTATGTTTCTCATAGTATTGTACAATCGATTCCTTTCATCACATATCCCGGCAACGATTTTGTTCTACCACTTGCAGACCTAGTCAATAGCATTTCGACCCCGAAAATGCCGCCCACATCCAATAGAAACTCACTCTCTTCAACTGAAGATAGTATCAACTCCAATACAAAATACTTTCCTTACATTTTTAATATATCCTCTCCCAATACTCCAATCACCTGGTATCAGGCATACACAGCTATACAAGATTACTGGACTCGACCTAACAATGCTATCCTATCAAATCAAAGATTACCCGATGCAGATAGTTATTTCTCTGCCAACAAGACTCTGTCTAAGGCAAGATTTCTGATGCGATATTACTTCAGATCCACACCAAATACCACCCCACAAAATGTACAACAAATCCCTTTTAATAAACGTGAAAGCAACAGTCATCTCAACAATGCACCTCACAACGGAAAGAACGAAATCTTACAAGATCAACAAAAATGGATGGAGCTGGCCTCCAACATCCGTAATAATCTAGCAAAACAAAATAGACATCCATGGTCCTACAGCTCTACCAAATTCAACGAACTAGGACTCACTGACAATGGATTGAAAGATTTAGACTGGTATAATTATTTTATGCAGAGTTGTTATGGAGTTCAAGTTTATATCATGCACAGTGGACCCCATATGAGAACAAGTGTATTACCAAAGAACAAAGACTGTGCTTTATATTCTGCCATCAAATCAGGTAATACATCCATCATTGATGCACCTTTCCGTAGTGTCATCTATACAGAAGAAGAAATGAAGCAGAGAATACAGCACATGATTGATATCACGGTTTCATCACTCCGAAACCCAACATTATCAATCCAGAATGAAAAAAACTGGAAGCCAGAATGGATTGAATATTTAAACGATACGCTAGAGGACTGGTGTGATGAAAGTTCTGTGGAGACCTTGGAGATTAAATCGAAAAAGAAGGAAATCGAACAAAAATGGAAACTAAGAGTGGATGAAAACAGCGAGATGACAAAATTGGCTGTATTAAACGATCCTGGTGTCGGTGATGCTATCAGTGAGGTAAACATATTTCTATATAAATATATAAAAAAGAGAGAGAGAGAGAGAAATTGAAAATTGTTTTCATTCATTGAATGAGATTAGCTTTCTAAAAGGTCCGGTATGCGTGCTGAAACAGTCATGGATGAAGCCATTAAAACATTGGCCAGAATACAAGAAAGAACACAGCTATCGTATGCTTGGTTTGCTGCTTCATTTTTACATAAACTTTTAAAAAGTATGTTTAGTGGCATTTACATTGACAAAAACGAGCTCGAAATGGTAATCACCATCCCCCTCCCCCTTCTATCACCGTTCTTGGAAAATAATCAAAGCGCTAATTTCTATTATCATACAGATTCGAAATGCGGTACAAGGAGGTAAAAGAGTTGTTTATGTGCCTGTCTCCAAGACCGCGTTAGATCCAGTCCTTGTTTGGTTCCTGACAATTCGATATGACTTGCCTATTCCGGCATTAATCTTGGATGAGGCTTTAGCCATTTTAGGCCCCTTTTCTGATCTGTTACGACTTGCTGGTGCAGTGTTTATCAAGCGCGATTCTAATTCTCGATCCAAGTTGGCTACGGCCGTCACATCCGCCTATTTACAATTTTTGATGCGCGAAAGAGGAGCTTTGACCGTCATTTTAGATCAAGTGCGTTCAAGAACTGGTATCTTTCAGGATCCATTTAATGATGGTCTAATCAGCATGATTATTAAGGATGAAGAGCAGGATATTATCTTTGTGCCCATCAATATCACTTATGAGGAAGTGCCAGATATTTCATTACTCATTGCACAAGATTTGAAATCTAGAAAGAAGCACAGTACGCCTACAAACGGCATCCAAAGATCCAAGACGACTTCGAATCGAATGTCCACACCTACAAAAGTATCGAGACCAAGCGATAGTAGATCTCAAAGGGTACGTAGCCGTAGCTTAGGAAACGGTCTGCAAGAAGAAAAAGGAAATGGCGGGCCGATAAAAGTCACTCATTGTGGCAGGTTACTTGTCGGTGTTGGGAACCCTATCTCTCTAAAACACGACATCAAGAAAGTAGATGACACGCCCTTGTTTCAAACAGTAACGAATATGATTCAGAAAGAGCAAAAGCGATCTATCTCTGTTAGTCCAATTTCATTAATTGCGGCTATATTACTTTACAGTAGAGTTAAAGGCAACTGCATTGACATGGGTAAATAATAGAAGGGGGAATGATGTTGTATGAAACTTTATTTTTTTTAAAAAAAGACAAACATAGATACTTTGAAGGAGCATCTGGGGTATTTATCATCAATGACCAAAGAACAAGGCATGTCCATGGATTGGCAAGGTAACACAGATTGCCATGACACAAAATATACCAGTAATATTCACCGCGGTTTATCTAGATTTCGAAGACAGCGAGACGATCATTTTTTATAATATCCGACTATTAGAAAAGAACTCGAATATTGTTACGATCGACGAACGATATCACAATGGGACATTATTTCGTATTTGCACTCGCTCTGAAAGCATACTTCAGCTAGCCTATTATGCAAATCAGGTAAAATTATCCATTTATAATATATATATATATATAAAAAAAAAACTTTAAAATTAATTAGGTTTATTTTTAGCTTCGTGAGATCTTTGTACTGGATTCCATTTTCGCCGCCACTTACCTTTCATTTGGCACAAGAGTTAAGGTTATTGAGAGCGTATTTATTGAACGATTTCATTTCTTGGCGACCTTATTTCAGCACCACTTTAATACATTGTGGAACATTGAACAGGTAATGTTTTTTTGTTTTTTTTTTAGTTAAATTAGCCACTGATGACCCCATGTCCTTCTAAAGGAGTATGCCAAGCTAAAAGAAAAGTATCGGGCATTCTTATGTCCTACTACAGACAATAATCCAGGCATGATGCAACGTCTGGTTCTAGATGGCGAACAAAAGACTCTTTTTGCCCAATTGAATTTATTGGCCTCATTTGTTTATCCGATTATAGACTCGTTTTGGGTTACACTGTGCGCCCTGTCCGCCCTAAATGATGTCAAGGCATTACCGCTTTCGCTCGTACCGACTTTGTCCCAATGGATCGGCATGCATTTGATAAGCGGAAGAAGAACCATCTACAGTGAGGTGCTATCCACAGAGTATAGTCAGTGTACATTACAGTCTCTGGTGCAATTAGGTTTACTCGACAGAAAATCAGCGAAACTGGTTTTATCACCTGACGCACAAATGCTAATGCAAGCGTTAGGATTATCTACAAATGACGATTTAATCTTGCAGGTTCAAGAAAAGGTAAAAAAAAAAAAAAAAAAAAAATCCTACAAGGCAAGACATTGCTTTATTTATTTATATGTATTTGTCTAGTCCGAGAATGAAGAATCATTGGATTCAATAGCACAGTTATGTCAAAAGATTGAGCAAGTTCGAATTAAACAAGAAGATACTGCAATTTCTGTGCACATTTACGAGAAATGTCAAAACCAAATTCGTAGCTTAGCAAAGACAACGGACGGGAATAATTCCTTCTCGAAAAGACAAGGAGCCATTGTAGCTGAAAAGAAGGAGGAAGCCATGATTCAACTTGGCTATGCCTTAATACAAAGTATGGATACCATTTTTTAAAAAGAGGGGAAAGTGTCATATTTATCTCACTTTTAGATTAGCGCCAAGACACGAGACACTTTTGGGCAATCGCTGAAATATTTTGAAACTCCCAGTGATTTTTTATTAATTCAATAAAAATCGATTCTTTTTTTTTTCACGTCTTCTTTTTTTCTTTTACACACACAAAAAAAAAGCCTTTTCCCCCTCTTATGCCATCTTTACATGCAAGCCCTTCTATGAGAAATAAAAGAGCTCCTGTGCTATTGATAACTTTTATTGCATTCACAGTCTACTTTATATACATGATCACAAACACTCCCACAGTGAATAAATTAAATCATGACATAATCCCAGCGCAAAACAGGAGACCCGAGCATGAGATTTGTAAAACAGAACAGGTCAAAAGAAACATCGATCCAAATCATACCAATGCACATCTAAGCTTTTGGAATCATTTATCAGAAGTCACAGTAGAGGTTTACAAAAAGAAGTGGCAAGATTTCATGAATAAAATCAAGAATGCCCAACCACCGAGTTGGAACAAAAGAGGGATCGTGTTGGTTGCTGGTAATAAAGACACCTTTCAACGTACCCTGACAGCTATCCAAATCTTGAGAAAAATGCACGCTTGTCAATTGGATATCGAGGTATGGCACTTATCCGATGAGCAACCTTCAGAGGAAATGAAGATGGAATTGGAAAGCTTGGGTGCCAAACCAAAGGATTTATCGGACCCTAAATTGGTCAGGCCCATTACCCTAAGAAGGAATGCTGAAAAACAGTAAGTTACAGGTGACAATAGTAACAACAACAAAAGGTGACTAACTGTTGTTTTTAGGTTTCAAATAAAGGCGGCAGCGATACTGAATTCCTCCTTTAAAGAGGTCTTGTATCTTGATTCGGATAATCTACCTGCAAAAGACCCAACCTTTTTGTTTGATACACCAGAATACAAGAGCACGGGTGCATTGTTTTGGCCCGATTTCTGGTAAACAAAAAAAAACCATTTGTTTATATTAAAAGATAAAATTAACTTTTGCTTTCTTCTTTGCAGGAAAACGCACGGAGAAAATAAAGTATTTGATGTATTAGGCATACATTGTGAAGACGAATGGGAACAAGAAGTAAGACTTTATATTTAGAAGGAAAATATGTATCTAAATTTTATAAACAGTCAGGTCAAATGGTGATTGATAAGGAGAAGTCTTGGCTTCCGTTACAACTCGCGTGGTACATGCAAAAACATTATGATGTCTACTTTCAGTTTTTGAATGGTGATAAAGATACGTTCAAATATGCCTGGAAAGCCTTAAACAAGCCTTACCATATGAGCGAGGTCTTCGTAGGTATGGCCGGCGATATGTTGGGAGAGCGTTTCTGTGGACATACGATGCTTCAATATTTCCCTACTCCCGGTGAAGAGGAAGACGACGAGTTATTATTTGTTCATGCCAATCTTTTGAAAATCACTGATAAAATACACTTTATACGTGACGATGGTCAGGAACACCCTTGGGACTTGGCAAAACACTCTTCCATGAGCCACTCAAATACATGGATCAAGCCTGAATTTTATATCGGTCCTGGTGGCCGCGCGTGTATGGATTTCACACATCGTGAAGGTGAACCAGAAGCCGTAACAGAGAATTTCGATGATGTGGTACCAAACCTCCAATCGAATTATTTTAAATATGGTGGTATCGGTGGTGAGACAAGAGTATAATTCTTTATATTGTGGTCGGGTTTCACATTTACTCTTTTCTGATCAAAGGAGCGGAGCAATCCGAGTCATGTCAAAAGAATTCAAATTCATATAACCGCACCATTAATAATGTAAATAAATCAACTTCAAGATATTTTTAAATACTTCAACAATGCAGAAAAGTGGATTGAATGCATGCAGACTTTTATGTCTAAAATCACAGTAATACTGAGTATGCGGCACATTATTTATGTAATGATAAGGCCAATGTTGGAACTTTTTTTTTACTAGCAATAGAACTGCTCCCTTTGGCCATAATAGGATGTACGGTATAAAACAACCCAATGCATAGTATCGATTCAGGACATGTACAAAAAAATCTTACATATTGAATTTTAAATCTCGTTTTAACACTGAATTGTACGTTTATGATACCCAGCCTGTCTCCAAGTTTTCAAAATTTAGTGAGCTTTAGTAAATTACGACCTATTTCTGTTTAATCAATTTTATAAGGCGGATAATTTTGCGAGACAATGGGGAAACAAAATGTAGACTAGTTCGAATTAAAACAATTAGGATGTACGGCTACCAGAAAAGAGTGGGTATATATTATGTAAAGTCAACGTAACTGAGGGTCTGTTACCAATGAAGAGCTTTCTTGCAATACTATTTGAATGCATATATGAAGGTCTATTAATAGTATTAGATTCGACAGGGCTTGGCAGTAGGATGTATCTTTTTTAGAACAGCAGAATTAGGTGTTAAGATTAAATTTATAGAAGAAAAATGTTTTTGGATCATCTCAAAGCAGCATTACATCTGTGTTTATTTCCAAAATAAACAAAATGGACCAAAATTATTTCTTCCCACAGTTAATTTATCCGCTGCAAAAATCCGACAGGGCAAACGAAAGACGGGTAATTCAGAATCACAGAGAAGGCGACAAAAGCTCTAGAATACGTCTGAACATCTTGGAAGTCTGCAGACAAAAGACTTTTAATACCATATATAGAAGGTTGACGATCAAACTACTACAAACAAAGGGTTCACTCCTACAAGCAGCAGATGCATACATGAAAAGCAAAACCAGAAAAGCTAGGTTCGTCCTTTGACCAAATATATGGTAATATAGGATAGTTTTTTTTTTTATTTTTATCAGAGAAAGGGGTACGAATGCATCTCTTTACCTATCACCTTTGTGTTTTAACCAAAGGATATTTGAACTGAAAAGCTATATGACGATTTATCGTAGACTATTTGAAATTAGGGAGAAAAATGCTAGTTTTTTTTTTCACAACACCCTCGTGCCACAAATCTCAACTCCCCACCTCCACACTTCCCCTTATACCTTATTTCAATATGGCAATGTTATGGGGAATTGCACCGGTTTTAATTTAACATCTTTGACAGTCCAGGGTAAAAACACATAACAAACCACGAGTGTTCATCATGAAATGAACTTGGGTACAGGTTATGACTTAATTATGACTTAATTTAATATCTCTGTTGCCATTCTGAAAGAAGGAAACCATTATTTTTTTACTAGAAAAAAGAACCCCCATATATGGCAATAATGTCCGTAAAGGTTAGATCAAATAGTTAGCCCTCGGCAAGAGAGAGGGGATGGGGGACTATTTCACTTTCATACAATACAAGCACATCTTCTCAGATCTTGCATGATGTTCACTTCACTCTGGAGTTAATAGTTTTGCTGCTGCTTTCTCAAAATAAGTCAGGTTGTATTCTTAGTATGTATTTCAAGATCGTAATTGCTACCTTAAAAATACGATTCTATAAGCTGTTTAATTACTAATAAAAAGTCCTTTGACTGTCTACAGAGGCAGGGAACTTTGTATTCTGACTGAAATGAGTCATATATTAAAAATATTTTAACAAAAATACTCAAGAGTCTAAATTATGTGCTTGGAATTTTAAAAAAGAAAAGTCATTAACGCGTTTATAGTTTGAAGATACATGCGTAAAGTTGTCAATAACCTCTGTTACTACCAAGCTGACAATCGGCATAGAAGCGTATTTGAGTTGCATACAGAAGCAGGAGTAAATTTTATTCCAGTAAAAGTAAACGTCCTGGCTTTTTCCTTTCTTTGACGATGAAACCATGGTAGCGGTAGACGTTAGAGTTTTTTTTTTTTTTTTTTTTTTTTTTTTTTCTTTTAGTTTTCTAAAGTAGTCCCAATGGTAAATGGGAGCCAGCTGTGTGAGTGTATTTCATTCAACACCAAAACATTATGCATCACTCCTGTCTTTTTTTCATGCAAAAACAGAACAGGTCTAAATATAGACATGTAAAATGCACTTGTACGATTCATGCATAAATCCGCAAGGAAAAAAAAACAATGGGCTGAAAAAAAGCCAAAGTTTAAATCATATTAGAACATAAGATACAGTAATTGAATAATAAAACGCCTTCCCCCAACATCTCGGTTAACATTATGTTTGTTTGTGATTCAAAAAGAAGAAAAATAAAGAAGGGGGCAGTATAATATCGCCACTTGGGAGTTTAAAGATGATTGTGGAAAAAAAAATAGTTGTATGAAATTTATTTATATATCGCTTTTACATTTTGACTCAACCAATTTAACCCTTCAAATAAGCCATCCCCGGTAGTTGCACAAGAAGGATGAACGTACCAGATTCGTTCTCGCAGCTTTGCCAAACCTAATATATCTGTGACTTCAGCCGGTGTAAAAGAGCCTGGTAAATCTTGCTTATTTGCGAATATTAATAGTAAACAGTCCTTCATTTCACGATCAGAAATGATGCGATATAACTCTTGTCTTGCTTCCTCAATTCGATTACGGTCCTGACAATCAATCACAAAAATCAAGCCTTGGGTTCCTGTGTAATAATGCCTCCAAAGGTTTCTGATTTTATCCTGTCCTCCCACATCCCATACGTTGAATTTGACGTTTTTGTATGTAACGGATTCTACGTTGAATCCAACAGTGGGTATGGTAGTAACGGATTGATTCAACTTTAGTTTATACAGAATGGCTGTTTAAAATATTTAGTATTTATTATTCTGAGAAGAATCGAGTCAATAAGAAAAAAAAAAAAACTCCTTACTAGTTTTGCCTGCGGCGTCTAATCCCAACATTAGGATTCTCATTTCTTTGGTACCGAATATCTTGGCCAACGCCTTTGACATGTTTGCACCCATTATTAATTTTATTATTATTATTTATACAAAAAAGATAGAGAAAGGAAAAAGAGAGAGAAGGAGAGATTAAGCAATATATTTTATAGAAAAAATACTGATGTACTCCTAAAAAATACAAGTATACGACAATAACACAACTCAAAATAGGAGTGTGTGCGACACAAGACTGTGAGAGAAAACGATAACTGTCAATTTTTTAATTTTACCTTTTTATCTCTTGTTTTTATCTATTTATCTGCGATATTAAACTTTTTTTTTTTTTTATAATCTCGAATAAAACAAGTCAAGATGGAGGATGCACTTTGGGCTCAGTTACAAAATACAGGATTAGAGGAGCATGACGACAAGGACAGAATCGAGGCAGAAAGTGATGACGAAGAGGTTGATGTGCAAGAGGTTAGTTATTCTCTCCCCAACCAACTTTTTTTTTTTCCCTCCTTTTATTTCCTTCTGTTTTGACGCCTAATATAGGAATTATCTGTTCCGCACGAAGAGAGGTTACAGGGACCACAAACAGGGCCTAAAGGAGTCAAAGCCGATCATGAATATCATCAACAGAAAAAATTGGTCACAGAAAGCAAGGCGCGTGCAGAATATAATGCGCGTCTGTTAGCGAAAGCACCCATGACAACCACCTATTTACAGGACGAAGCCAATAAAGACCGTGAAGAATTGCTCATATTACAAGCAGAGGAAGAAGAGGAAGACGATCTGAAATATTATCGAGAGAAAAGATTACGAGAGTTGAAGAACATGTCGAGACAACAACGAGTGTTTGGTACGTTGACAACGATTACAGCTGATGAGTATGCCGATGAGATTGATGAGGAGATGGGCGATATTCCAGTGCTTGTGCATTTATTTGACGAGAGTATCCCAACGTGTAAATTATTAGATGAACATTTGAGAGGCTTATCCAATAAATATTCACTTGCCAAGTTTATTAGAGTATCTGCTCTCCAACTAGAATTCGATCTAGTGGAATCCCCTGCAATTTTAGTTTATAAAAATGGTATTTTAATTGCCAATTTGGTAAGAATCATTGATGAAGTAAGCACAAGATTTGATATAGATGAGATAGAGGATGTATTAACAAGGTAAGTACGTCATATGCTGTTCACGTGATTATGTCATTAATTCCTCAAATGGGACACAGACATGGCGCGTTATCTGAAAATGATCTTTATGATTTACCCACAAATTATGCTTGAACAGAAGGAAAAGAGTGAAGGTACCTTCATCGTCATTTTAAATTACCGGGGTTACAATTGTAGTCACACTGCCAATTTAAGGGGATTAATTCTTTCTTTTTTTTTATGCGATCACTAGTATAAATAAAATGCCTCTTTCTTTACAAAGACTACAATTATTAACATCTCATATGGTCTCTTCTACTACTAAAAAATTAAACCAAACCAAACCTACCATCTCCTTCATTGGTGGTGGAAATATGGCTGAAGCTATTTTGGCTGGCCTCCAATCAAGTGGTCATCCTAGCTCTCTTTTACGTTATTCTGAGCCATTTCAAGAACGTTTGGAGTATATGCAAAACAAATATCCATATCTCGTTAGCTCCAAGGACAATTGTGAGATTGTAGAAGGCTCAGATGTTGTCATCTTGGCCGTAAAGCCTCAAGTATTGCGCTCTGTCGTTTCTAATGATCTATCAAAACTTGTCAAGAAAAACCCAAGTCTACTTATTGTATCTATTGCTGCCGGCATTACTACCCAGGACATTCACAAATGGTTAAGTATCGGTGATAGTCCTGCATCCATTGTGCGTTGTATGCCAAATACACCTGCCCTTGTAGGCGAAGGCGCGGTTGGTTTATATGCTACTCAGTCTGTAAACACTGAACAAAGAGAGACTACAGAAGGCATTATGAAGTCTATTGCAAAACAGGTTTCTTGGGTCCCAAAAGAATCACTGATAGATACAGTGACAGGTATTAGTGGTAGTGGTCCCGCTTATTTCTTTTTAATTATGGAAGCTATGCAAAATGCCGGTGTTGAGGCTGGTCTATCACTTGAGGACTCGAAAGCACTTACCATCCAAACATGTATTGGTGCCGCTCGTATGGCACAGACATCCGAAGATGATTTGGCTACCCTTCGTCGTAAAGTGACTTCGCCTAAAGGTACAACAGAAGCGGCTGTTAAATCAATGGAAGCTAGTAACATTCGTGGTATCATGGCGAATGCGGTGTTTGCTGCTCAGGATCGTGGAAAAGAATTAGCAGAACAATTAGGCAAAGAACTTTAAATATGTACATAATAAAGACCCTGCTTTTTTTTTCATTTCTGTTAAACAAGATCTAATCTTTTCGGTTTAGTCCAAATCAGAAATTGTGTACAATGATACAATATAATGTATCACACTTTTACTAAAAAAAGTTACCCACACTAAAAATGTGATAAAATAATTTGTGTTGGTAAAGTCAAGAACGCAATTTCACTTTAAACGAGACGGCATTAGTTTTTTTTTTCGACAAGTATATGCTGATATGCGTAATCAAGGAGCCGAAGAAGCGGGAAAAAAGTCGCAAGCCATTACCGTGAACGGCAATGACTTGAATTCATAACGTAAAAAAGACAGGATCAAAGAAAAACAGAAAAAGATGAAGGATATTAGAGTAAAACTGCTATGAATGGTTGAAATTATTTTTATTATGTGCTTAATGATATAATATACAAGCTGTGCCGTAAAACTTCTTTCAAAATTTATCTTCAAACAGTTTTTTTTTTTAAAAAAACCAAAAGCTTTTCTATCACCACCAATATCTCGGTTGCATAAACGATTAAACAGCATATGCCTACTATGAATAGTATATGGAGCTCGTTCTATGGCAACACATATACGTGTCAAATTTGACTTTAGAATAGCGATTGGTTCCACACTGGGAGTTGAACATAACCATATTCATTAATAAGAACATACACTTGAAACATTATAACTATGTAAACGAGCTCTATAATACACTATAAAATTAATCCATGACAACACATGCTTTTCTTTCCAATGATCACGTCTGCATCCCCGATCCGAAATTCCCAAAATAGTTGCACAAATATGCGAGCACAGTGCGTAGTTTTTTTAGTACACCAGCAATAACAGTTCCTTTTGCAAAACAGCTTCCTCTATACCCAGACATCTAAATAAAAAAGCCGGTCATCTGTCTCACTGTATCCCATTTTTATTAAAAGTTGCTAACGCTGCATGTGCTTTTGTATATACATTCTTTATTCAAAGATTTCAGGAAGCTTTTGACCGAGTTCAACAACCTTATTTGCTAACTCAAGATCTAGAAATCAAAAATGATAATTAATATCGTCGTGCACAAAGGTTTGATATGTGTACTAACTAAAGTTGTTGCCGAGATTTGTGGTTTTGAATTCTCTCAAAGTAAAATCTTGTTCAACTTGACCAATAACTTCAACGAAATCTGTACCCCATTGACTTTCCTACAATAAATGCATGCAGTTGTCAATGTCACGCTTCTTTTCTTTTTCTTTAAAAGCTTACTCCGTTTAAATGAACCAAGACTTGTCCCTTATCGGTAGATTCTATGACTGCGGTATTTCCAGAAAGCTAAGCGAAATGATTAAGCTTTTATTGTTGCTGTCAAAACATTAACTCTTTATTAACTTACAGAAACAAGCTTTCCGGTGATGCGAACAGTTCTTCCGACATACTTATCTCTCAATGACGAGTTAATACGGGGTGTAGGTTTGTCCATGTTTATAACTGATAAAATATGAAAAAGGCACACGTCTTTTACACGCGCGCACTACTTTTTAACTTCAAAAAAAAAAAAACAAAAAAAATCTCGCGCTACCATTTTTCCCTGTCCGGTCAAAATATACGATTCCGAGCCGGCATCCTACCTGTTATCATGAAAAAAAAAGCGTTTTTCCTCATAAACAGAAACTGAAATGCAATAACTCTGCTAAAAACCGTGTTAACCAATAATCGACTGTTTTCCGTATAGTATTATGTAATAATTTACCCACCTAATTTGCACGTACTAATCTTTGAATATGATGAAAGGTTGTTTTGTACGGCTATTTTGATTTTTTTTTTGGTTGTTTGGTGGGACGCTTTGCGAAAGGTTGTTTTTTTTGGCTGTTTGGTGGGACGCTTTGCGGCTTCATACTAGTATTCAAGCATAGCTCAACTCAGTTTTGTGATCTAGGCAGTATTCGTGCCACTTATCGAATATTGATGGCAGGTAAATATATCTGGGTCAAAATTCATACTTGCCTACTTTTAGATTTATGAAGAGATCGCTAAATATAGAACGACAACTTCTATTGACTAATAAAGCAGAAAAGTAAAGAAATTAGCCCTAATAATATTTGGTTTTTGAATAGCAATACCGCATCAGAACAGTTTTTGGGACGAAGAAAGGAAAAACTACAAATCCATTCAAATCTTAAGAATGTAATTAGAAAAAAATTGAAAGCTTTAAAATTGATGCTTATTTAAAGGGGTTATCAAAGAAATAGTAAAGCCTTTCCACGTTTCTTGATATATATATATGTATGTATACTAGCAATAGTATCACGTCAATAAGACCCACTCATTCATTGACAGCAAAACAATGAGTCTGAGGTTGGAGTGTATGACGAGGTGTCAAGAGTATATGCCCCTCCCCCATTAAATAATGGTGATGTGTCAAGGTCATTAACTTTGAGATGAACTTGGTAAAACTTTTGAATGATAAACCCCCTTCAAAACAAAGCTCTATCCGGACTGTTCCCAGGTGTAACAGGCTATTTATAAAGACCCAGTTTATGCATGATTATCTAAATGATTGATGAGAATTAGACCTAAAGGCACGAGCCCCAGATCATGTCCGTAAACGAAGTCACTTTTTTTTTCTTTTTTTTTTTATTAAGCAGAAAAAGTGACAGGAAAAGATATTTTTCTCTTCTTACTTTAATAAATGGCTGATCATCCTAATAAACTTGCATTTGAAGAAGGTGTTTCACTTATCTTACACAACTGGACCGCTTTAAAGCTTGCCGTCGAACAGGATTGGGGAGGAGTTGAGTCTGTTGAGAAGAGAGAATGGTTCATTGACATTCTTGTTGATCATTTCGGAAAGAGTAAGTCTCTCTTTTTTTCTTCTTTTGGTTTATTGTAAGTTAACCTGTCACTAGATGGTAAAAAGTTGGATATCGATGAAATTGAGGACGTTTTGTCTCAAGTGATGACCGATGAATTTAACGCCACTCTGGAGGATGATTCGCCTTATTTGGTCGCCAAACATTTATTTTTGTTATATAACCAGTGTATTCTTGGCAATTTTACCGAGCTTGAACGTCTTAGAGAAAAGGCAAAGGCTCAAAACAAGTTCACTGCTTCAAGCTGTATCAAACAAGGTGATGATAGTGATGATGATGAAGAGGAGGATGAGGATGATAATGTAAGATGAAATATTTGCAATTTTATGCAAATTCCAATATTGAAGCTTCATTTCATAGGATCACCAGGGTAGCAACGATAAGGATGAGGATATGGAAGAAGTGCCCGAAGAGCCTACTGTGGATGCCGATGGTTGGGAAACTGTTCGTCGCAAATAGATTGTAGATTGTATTCCCTCCCTTTAAAACTATTACTTATTCATTTATTTATACAAGTTTATTTGAAAGCACTGAATTCCTTTGCAAAGTTCTCTAATTCTAATAAATCAGCCTTGGGAAGCTTAATTTCCTTTGTCTTTGTAGCAACCACTTCCTTGATAGCCTTCTTTGTGACCTTATTACTCTTATCTGTCTTGGGCTTTAATGCAGCCTTTTCTTCCTTTTTAGCAGGTTTCTCCTCTGACTTCTTTTCTTTCTTGCTACTCTTCTTGGCGGGCTTTTGTTGAGTACCTGTCAAGACTTCGGTCATATCCATATTCATGCTCTCATCATCCTCCTTCTTCTTTTTATCCTTCTTTGCTTGTTCCTCCTTATCAGCCTCTAACTCTTCCTCGGTCTTTACTGGTTTAGCTTTCTCGAGTAATTGTGCGTAAGATGATCCAACACCGCTCTTGATGACTTTTTGTACACGAGCTTTATCTTTTTCGTTCAAGGCCTTGAATCCTCTGAATTGTTCAATAGGCACACGAGTTAAATACTCAGGAACTACACACCAAAAAAAAAAAAAAAAAAAATGTATGTTAGCTGTCAAATTCCACAAACCCCTCGAGAACTCTTGTTCCTTACCCTTCCAACATTTGAAATGGAACCAAGTGTGTCTGGCTTTATCCTTCTTGATTTTTTTGGAGCTTCTGTAAATTTCAGCGACACGAAGTGACTTGTGAGGAATCACCTTTTCACAGGCGGCACATTTGGACTTTTGTGTTTCTGCAGGTTCGATACAATAACTGGTGATGGAGCCATCTCCCTTTGCAAGTTGATCAGCCATTTTCAAAATAAAAAGAGATCTTGTTAAAGCAAGAGCAAAAAAAAAAAAAAAAAAAAGATATTTTTCTTTGAAAAGTTTGGCATATGTGACTTGCATATCGTGACCGGATTTGGCATTCTGACTTTTTATCGTCCATGCCACAGTGAGCAGGTTGTTGGAACAAGTCGTTATTTAACAGCTACCGTAAGCGTCTCTCACATCCCAATGTAATTATCAGAATGTCTGATGAAAATTGGAATATCAAAGAAATAGTAACAGTGCGAGAAAAAAATTATCAATCACTGGTAAGGCAACCGCTGTAGCAAATTCACGAATAAAAGGGCATCGGTACTTTAACGGCGCAAGAAGAACTTTGAGATGCATTGTCAAAAATCCTGAAAGTCCAAGTAGATTAGAGCCGATAAATTACAATTTCTCTTGACAGGTGTATGGAGCTGCTAGTTGTAGTCTCTCAAAATATCTTTTTATGGATGGGCTAGCCGTTATTTAGAGTCAGCGACCTGTAGGTAGGGCACAGGGAGGGAAGTGATGCTTTTGGTTTTTCTTTTTCTTTTTCTTGCGCTTGTTGTACATGAGTTGCTTATTTCAATAACGAGAATCAAGCTTACTCTAGTAGCATAATTCGAACTTTTAGCAACTTAGAACAAGTGTCATCACGATTGTGCAAAAGTTGCTATTATCTTTAATGGGTTCTAATATACTCTTTATTAAAAAAATAATAATAATCTAAAGACGACTGGCTGATTCACCATGAACAGGATAATCAGTATATCCAACCGCACCATGGGTATAAAATGTCTTTCTGTTGTAAGGGTTCAACTTGTAACCGTTTCTGATGCGCTCAGGAAGATCAGGGTTTGCAATGAATGCACGACCGAATGCAATCAAGTTTCCGGTATCTTCTGCAAGCTTCACAGCATGTTCAACAGCGGTACTGAAACCACCAGCGGTAATAAATGGGCCCTTCCAGATTTGACGGTAAGGGGAAAGGGTATCGACGGTATTGACTCTCTTGTCAGACTGGAAATCAGAACGTGCCTCAATGAAATGAAGATAGGCCATGTCGGGGAATCTTTTTTGGATTTCAGAGGTAATGTATCCCCATGTTTGAAGAGGGGTATCATCCAACATGCCTTGGACACCACCAGAGGGAGAGAATCGTGCTGCAGTACGATCAGCACCAATTGCACCTGTGATAGCCTCCAACACTTCTAAAGATAATCTACAACGGTTCTCGATGGATCCACCATATGCATCTGTTCTCTTGTTGGTAGAGGAGTTTAAGAATTGATCCAATAAGTAACCATTGGCATTGTGAATCTCGATACCATCAAATCCAGCAGCCATGGCATTGATAGCAGCTTGACGATAGGTGTTTACTAATTCCTTGACTTCTTCTGTCTCGAGAGCACGGGGTGTTTCATAATCCTTTCCACTGAGTTTCTTACCGGGAATGGGGATTGCGGAGGGTGCAACAATAGGCTCATTATTAGGGTTTAAGTTGGAAGAACCTGCACGACCCAAATGCCACAATTGGACGAAAATGATGCCACCCTTTTCATGAACAGCAGAAGTAACCTTCTTCCACTCTTCAATTTGATCATTTGTATAAAGACCGGGAGCTTGACGGTAACCACCTGCCATTCTGCTGATGAAAGTGGCTTCAGTTACTAATAAACCACCGGGGGTGGCTCTTTGAGAATAATAATCCACTAAAAGTTGGGTAGGAACAGCCTCCAAAGTAGCTCTGAATCTTGTCAAAGGTGCAAGCACAATACGATGTTGGAGTTCATGACGACCCACTTTGATAGGCGAAAAAGCTTTAGTCATCTTTTATTTGTGTGTGTGTGTGCTGATTGAAAGAGAGAAGGGAATTATTAATCAAAAAAATAAAAAATAAATGTAATTTATACTCGACTAAATATGCTTACTAACCCTAAGAACTTTTTTGCATCGGAATACGAAAAGTTCATGCATACTCATCATGGTGCGCTATCATGGCAAAAGTCATGCGTCGATGACAACATGTCTATTAACGAGGAACGCTTATTACGGCTTTCAATTCGAAAACGGATGTAATAAATTTAAATTGGCGGATGTAACACATGTTTGTGTCAATTCTGATTTGATGATGGAGTTTATTTTCTTCAATCTAAACAACTATCGTTCAGTGCCACTTTTTGTATTTATGGCCTAATTAACGTCTGCTTCATTCTTTCAAGTGAAAATTTAAAACAGAAAAAAGCTAGCATCACAGTTGCAAAGAAATAAGCAAACAACAGTTAAATTGGTTTGGGTGATCTCCACCCCCTTTTTTTTTCTCAGACATGTAAGCGGCAAGCTTAAATGGTTTAGGCATAAAAAAATGATGCTTTGCTATTGGTCTGTTTATTAACCCCCCTTTTTTTTTCAATGTTGACAAATGTTTGTAGCTTGCTCCAATGCTATGCAACCCACCTATCATCGACCAAGTGGTCTAAAGGTTTGGTAGTTAAAAATCGCACTTTTTTATGCTTTCTGATCAGGATAAATGCGTTGATTTACTTGATCTTCCTTTTCGAAATAAAAGATCTCATTGTTGTTCTTTCAGGCACAAAGTTTATTTTTTTGAGAACAATGATACACCATTATTTTTTATATGTGACGCTGCTAGGGAAAATAATAAAATTGTGAAAGTAATTTACCCCTTTAGAACAAGCAATAAATATGCTTCTTATTGATGAATCCACAAATGATAACAATAGAATATTAAGAAGGTGTGATTGATCTTCATAAGAAGGTTTGCTCCGATAAATTTTGTTTGCAAACATGTATCCCGTGTTTGTAGTTGATAATAAACCATTAGAGCCAACGAGTATTAATGCTTACAGACGTTCAAGAGATCGGAAGAATAGAAAAACTTGTTTAAATTAATTGTTCTATATTGAGTTTTAACAAGACATCCGTATAGACAATAAGAAATAAGTCACAAGTTTCACATATAGATAGATGAGAAAAAAGCTCTATCGCGGATATGTACTCCAAGACCTTAGTCAGTATTCTTTACAATTGCACACTTTTTGCGAGGAACCTTAAAAAGAAAGGTAACCATTTCACTTCATAATTAAAAAGAAGACTATTCAGCAATAAAAATTACTATGGAAGACGACTCTGCATGTGCCCGTAAAGAAACCCCAGTAGTGTATCACAAGACTGACTTGCCATAGTAACAACTGCTCTAATGTAAATACGGAACAAATAAAAATCGCCGACTTAACAAACATGAACATATAATATATATATAAGAGCAAATTAAGCATCTAATAAAGCATCATCTTAAATTTGATTAAAATTATTGTCTTTTAGACATCGGATATTATAGACGACGCTTTTCACTTCATGGACATGCTACCATTGTCGCAAAAACATGGTATGTATAGATTTCTATCAGCACTTCGGAGATGCTTTGTTTGTATACGATCTAGTAGATAAAAAGAATGTCGAAGATTATTTGAAGACTATCAACACGGATTTCAATACTTGCATGAGAAGTCACTCAGATTTTATTCTTAAGCGGGTCAAAAGAAAAATACCCCCTCCAAACCAATTGCTGCCCGCCGCTAAACTTTTATTTGATCACTATGGGCCTTTACCATGCGTTAAAACAGGATCTCTGCTCTTTGACCCAGAATGTAAAAGGATTGCTAAAAACATCCTTAAATTAATTGAGTTAGGTCATGTTTTTGACATAGAAAATGGCACACCATTATATAGAGTGTTAGGAAAAGACAAGAATGGCCTTATGAAATATGGTTGTTCTAGAGGTACTAGTTCGGTCGAAGGATACCACCAAGCTATTATAAGAAAATTTTCTTCGATTAATGCTGATCCTCGTCTTACTGATTCAGTTCTAGCTAATTATAGATTATACCATAATATTGAGGTACTTTAATTTGTGCTTGACAAAAAATTATCTTCGATATTAACATAGTATAACTCGTAGGTTGGTGCTAGAAATAGGAAATTTGTATAACATAGTAGTCATTTTAGTCCTTGGGTCATTCAATGTATAAACATGATGAGACTCTATTTAGGCCATAATACTGTGAAGAATTATATTATTCATCGCATTGAAAAACTTCCTGTCGATTTTACGGGTCAATCAGTAGAAATATTCGGTGTAACAGCTTTAAGTCTGCCTTTTTTAACAACATTTGATATGAAACCAAGATAAGAAAGCGAGGCTACTAACACCTTTCCAACGAAATGGTTAAGAAGAGATTGCTTCAATTAAGCTTTTACCCATTATTAATTTTCAAAAACAATGCTACTCATCTCAAAACTTCATATACAGACACTCAGCAAACAAGCAAAATACTCTTTTTGCAGTAGTACCGGTTCATACCAAAGAAGAAATACTGTTGTATGACAAGCTTGTTTCAAATCACAAAGAAGATTTGTATCCATGTCAATATAAACAGCAGCATCCCTGATTTTAAGTCTTTCGCTAAGATATGGTCCTCGTTTGCTGATGGTGTCAAAATATTTTACAAAACACCGAAGCATCTAAAACTTTACTTTAACAAACGAGTAGAAGCTAGTGTGTTCCATAAGACAACCTTACTGAACGAGAATATTTGTAACAATGTAAAAGATGCGTTAATTCAGCTCAACAGAAAAACAAACCCTATTGCATCCATAAAAGCTCCTACACCTATCGATCATTATTCTGGTCATCAAAGAAGACTACTTCCAAACGATCACTCTTCTTTGACAACTCAACGTCATGAGCGGCAACTAATACCCTCACCCTCACCTATTGCAATCTCACCACCAATGATATCAGCTTTGACAATTAACAATACGCCATCTGCTCTTCTCCTGCCTCGCGATCGACCTCCCACCAATGCTGACCCAACGGATGTGAACCCTCGGCCAGAACTTGTTTTATTTGCATGGACACAGTTTCTTGCAGTAGTCGATCAAAGCCTAAGCTATGCATAAATAAATGTGGATTATGTAATATCGATCATTGTCCTAGACGGTACAAAAGCATACCCTGTACATATATCAACAATCCCTAAAATGATAAAACCCATTTAAAAAATTTTATGGTTAAGTAGTGCTTGAAATTGTTTTTTTAGAATTGTTTCCAAAAAGTGCGTGAATAATTTTGAGACCCTGTGGTATTTATAATTGTGTGGGGATTATGAGAAATATGTAGAACAGCAATACTAAAATAGTTATGTATATATACATCATAAAGGTTCAACGATGTATGAACCCTTTGAAGCAACAGTTGTAATTATGACATCACGGGTTCGTACAATAACTGATAGGCAAAATGTTTTCAGTACACTGGCTAACATTAATGTTTTGAAACTAATAATAATGATAATAATAAAAAAAGTTATTGTAAAAAAATAAAAAAGGTTTTTTATGGATTAATTTAAAGAAATTTTATAGGCATTTACAGGTTATAGAACATGTCATTTATCGAAAACGCTTGTGATGAAGGAATCTCCACTGAATCTTCAGGTTGATAACTTAGGTGTGAATAGCGGTCCTTCACCATCGACCTTCTTAAATTTAATTGTGTTAGCCAAAGATAAACCTTGCCATCATATTTACAGCTCCTGTCGCCAAAGGACTTGCGGATTACTACGCCCTGCATTTTGGATGTAGGACATAAACAATGCAAAGGTCTGTAACAGATACCATCCTCTGCATTTAAAGTCACGGAAGATTCATTAGGCCATTTACGTATATCAATTGGCCCGCCTGAAAGATCAACATTACACTCCCATTTACCAGGTTCAAGTAGTTCGACCATGTTGCCATTATCCATATTGGAATTTTTTGTGATGAGGGTCAGGTCTCTTATATTTACAGGAAGGACATTTTTGGTTAAGCCTTCAAGAAGAGATCTATCACAGTGCATACAAGTAATATTTACGAAAGTAGTATCACTATTGGAAATGGAAAATAAATCTTTTCTGTGAAGTTCTGTCTTATTAGCAGAAGGACGGGCATTGGGAGCTTTGAATTCAAAATGACCTTGTGTGACTTTTGTTTCAGGAAGGTCACTTTCGGTTTTGCGTGGAGAAGGATCTCTGGGATAATTAACTGCGTCACATTTAGCTTCGAAGCCCTTGACTGAATTCGGTATTGGTGACGCTGACACGTCCAAACATCCCGTCTGTGGATTTTGAACTGGTATATCTTTCATAGATGGCTGAAATAGAGAGAGTATTGATTGGTATGGTTCGAATGGCTTTGAAGAATATGAGTTTGGTGATGATGTTGGTTGCGGTGGAATAGATAACGTAGTGGTTGGTGGAGATTCTGTTAAATTATGTATGGCCAAAGGCTTATCAGTAACCCAATCATTCGCCGAGGGAGGCACCGCATCCGCATGTAGTAGCTTACGATTACTTGTAAGTGACACATCATAGTTTAATTCTTCATCACGCGATACGCCTGAATGAATGATGGCACCTGCAGTGTACACTCTTGTTATTTTTGGTGTGACATCTGGGGTGCTATTGAATGGTAGTTGGTCGAACTTGAGCTTGTTTATAGCTTCGGGTTCTGCAGCTAATTCGTTGGTATTTGAGGTAAACCCAATTATTGTCTTATCATTCAGCGCGTCTGGGATAACTATATTTTCATCACTAAAAATACTTAAAATGTCAAGCTCGAATACGCCATTGGAAGAATCAGAGGCAAGATTGATTGAATGAGGAAGATCGTGTTTGGAGACGACAATGGACGTACTAGTGTTAGGTAAATCCTCGGCCAATATACTAACTGCTGCGGTCTCTTGGTTTTGAGAAAAGCGCGGCGTATCTACGGGTGTAGTTTTGATTGGGGCAGTAATTGCTTCTTGAACAGGAATAGCAGTTCTTTCGATTTGCTTTTGAATAAATTCCCTTAAATCCATCAATGCAGCAGGGAAGTTCTGATGCATTCTAAACTGATTTCGTACCCATTTTGATAGATGACTCACGTTATCCGCGCTAGAAAATCTATCTTCTAGTAAAATAATAGCCCCCCAATCCTGAAAAAATTACGTTAGCTTCCGTCCTTTTAATTTCCTAAATTCGGCTTTACGTTTTTGTGTCGAATGCATCTTCCCAAAGCTTGATTTACGGCTAATTATAAAAGTACGTCCAGTCAAATATGTTAAAAAAAACCCCCCCTGTCAAAATCAAATATTACCTCTAAATGCCTGAGAAGAATACCACTGGCTACCTGTCAGAAGATTGGAATTACGAGTACGAAATTTCTTCTTGTCGTTATAATCTTTTTTAAATTTTACTTCCAAATCTTTCCTAAATGAATTGTGAATGATTTGTATAGAGGATTCAAGTGATATTAATAATTACACTGCAGGGTAGGGTATACCTATTGTCACGACAGCGCGACAATAGTTGTCAGAAAAATCTATGCCTTCACTCACTTTTCCTCGGAAAACCTACAATGAAACTTTAGGAATCGATTTGTTTCTATAATTGCCCACTTACAGCGAAAAATATGGCTCCATCACGACCTTCATCATCTGGCTGAAGATTTACGGCATCGATTTGCTTGTAAAAAGCTCCAATCGTATTTTCGAATTCGACCTTGTCACTACCTCTAGGCTCTATATGAGGAGTATTAATACTGGTAATAGCAATAATTGAATCAAGCGACTTACCAATGAAAATCATTTTTTTGGCTGCTAACCGATTGTATAGTTTGGTAAGCTACGTAACTATATTAATTTGTGGAATTAATTATGGTGGATATTTTTATGAGCTACCTTCCATCGGTGCATTAGCTTGTCTAATGTATTGTAAGCAGGTAAAAAACATAATACGCCAAATGGCACAGACTCAGCAATCTCACAAATAGCTATAACCACTGTCAATATCAATTGACGTCAAGTATTGCTGATCACGCAAGCTTACCTTCACCAAGATCATCTTGAAAATGAAAGGACTCCCAGTTAGAGTATATACCTTTTAAAGAAACTCTGTTTGGTCTGTTTTTATAGTATTAGTTCATGAACAGATCTTTTTTTTTTTTTTTTTTTTTTTTTACCCTTGAGGAATGCCTCCAACCCATACGTGTGATTTATCGATAACATGATTAGCTTCAAGTCGTACTTCACTATAATGCAATATTTAATACGTGATCGAAATTATATGTACTTTACTTACAAATCGGTCTCAAGTTCTGAAGCAAAGGTATTCAACTAAGTGATCCATTATTATTACATGTATGCTCCTTACTTTTTTATATTTAATGCTTACCGGTGATAAGGTTCCACTAGTTAATATAACTGAACGAGTAGTGTCTGTCATATCCTTGAAAATGATGCCCGGATTTAAGCATCTACAGCGGGAAAGATTAGATGTGTATTTGTTAAACATAACACAGACTAAATTTACTTGAACGCCAATTTGAAAGACCACTCTGGTTCCATATAACCCGATATGCCTTTCTTTCTTCTCTTTCCATTCACTGTTTGAGATTTTTGAGTCCTTTCAATTTTTTTTGTCAGCACCATTTGGTAATCATCTTCAAAATGTGTTTCCTCTTTAAATAAGAATCCAAACACCATGAATAAACCCTGCAATGTTGATAAACTGGTAGTGGTAAGACATTTACGGTGAAAAAACGGACTTTGCGAATTGTCGATTTCTTCACTTGGCGCTTCACTGTTATTCTCCTTTTCTTTCCTAATTTTTTCTGCATGAGCCGCCGCTGTGCTAAATGCTGGCTTTAGAACGTCGTGAAAAAGAAAGGGTGTAATATTGCCTTCTGCTAGTTTTTGGAGTATATCTACACCGGTCCAACTGATGTAATCGGGTTAACAAAAAGGGACTTACTTAACTGTCGACAACTTACTTGCAATGATGAGCTTCATATTCTTGAATAGTATATTTATTATCAGTAGAAGTGATCCAGTCGTACAAATAATTTACTATCACTTCTAAAGTCTGATGTGCTTCACCTTCGATTCGATTTCTTATAATTTGGTCCAATTCTTTTTTAACTGTTGCAAGTTTTTGTTCATCCACCTCGAAAGATCCTGCAGATCGTGAACTGTCTTCAATATTATGTGCTAAACATCAAATTGTCAACAAAAACATTGCTTAACATAACTTAGGGAAGTTTACCTTCATCCAAAATAATGATGCTTTCTTTTAAATTGATATCTAAAACTTTACGGATCACTAAGATTCAAAATTAGCAATGTCACCATATTGAAAATAAAAAATAAAAGCCCTACATGGATCGATAATGTAGTTATAAGGACAAAAGACGACTTCTGCACCTTCGTATATTTTTCTAGAAGCATAAAAAGGACACCCTTTTACTTTTTTCCCTAACGTCACTAAGTCTTCAATATCCCAAACACGGTTTGTACCATTAATAGAAGGATGGGTCATAATCCGGCCAATTTTATGCTTGTAATGGCATGCATTTTTATCCAGTAATTCTATGCAGGATTCTGTTTTGTTCGAGGCTTTCGATACTTTTGGATGAACTATTCAAATTAAATAATTAGCTCGACGACAATACTCAAAGTTCATCAAATTTACTGCATAGCTGGTCACGACTTCCAAGGATTGTTGTACCTAAACAAAGTTAGTATACGATGCGAGCAGTGTTATATGTTACACTATTTACGGGGATTGTATCTTGTTTTTGTTTTTAATTCTGAGATGAGTTGGGAGAGCTGCTTATGACTGATTAAAGTTGTTAATAGTGCCAATCATTGAAAATCGTATCGTGCTTACGTTCTACTTCCAACAAATATACGGGGTACTTTTTTAAAGGTATTGTACTTCATACTGTTCACTTTTTCCGAATCCGGTCGTTGATGAGTAGTATTCTCTCCCTTGACCTCATTCTTTAGTCCACTAGTTTGAAAATCCTCAAAGCTATTTTCATCGATTGTGATTATGCTATTACTTCGTTTGAATTTTTTTTTCCAAGTAGAAGGATCGTTTTCACCCAATGGTTTCTTAATTTCTGGTGGAACATCGACATTGACAGGCTCTCCCGGAATAGGAATGTTCGCAGAAATTTCTTTAAGTGTGCTTGTCGAATCTGGTAGTTTATCGGACCCCAAAGATATATCCAATGCTGCTTCGTCTGATTCCACAGCCACTTTATTCAATTCTAATCCTATTTCTGTTGGTGCTCCATTGGACTCAAATTCCATCTCTACTGTTTTTTTGGATTCTTCTTTAACTTTTTCAACCTTCTCAGATTTCAACTTCAACTCCTCTGCCACTTTCCTTTCCTTATCTTCTCTCCACGCTAAAAAAAATGCAGTGTCAGTAACAAAATTAGGTGCTTTAATAAAGATTATTTACCGAGAACTGAACAAAGTAAAGCCAGTGATTTACCAGAACCAGTTGGACTTTCAAGTAGGGCATTTTCAGAATTGTTTAGTGTATGTATAATCTACAAATGAGAAGTTTTTAGCCATGGTAATAATACAAATATCTTGTAAACTTACCCTTTTCATCATTTGTACCTGAGCGGGATCTTGGGGTGAAAAAAAAAAATTAGTGGTAAGTTACAAACTGACATTATTATGTTGCTTACAAGGTCTTAACGGGAAATCAATGCGAACATTTTCAAAAGAAAGCGTTTGGGATTTTTCGCTATTATAAGCTTTTTGTGGTTTGACGTCGCTTTGGTCGGCATGGCTGTCAACCCATGCTAAGAACTGATTGACAGTGGCTTCGTTTGGCTCTGATTTTTTGTTGTTCGCCATTTTCAAAATTCTAAAAAGTGCTGACCGAGATAGATAAAGTAATGACGATGGAAACTACGAATCACTGTTTCTGTATGAAAAGAGTTGTGAATAACAAAGCTACGGAAAAAGAAAGGAATGCGCCACTTTTCGACCAGTCGCGTGTCCTAAGTTTGGAATTCGAGCGGAGTGTTAGTTCTTGTATAAAAAAAACACTTGCTGAACGAGTCAGAGTGGGTTTAGCCTTTTATTTCTTTACATGACAATCTATTCTTTATACATTATCAACAAAGCTGGTGGTCTTGTTTACCAAAAGGATTTTACCCAAAACCTGGAAAAGCTATCAAGTAATGAATACTTAGTCTTGGCCGGTACTTTTCACGGGTAAAGTCGTGTTAGATGAAGAATAACTGTTTTAACTAATAGCTAATCAGTGTCCACGCCATTACCTCCAAAATTTCCCCACTCCATAACTCTTCGGGTGTAGAAATGTTGGAAGCTGAAAATTTCAAATTGTATTGTAATCAAACATTAACAGGTATAGATCATCATTAAGCACCGACTGTTTCTTCTTTTAACAGCTAAAAATAGGCACGAAGTTTCTGTTAATAACAGCAATCCAACAAAACAACGTGGACGCATACATGAAGAAAATCTATGACACATATAGTGATTTTGTGATGAAGAATCCTTTCCATACCCCCGAGATGCCTATTCGTTCGGATCAATTTGACCAATCTTTGCTCAAGTTTATTAACGTAGCCGGAGCATCCTAAATATAGATCCAAATAATAAAACATACATCTCGTTTGTAAGCGTCATGTCAACAGTCGATATAAACCGCATTACAGTTAGAAACTCCCCTTAGGATGATGATTGCAACCGGAATTTGGTATCAATGCAGCGGGAACAGTATTTTTGCATCGTTTATGCTGTTTCTTTGCTTTTTCTTGTACCATCTTGTTTTCCGAGAGGGGGAGCACCATCTAAATAGAGAGAGCCTTAATCCACATTTTCGGTAGCAGATGCAATGTGCTATCATCCACAAAAGTAGAAATAGGCCTAAATTAAGATAATCATGAGCCGAATATAATATTTATACAAGAAGATGCGAGTAGTATAGGGGAGCATAAAGGAAGATCATTTGAATAATTTATATATATATATATATATATAGTAAAGATAGCCCATATGAGTTGCGTGTTCATTGAGCACCACAGCTGTTTGTATACAGATTCTGAACTGATATATGATTAAATAGAATTACGTACAGCTTTAAAAGATACAGTGACATCATATAATCAAGGGATCGTTCAGAAAAAAAAACAGAGCTGAATAGCTGCAACTTATTTTTCCGAAAAGTTTCAGGATAGAACGAACATCGACAATCTTATGAGTGATATGACAGTAGGTGGAACTTACGGGGGAAGTAGCTCTTGTTAATCAATATCAAATGAGTAGGTCTTTGCAAAAAGATGCCATTGTTACGGTCAGGGAGTGTGAAGATGGGCTTGTTGAGTAATCAGGATTGACTGTTGACGACAACATAACAGACGAAAAAGACGACGAAGACTATCCCACCGAAACACTAGTCAAAACTCACCTGAATCGAACCGAACTAAATGTGAATTCGAAGGGGGGGGGGGACTTACCGAAAGTAAGCGGACGAACAAACTGATCATTTTCTTGATTTGATTGCCTCCGGAATGAGAATTATAGCTGCACGTAATTATGGTTATGCTACATATATAAGAAATCTAACAACAACTCCCCTGGGAATGGAATTATTCGTTAAAAAAAGAGAGGTGTCAAAGGGTCGTTATTTAAGCTAAAACAGCATCACGCCGAGTGGAATTATTAATTGCATTGACGAAAAACGCACAGCTGTTCTGGATCAAAGTAGTGAATCCTTGTGTTAGACATTCGAAACCGAAAATCTGTCCATATGTCGATCTGCTTTTCCATTGATTTATGCGTGTCTTCTGTGCCTTACCAAATGAAGAGTGCAGTGGGGTATTTGATATCTGACAATCGCATTTAGATCTGTTTTTATTTATTTTTGTTCAGAAAAGAGGGGATAATATACATTGTTGCTTTATTTGTTATTTATTTTTTTGGTCTAGATAGTATGAGGGTGAGAGTTGAATGGTGACCAAATACCACGGACACTTTCTGTTGTAGAAATGACAGGTCTCTTGGTCAAGTTCTTAATCTTATCACCACTTGAATCTCTGAGAAGTTGCACTTTGTTGTTGATTTCACCGGTTGTTAAATTACGAGTACAGATAACTTTATCACGGCCGTTCACTATTATCGTAAAAACCAATTAATAACTGTTTATATGCAAAATTCCTTCATATTTACAGTAAATTCCGCGAACGATGGGATGGTGGGCGGGTCTAGGTTGAACAATAATCTCAATTTGAGGGTGTTCCTTTGCGAAGTTGGCGAGATCCTTCTTAATGTATTCGCTATGAAAGGAGTTAGAACAATAACCCAGGGGAGACTATTTCATTTCAAAAACTTACATCATGCCTTTGTTACTTCCCCATTTTTCACAATAATTGAACACCATTTTACGACATTGGAGCACAAAAGCGCCGGTACCGTTGTTTGTTCTAGGTAAAACTTTGCTTGCAATGCCAGACATTTGAAATGACGAATAAAACGATTCTACAGGGTTATTCTTGCGAGGGGTGGAGAGAAAATTACCTTTTAAAGACCCGTTTTTTTAAAGTCTGACAAGCCACTGGGGCCGACTCTTTGGGCTCCCGATCAACTTTTTGCATGTTTTTCTTGTCCAACAGTCTTTACCCGAGTATTTCATTATCATACCATGGAAAATTATCGTAAAAAAAATCGGATTTAGTCGCCTACTTGAACTGTCCAAAGTTTGTTAATATCATAACTACATGCTGTTTTTCAGTGTAGAAAAACGTAGCAACCATTGCTGTTTGTGACGGCTTGTGACCGGTTTCGATTTGATGGGAATGAAAAAAAAAGCCAAAAGCTTCATGTTCTCTCACAAAAATTATTTTCTTCTCAACTCAACTAAATGTAAAGTATAGATCCTGGTAGACATTATTTCACAACTAACGAATGAAATAGGTCTCGTTTAATTGTAAAGAACTTGCCAAAGGAATTATCGGAGGAGAAGTTCCGTGAGCATTTCTCCAAGAAGGGCGAAGTGACTGATGCCAAACTTATGAAGACCCAGTAAGCTATACTGATCTTGCATTTTCTTACATAAACTAATTCTTTATAATAGGTGGGGTACTTCTCGTAAATTTGGTTTTATTGGTTATAAAACAGAAGAAGCTGCAAACGCTGCCTTGGAATACTTCAACAACACTTATATCAACACTGCTAGAATTAACGTCGAAAAAGCGCTGGCCTATGGATCAGAAAACTTGCCTAGAGCTTGGAGTAAATATACAGAGGGATCTTCAGCTCACGACCGTATGACAGGTGCTGGATCAAAGAAGGCCGACTTTGCTGTGGAGGAAACCGAAGCTTTCCAAGATAAACAGAGAAAGGAAAGAGAGGCCTTTATCAATGAATTACACGCTGATAAAAACGATCCCAAGTTAAAAGAATATTTGGACGTGATGACATCTAGAGCAAAGAGTAAGACTTGGGCAAATGACGACTCTGCCGCCGCCGAACAAGAAAAGAAAGAGGAGAATACAGATACTAAGGTTGATTATGTTGGATCTGACGACGAGCTTTATGATGAACTCCCTCCCAAGAAATCTAATGACACCAAAGAATCTGAGGATGTAGAGATGAAGGATGTCGAGGAAGAGGATAAATCAAACGTAGAGGAACTCAAGGCCAAATCCGCAACAATGGAATCCAAAGAGGATATTGCTGAAGTAGAAAACAAGGATGAAAAGGTCCACACAAAGAGCGAGAACCCCAAGGAGCTCATTGAAGATACAGGTCGTCTTTTCGTTCGTAATTTATCTTATGCTTGTACTGAACAAGACTTGAGAGATCTTTTCGAAAAGTATGGCACCTTATCCGAAGTTCATATGCCCATTGCTAGAGATACCAAGAGATCCAAGGGATATGCTTATATTCTTTACTTGATCCCCGAACATGCCCTTAAAGCCTATGAAGCTCTCGACATGCAAACTTTCCAAGGTCGTCTTTTGCATATTATTCCCGCCGAAGAAAAGCCCCCAGCCAAAGAAGAGGACATTTTAGGTGTCAATGGTGTCAAATTAAGTGCGGTTAAAAAGGAAAAGGAGAAAAAGCGCAGAAATCTTGCTGGTAATGATTTTAATTGGAATTCTCTTTATATGAGCGTAAGTTGCGATGGCATCAATTGGGTAAAAGAAGGGTATTAATTTGGTTTTTTGTAGTCCGATGCTATTGCTGAGTCGATTGCTGATCGTCTTGGTGTTTCCAAGTCTGAAGTCTTGAATCCTGACGCTGACAACATGGCTGTCAGATTAGCCTTGGCCGAAACTCAAATTGTCAACGAAACCAAAGAATTTTTTGAAAAGCATGGTATTGTTTTAGACACTTTTGGTAAGAAAGAGAGAAGCGAAACCATTATTTTAGTGAAAAACATTCCCTTTGGTACAACTGCTGAAGATATGCGCGAACTTTTCGGTAAATATGGTGAGCTTGGTAGAGTTCTTGTACCACCTGCCAAAACCATCGCTGTGGTAGAATTCCTTGAACCTAGTGAGGCAAGAAATGCTTTCAAGTCGTTGGCCTACCGCCGTTATAAGGATTCTTTGATCTATCTTGAGAAGGCACCCAGTGGATTGTTCAAGAATCAATTTGTTCGTGATCCTAATGCCAAGAAGGAAGAAAAGAAAAATGATGAAAAGAAGCCTGCTAGTGCTGCAGAGCTTTTGGGATCATCCAAGACAGATGATGTTAATTCAGATGATATCGCCACCCTCTTTGTGAAGAATCTTAACTTCTCTACTACACCCGAAGGTCTCCAAAAAATATTCAAGGGTATCACTGGTTATAGATCATCTCGTATCAATGTTAAACCTGACGCTAAGAATCCTGGAAAAACTTTAAGTATGGGTTACGGATTCGTAGAATTTGACAACAAAGTCAACGCAGAAAAGGCATTGAATGCTATGCAGGTAATAAAAGCATGTGATGTTCTAGCATGTGATTATTTAACATTTTTTATTTTTTTTAGGGATTTAACTTAGATGGCCACGCGTTAGAATTGAAGCTTTCTCATCATAAGTCAGAAACAAAATCAAAAAAGACTAAAGCACCAGAAACTACAAAATTGGTGGTACGAAACGTGCCATTTGAAGCTACTGATAAAGATTTGCGTGAACTTTTTGGGTAAATATAATAGACGGTTGTACATGTGAATCCATATACTAAAATCATCGCATAGTACTTATGGTCAACTCAAGTCCCTCCGTTTGCCAAAGAAATTCAATGGCGGACATCGTGGTTTTGCTTTCTTGGATTTCCTTACCAAACAAGAAGCGAAGAATGTATATGAAAATATGGGTAATATTCATTTATACGGTCGTCATCTTGTCCTTGAGTGGGCTCAAGAGGATGATAATGTCGATTCACTTAGAGAAAAGACTGGTAAACATTATTCAAAAGAGGAAAACATTGGTGGACGTGTGAATAAGAGACAAAAGGTTGATTTGGATGGTGACGATGACATGTTGGAGTAAATAGAGTAATTTGTAATAAAAGTAAAATAATAGTAACACCGTGCTCTTCTGGTGTGATGCATACACAGGAGACTGAAACCCTTCTTTTTAATTTTTTGTGATACCTTCTACATTTGTGTAACCATATCAATATTCGTGTTTTTGAATAAAAGATTGATAAATTTATAAGTAATTTATTTTACACTCCACGCTCGTAAAAATCATCCCATTATTGCCATCTGATATTGAAATTGGAAAAGCTAAATTTAAATAGGCGGGAGTAGACGATCCGTGCAATTCAGCACATTGGTAGTACCTGGTGGCAGTAGCTGGGTTATCTTCTCCATAAAAAAAAAAAAACTTTATGTTATTATACCAGTGAGAACCTAAAAAAAAAAATAACATTGTTTGTACTCTGCCATCCCTTTTTCCATATTTTACCTGCGACTTACACTCAGGTTTATTGTCCTTCTTTCTCCCTTTTTAAAAAAAAATTTTTTTTAGGAAAAAAGTTTGACTTCATACTTTGCACTTCTTATTTATTACTTCCACGCCAGCGTTTTAAAAAGTAGACAGGTCTAAATGAGAACAAGTGCAAAACTCATTGGCAATCTCGTACATCGAGTTTCTATTCAAGTGAGTATAAAAAATATACCTTCTTCAACTACACCTTACTAAATCAAGAATACGCACAGTTACCATATAAAAGCGGCCGAAAAATAGAGTCCGTAGAACAGGATCCTATTATCAAACAAACAGGTAAACAAATACGATAACAATTTTCGGGGGGATGGATTAGAAGAACTCAAGTTTAAATTTGTACTATAGTTGCAGCGATTATCGAACTATCAAAGTATAGATTAACAATTGTTACGAATACGCTTGCTTGCGTTTTAGAAAATGTATCAAAGGTAAAAAGTTTAATAGCGGCATTTTATTATCATTGGCTGAATGTTCTTTATTTTCTTTTTTGTGTATTCAGACCCATCAAATTTTTGAACAAAATGTTCCTGTAGATGTAATGCAATCTAAATTATTCGTCCTTCGTTTACTGTCCGCATGCATGCAGCATCACTGGCAGCACCACCGCGAACTGGAAAAGGAGAAACACCCTGAAATACCCTTGAACGAATTGACTTTAGAGTTACCACCACTAGATACCGCTCTCGTTACATTTGTGCTTGTTTTGATGAGTAGATATATCACCCAATACCATCTGATTGAAGAATCGACAAATGCTGAGCAAAACAATCAAAATCGTATGCCACTGGTTGATCTCAGTGACAGCGAAAATGGATATACCTACGAACAAATCAAACTCAGTTTAATTACTGACATCTATAAAGCGTCATCCAAGATTCTTTATTATATCAGTTCAAGTAATTGGGAGGCATGTTATGCAAAAATAAAATACGCTGTTATCAGTCTGGATTCCATTAATGGAGGCGCACAAGAAATTCCCCCTGAAATCAGAATGTTGGAGTCCAGTTGTTTAACAAGGAAAAGATTGTACTCTATTTTTGCCGGTACGTATTACAATATTTTATAGCTGACTATTATTGACAGAAAAAAAAAAAAAAAAAAATAGAGCTGAGTCCATATTACCTCCATATGAGGCCACATGGAAAATTATTGTTCTCAAAAATGATTCGGAGAGCTATTTGGAGATGGATCGAATCTCGCCCCTCAGAATTTGCCGAGGTTTGCTCTAGTGATGCTCGTTTACTTTCTGGCTCTGAGGTGCTGTTCGACATGTGCAGCTCAACAGCAGATAACTCCCGAAAGAAGGCCGTGCTTTGGCCTTTACAGACTATCTTGCTTGTCTTGTCTCCCGAGTTTTTAATGCAATCATTTTTAGGCTCGTCTCCCACATTAAATAGAAGAACTAATTTTCTCAGCTTATTAAGGAAATCATTACAATCAACGAGGAATGTCGATATTGCGGCCGTGTGTTATGTCGATTTATGTAAAGCTGCAACGTTTCTCCCACCCAACAATGAATCAGTATTACGATCGATTGCCGCAGATGTAGAAGTCGAGTTGAAGGAAAAGGTGTGGGATTTTTCAAAACCACCCAGTGCAGAATCGACTCTCGCCTTACTAGGTTACACTATCGATCAACAAACACTTACAACGGACTTTATTTTATCCCGTATACAACTCCACACAGAAGACGCGCTCAATACAATTATCCCTTCGTGTATAGAGGAAAATGTGCCTACCCTGTTCAAACTCGCATTTGTTAAAGCATGTCTCATTATTGCTCAAGAAGAAAATCATCTGCCATGGAACCCCACGCTTAGCTCTTTATACGACGGCCTATGCAGACCCCTTCGAAAGTTGTTCTTACAAACAATCCGTTTAGATATGACGAGTACAGCTTGCAGTAAAAAGAATGAAACTCATAGCGCCCATAACAATCGCGTGGAATTGCTTCTAGATTTACTCCGTTTATTCCGTACTGATACAAAGCTGGCTTTGCTTGGTAATGACCTCGATCGTGTGGATCAAAACAGTGCATATATGGTTGGATTAGCAACATTATTTCAACATCAAGTACAAGCTATACGACATTCTGCTGCTGAGTTATTGGTGAAGATGCATTTGGAGGAGTATATTTTGTGCTGGGGACCAGAAGATACTGTTTTACCCAATTTTTGGAAGGTATCTTCTCCTGCCATATTCAACTTGGCGAGACAAATGTTGGAAAGTAAATCAAATGACACCATAAAAGGATTGCTGGATTTGTTGATGAAGGTTTTTAAAACCAGAAACGTCTTTCTAAAAAGTCATCAGGTATTCAATTATACAGATCACAGTTTAGAACACGTACTAACTTTATCTACTAGTCGTTACTTACGCATGAAAGTTCAAACATGCGAGAAAGATTGCAGGCTTCCATATCACTTGAAGTGGCTTTATTAGTCTCATTGAATTCCGCTAATAAGGATATTTGTGATGATGCAACAAAATGTATTGGTTTATTATGTAAAGAAGCGACTATTGTTGATTTAGACGAGGGAGGTGAAGTCAATTCCATCACGATCGCCTGTAATCTATCAATCTACGATGAATTATCCACTGAAGATTCTCGTTTTATTGGACGGAAAGCTCAGCAAAAACGAATCCGTAGATACCTGCGCATGTTACACCAACATACACCTGGTAACATGGCCGCGTGGGAAGAAGCTTGGAAACGCTGGAAGCAATTGACAGTCTTGATGAATAGATTATCCGATAGTTTTGTCGAAGAGGACTCAATTGAGCTTTGTACCACCATTTCGAACGGAAATAATTCTTCGGGATCAACTACTACACTCTCATCCACAAATACCTCTATAGTAAGCAATAGTAAGAAAACAACAGCCCCAACTCGAAATGACAAAAATCGACCATCTACCATCATAAAAGCGCAGCAAAATGTAGATATTTACGAAGACAAGGCCGTCGAATGGAAAAATTTTACAGGCTTTTTGGCTGCATTGGGTGGATGTTGTCTTGTAAAAATTAATGGCATGGGAGGAGGAGACGATAACCGAAGAGTATCTGCATCTCATGAACCTTTGAAAATGATAGATCGCTTTCTTAGTGATATGACAGATATGCTTATTTCAGATAACGTATATATCCGCGAAGGAATCAAAGATACATTAGGCAACGATTTATCTCCTGTATTATATGTCATTCTTTTCCGTAATCTTGAATCCTACATGAACAGGTGCTTCGGTGCCAACGGTGATGCTATTCGTAGTCCTCAGAACAAACTGTTTGTTGAGCAATCAGTTTTAGTATTAAGACTAATTCTTGATCGCTTAGTGGATCCTGGTGATTGTCTTTTAAATATCGATTTTAGTACACTTATTCATCGTTTTGCTGATTATCTCAACAAACTCCCAAACACCTACATTACTTTGCGAATCAAAATTAAAATGTGTCTCCTAATTGAATCAGTGATGCAAAAGAAAGAACATATTGTTCTCCGTGATGAAAACAGATTACGAAACAAATTATTGGAAATTTGTGTGGAATGGACAAGTGATTTTGCTTTGGTACGTAATAGCTCACAGTGAATTACACATAATATCTAACACTTATGACTGAATTAGCAACGGAAACATGTGGAAACAGGTCAACAAGCAGAAAGACTTCAAAAAGATTTGGATCATGCATGTCTTAAAGCAATTGTCAGTTTACTCCATCAACTTCCACTACAACCATTTGAGGCCGTCAGACCATCCGATATCTTTTCGATCAAAAGCAAATTGTTTTTCAAGTACTTCAGCTTTTTCCGAAAATTATTGGATAGATACAAGCAAACTGAAAGAGATGCTAAAGGATCATCTAATGGACTTAATGGATATCTGGGGACTAGGGAATCTTCTCTGAAATCATTACAGATTCAGGCGAATATCAGTGGAGACTCTTACCAGGACTGGACTCAAATGAAGGAATTAACCATTGTGGCTATGTCGCATCTTTTAAATGCAAATGTCGATGCCGGCTTGAAATACTCTTTATCTATGGGTTACGACGATGACCAAGAAACTCGAACCGCTTTCATGCAGGTACTGACTAATATTTTGAATCAAGGTACCGAATTCGAGACTTTAGGTGAAAGTGTCATGACCGATCGATACGAAAAATTGGTTGACGTAAGCACAATTACTTTATATAGCAAGCTATCGCAAGATACTAATTTTTAACGGATAGATGCTTGTGGATGCCGATATGGAAATCGTCATGTCATTATGTGAAGTTTGTCCCTCCTCGGATACTACTGGTGTAGCTGAAATATTACTAGTCTGCTTTGAATCACGTAGTAAAGTGATACCATTATTGAAAGCTGTGGTACAAAAAGAAATCTCTCTTACAGGTAATATACAACCCAATGTGATTTGCATGTGTACTAAAAAGGATAAGTTTTTTTTTGTGGTGATTAATAGAACAAGAAGCAACTTTATTCAGAGGCACGACAATAGCAACCCGTATTTTATCCGTATTCGCAAAATTATCATGTCTTGATTACGTTCGTATTACATTGCAGCCCGTCATGGAAGCTATCAACGCTTTGCCAGAAGAGCAATTAACCTGGGAACTCGACCCACACAAGCTAAATTCGGCGGAGGAAATCATGACAAACAAA